TCGGTCAAAATAACACATTATAGCTTTTTCCCTCTTTCAGGCAGAATAGACTCTGTTTTTCCTGTAACCAAAGAGAAATCGTTTTTGTTTTGCTTAAATATATTCATCCAGAAGTTAAATTTCTAGTTACTCACGTTTCTCAATGCAAAGTTAACTTGCAGGCAGAGAACAAACCAACTATCTCGAACTAGGTAATACTTTAACCTAGGGAGTCGACAATACTCTCCACCGCCAGTGTTAAATGTGTTTGCAGTAATTCCATCATGCTTCACTCCAGTTTTAGACATTTCTTTGGAGATATAGGCTATGTTTGACATCGATCTCAGTAGCTGGGACATGAGACCAAGAGCTTCAGACATCACCATTTAGTTCTGTAGCATGTGCAATTGAACCCAGATGGTGTTTAAGCCGCTTTTTGTTATTTTCGCTTTCTAGAAGTACGGGACGAGTCTTATGATATTGTCCTTGCCCAATTTTATGTCGCGGATCTTAGGCCATGTTTGACGTTCAACGGAGTTTTCCGAATTGATCCATCCGCACCTCGTGGACAACTACACCAGCGACTTCTACCGTTTTCAATAGATACCCATCATATGAGACCTTCTCGTTTGCTGCAGGTTTCATGCTTCAGAGCCACCCACTACTAGTAAAGCGTACCATCACTGATGACCAGAATCGGACTGCACTTAGTCTCAGGTCGCAGCTCAGCAGCCAAAAGCCGTCCAGACTTCCAACTTCCCGCCTCCAACATCTGAAGAAGACTCAAGTTGACTCCACGAGGTTCATACTTCTCCTTGAGCATCTTATGCAGTTCATCCAGTAGCGCGACAGTAAGGGCACGCCACTCAACGATAACATCGTCAGAGGCCTCAAACTGCGGAAGCTCTTGTCCCGAGCTTTCCTTTCCAGTTTTCAAGGCGTCAGACTTCAGCTTCAGGACCCCGAGATCAACAAATAGTCCACCATTTCGGTATTCGGGTAGTCCAGTGCCGAGATGCATGTTCTTCCAGGTGAAACCCAATTGCCTCTCAAAGATGACGGAGAGTGAGTAGGCTAGCCATTGGGTGAGCTTGTGGAAAGGCTGTATTTTGCTCTTGGGGTCTTTATCGCCCTTGCTATCAGCGATTTCGGATAGTAGTTCGAGAGGCCAAGCGTCTCCGATGGGATGACCATTGAAGACGGTGCGGTTTCCGGGCCATGAAGGAATGAGGAGGTCCTGTAAGCAGAACCAGAGCTGTTCGTAGTCAAGCGTCTTAGATCCCGAGGCCTTTGATGCGAGGTAGTCTAAAGCAGTGCGTCAGCCTTGCATACTCTCACCGCTAGTTGTGATCACTTACCAACTAGGTTCCCTGGGCGGCCGAGCTCACCAAAGATTGCAGGGTGCTTCAATAAGTTGGATCCAACAGCTTGAAGTAGCTTCACACGCGATGAAACTCCGACCATCGGATTCTCGGAAGATACCTGGAAGTGCTGTTCAAAACTGTTGTCTTGCAGCTCAATCAAGCCCTTCGCTACAACAGCCAATTAGCCCAAGGAGAAAGGGGCGTCGCATGAAACAGAACATACCATCGACCTTCTCTTTCAGAGAACCATCAGAGCTAAAAGATCCAGCTGTGAACATGTGAAGCGACGCCACAGCGATACCCTCACTTCGCACAACGATCTGTCCAGTGCTCGGTTCTTTGAAGCGCCAGACATCGCCTGCTCCAGCATCGAGAAGAACCGACACAAAAAACAAATCGACCAAGCGTCGAGTGATCTCGGTCTGGTCGACGCCATCTTCGCTTGTCCATCGCTTTACCAGGGCATCAACGCGTGCGACGTCACCAACCTCGAAATGCTGCCAGCGACCGTGAGGGGGAATGGTGTCGTACTTGTCAGGACCAAAGTCACGCTAGAGAATGATCGCATTAGCTCTGAAGGTATTTTCAAGGACTTGATATTGCTTACATCGATGACTTTGGATACGTAATCAGCGACCGCTCCCATGCGGCCTTGGTCATAGTCGAAGTGCTTCAGGTTCCCTTGCTTTGCTGATTCGAAGACCTTGGACGCTTGGTCTCGGACGGCTTGAAGGGAGAGGAGGTACTTGAGATCGTTATCCATTTTGAAGTAGTTTCTTAGTGATGGAAGTTTTGGGTGTCTGTTTTGTGATGCTGAGGTTTGTGTTGTTGGTTTAAATGCTGCTGATAAGATATGACAGATAGCAAACAATCTTCGGCGGACTCCGAAAAGGCGGGGTCACAGGTTGTCAAGGTGTTACAGGGCGGGTCAAGCACTATCCAATGGTTTCCCCGTCTTACTCCACTGAAAAGATCAACCCCTCAGTGATCAACATATCCTCCATAACTGTACTCTAATTCACATGTGTTCGAGTTCCTGAGTGACCAAAAGAGCTTGACTACATGTTTGCAGTCTGCATTTCACTTATGTAATGGCAAAGAGGCTCGCCATCATGCACTATATTGCACCGTGTTTCTCAGTCACTGCGTTGTACTGAGAGGTCTCTAGCCATCTCGGGACTCATCTCTGTCTGTCGCCTATCATCCAAGATATGGCGTCAAAGGGGTCACACAGCCCTTCCTCTACGCAAGATCAATTCGACGATGATATCGTATTTGATTACCATGATCTCGACCATGCCCCAGCAACCTCACAAGGCACATTCCTCAAGGGCTCAAAGGAGGACGTCGAACCCTTAGAGGAATACCAGGAAGGTGGCTATCATCCAATCCACATTGGTGATGTGCTTGGTCCGTCAGATCGGTACCGAGTTATCCATAAGCTTGGCCATGGAGGCTTTGGCACTGTGTGGCTTTGTCGGGACTTACTAGAAGCCCGTTATGTTGCCCTCAAGGTCATGGTCAGTGATCTAAAGTCCGACGAGATTCTTGACTTCGGCTTGGCTGAGCTGGATCAGTCCTTGCCAGGTGTCCAGTTCATCGCGTCTCCTTTGGATTCATTCTCCATTGAGGGACCTAATGGGACCAACCAGTGCCTGACACTGCCACCACTTGGGCCTTGCGTGTCCCCCCGATTATGGATGCGACTGGAGAAAGACCCTGCTACAATCTTACGGAAATTTGCCTATCAGACTACGCAAGCATTGGCCTTCTTACACAAGAATGAGATCTGCCACGGAGGTATGTTCTGTCACAAGGTTACATGTTGAGTCTAGCTTCAATCCGAATACTCACATGCATCCACTAGACTTTCGTCCATCTAATATTTTAGTCAAGTTGTGCAACCTGGATCATCTTTCTGAAGAAGATCTCCTCTCCCTTTTAGGGCGCCCTGGGGAAGTCCAAGTGCAGACAGAGTCAGGAGAAGATCTTCCAGCATCTAGCCCAAGATACCTTGTACCGCCAGCAGACATCTCCCGGCTCGGGAACGAGTTTCTCACAGAGGATATTTGTGTCATTGACTTTGGCGAATCATTCAAGTTCTCATCGCCACCAGAGGATCTTGGTATTCCAGAGAATTACCTACCACCAGAGATCCTTCTTGAGCACCCTGATGCGATTGGTCCCACCTGCGATCTTTGGGCTCTTGGCTGCACTTTATTCGAGATAAGGGAGCAACTCCCGCTATTTTACATGATCTACGACAAAGATGAACTATTAGCAGAAATGGTGAGGTTCTTCGGCAAGCTTCCCGAAGATTGGTGGATGAGCTGGGAAGCCCGTGAAGAATATTTCGACGCTGATGGGAAGTGGCTTCGTGAAGAAGAAGACTGGTCTCTCGAAGTGGCGTTGAGCAAACCAATCGAGATCTTTGAATCGGGCGAGAAGTACAAAGAGGGGCCTAAGAAGTCATTACAAACTCCTGAAGTTGAACAAAAGTTGATGACGGATCTACTGTATCGGCTGTTCAAGTATGATCCTCGAGAACGGATTAGCGCGGAGGAAGTTCTTAGACATGAGTGGTTCAGACTATAGCTGTCACCTATCAGACTTCACTAAAGTAAAATATAGTATTTCTAACAAGTACTTCTGCTATCTAGAGCAATCAGATGTCCATTTATCACATTGATAGGTATCTATTCCTGGCGGGGTCGCTTCTAGATATGAGGAATAAACTCTGCCCATTCCACCGTCTGGTACGCACTCGGCGGTAAAGCTCTAAGTCCAATAAAGTCCTCGACAAAGATAAATACCCGAAAAACACAGTAAGAGGCGCACAGGAAAGATGTAACGATCAAGAATCCGACCTGAACGCCCAAATGAGGATCTTTGCCGTGTGATATGTTGTACGTCCTGCTCAGAAAAGCAAAAATGCCCTTCTTCGGTCGTCGCGATGTCAATTCTTCTCCATCAGAATCCCCCGTACCTCTAATCTTGCTAAACCGACTCCTTCTCCAATTCTGAAACCTGTGGTGCCAGTTCCTCACAGGATGCGGTCGTTGATCAAGAGCTTGCTCAACAAGGCTCAGTTCAAGACCTTCAGCGAGGCGATACTGCGGTATGAAGATCCACATGCACAACTCCATCCACAGCGCACCAAACATACCGTATGCTAGCATGTAAACACTAGCTACGCGCCAAAAGTCTCGCTCTACGGTGCTGGGGAATGAGAAGTTCCAGGCCCCGAGGAAGACGGCGCTGAAGACAAAGATGAATACGACGCCGACTAGTTCTAGATCGAAGTCCATTCGGAGGAAGATATCGCCGGGATTTCTGTCCCATGGGACTTTTTTGACGCGTCGTGAGAAGGGAGAGAAGAGGATCTTGCGTGAGAGTTCGTTGTAGTATTGCCAGGCGAGGTTCAGCGCAGTTTCGTCTCTGCTGATGAAGTCTAGAGGTGTTTGATAGTATGGCTGATCTGGCAGACGTCCTTCCTGTATTGATGTCAGTCTTAATCATTAGCTACCTACCCAGTGCGTCTACTGCTTACACGAGTCAATATGTCTTCCATCGAAGTAAGGCAGCGAACAGTAATAGTCGTCCCCACATCAGATGGCTTATCTTTCCAACACCATGCAGTTCCAAATAGAATGATCACGAATGAAACTGCTGTGAGCTCCATGGTTGTTACATGGAGTCTTTGGACCAGCCGCGCGATAAAGGTTATGACGAACCAAGTACCTTGCCAAAGGGTAATAAGTCTGGAGGTATCAGTGGCTGTTCCTAGATATCAAGTACTAATGCACTAACCTTGCTAACCCATCTGACTTGTTCCTATCCTTGAGCTCCCGATCACTGGTTTCAGGATACTCAACATACGAGTTGCTAACAAGGTAAAACAGCTGTTCGGCGTTGAGAGGTATCGGTCGATCGAGATCATCAGCTGCCAGGACAAATCCACCCATGTCGGCGAAAAAACCATGTGTGATGGTCCATTGTGTAAATCCTGCCTGCTTGAATTTCTGCATCAAATCAGCTCCCCGGTCTTGGTCTTAAAAACCAAAAGGTCATGAAGCGCAACATACAACGACAGATCTCCGAGCCGAAGACTTTTGCCCAATGGCCAACACTATAATAAACTCAGGACCCAGCAATCCCAAGCATGCGAGTCCCAATTTATCCCTAATCGAGCTCCAAAAGCCATCTCCGGCCGCTGGGATGTTGGGATAAACAGAGGTCCAACAGCATAAGAATGTCGTGACTAGACATGTCACTATAATATCGTAGGTGCCTCTTCCGTCTGGTGATGGTGTCCAGCCGACGAATTCGGTCCCGTTAGATGTCATGGGTGTCGCAATAGAGCAGCGGATAATCAGATCGCAGATTAGAGAGATCAATTGGGAAAGAAGATTGACTTAAAACAGTCTGTGCTGGGTTACTTATCTCCTCTGCAAGGTCACGACCAACACGCACACGTCACTTTCTTCATGGGTGTCAAAAAAGGCTACCTGCAGCCCCATGTACAAATGTCTCAGACCTGCGGCAAAGGCGTGGCTATGCCTAGGCTGCCTACCTCTCAATCAAGTCAATGGGCACAGGTTAAATAGTAGTTCTACGATGCCATTGCACTTCATTTTGGTGTCAGAGTCTTACATCAACATATCGTCCTCATTCCCATCTATAACACAAAGATGCGTCTATATAAATCACTTGAGTAACTGCCGGTGCCATTCAGCTAAGAGATTTTGCCAACAACGCGGGTACCCGCAGCAGGGCGGTAACAGAATGCGCGCGACTGGCTGTGCTCTAGGCACCTTTACCGGGGTCTGGGGGTTTTGGCGGCCTCTGATTGCTTTGTTATTGTATCACAGCGACAAAAGTATGGAGACATGATCTGATCTGCAGGGGTCAGGGCGCGTGGGCAGCCATGGCCAGGCCGCGGGATAGCAAGCAAAAAAAAAATATAAAGTGAATGCTTTACAATAGAAAGGTTTATATTAATTCTCATTACCTTACTATATCTTATGTTAATTATTTTAGTGGTTAGTTACATGGTTAGAAATCTTTCTGCTAAGACCAAAGCGCAAAATAACTGCTTACTTCTGGGTGTTTAAAAGTCAGAACCCATTATTGGTTAAATATTCATATAGTAAAACACTACCTTATAATATTCCATTCTCCATTCCTCTTATTCCAGACTGTTCAATGTGGTATATTCTGTATATATCTCATTTTTACTAAACCTAATAATGTCAAGCTGCTATACCGAGGATTGGCTGGCTCACTCTGGCTCCCCCGTGTCCGTAGTTCTGAGTTATTAATCGAGGAAATACACTGGGATTGATAACATTGAAAAAGAAATCTCATACTCCAGCGCTCAGACTTCGTTTGGCAACTGACCAGGCAGATCCAAACAGACAGGTCTTGACCGGCGGCTCTATCGTGATGCGAGATGCGCTCAAATTAGCAGCATAGCAATAGGATTACATGACGACTCTATCTAATGCAGTAGAATTAGTTCATGAAGTGGTGATCGGGTTCATGCTTAAGACCGAAAAATTAAACCCTGATATACCAGATATCGATGATAGAAACCAGTTTCTTTTCGTGCAACCTTCGACTTTGACATCAATGTCCATCATGGCTGTATGGGACATGGCATATGGTAAAAGAGCTGATGAGAAAGCAATCGTATACAAATAGCTCTATTGCTGCAATCTAAATACCTCTACAAATAGATGCTCAATAAGAGACGATCTTAGTGTCTATTTTCACCATCGCCGAATTCTTACCTTCTGCTTTTGGCATTGAAGGATTGCTCTAACATCCATCTTGTGAGGGGAAGATATAATGCTATTGTGTTATTGGCCAGCACTTGGCGTGCTGATTAATCACACGATAACGTTCCAGTTACTATTTATATCTTGAGGGTCCTTATCAGCCAGTCAATTCCCTCAATTATCCCCGTGAGGCTACATGAGCATTGAACAGACAGACCATCATCACATCTCATACTGAAAGCAGAAACCACCAGCAACATGTCCGAAAACAAAATTACGTTCTTCGATATCCCCAGCAAGTCGCCTCAGGTTTGCTGGTCGATGAATACCTGGAGAAGTCAGTCTCCATAATTAACAAGCCCCATCTAGCACTAACACGAGTTGCAGCGAGATTGCTTCTTAATTATAAAGGCCTTGACTACAAAACGGAATGGGTATGTTGTCGAAGCTACAATAACGCAATTCCACTGACTCGAGTAGCTGGAGTATCCTGAGATCAAGGAACGCCTCAGCGAGCAGTACGTGTAACTATTCACATCACTTGAGCTTTCAGTAACAGGCTTCTACTCAGTGTATCCCCAAATGAACGTGGCGCATCCTTCACATGTCCAGCCGTTCAAATGTCAGACGGCTCATATATAATGGACTCCTACAAGATCGCCGACGTCATCGAGGAAAAGTACCCCGAGCCAAGCGTACACCTCAACAACCCAATGCAAGACCGCCTCCGCGCATCAATGATAAAGTTCATGACAGAGATGGTACCAATCTACGTCCCCGGCGTCGCCAAAAACATCATCGGCGAAAAGAGCATCGACTTTTTCCTCGAGACACGTTTACAAGACGTTGGGATGCCTCTCTACGAGTACGGAGAAAAGAACTCGCCTGGCGCTTTTGACAGAGCGGAGCCGTTCGCGCGTGAGATTACGGCCCTGCTGGAGGAGAACACGTCTGGGCCGTTTTTGCTGGGCGATGTGGTGAGCTATGCCGATTTCATCTGGGCGGGTATTTTGCTGTTTTTCCAGTGTCTTGGCGAGGAGGAGTACAAGGAGGTGCTGAGAATAGCCGGAGATAGAGACGTTCATACTAAATTTCTGGATGGGCTGAGACCTTGGACGGAGAAGAATACCTGATGCTATCGATAAGGCATGGACACGAAATGATGTTGGGTGAATTTAGGCTAATTATCCTGTTCAAGTCGACTTCTTGTACAGCTGATTGGACATTCTAGACTTTTGATATAACTGGATGAATAGTATTTAGGAATATATTATCTACCCATTGACTGTAATCATCACTGTCTTTTCCCCAGGTTTTGGTCAAAGAGAACCATTTTAAGTCTTATGTTTGTTAAGAGATTTATGTGGATCGCGTATCCCCCTTCCCCCCGGGGTCTCTGTTTTCTCCACGCCAAGTAGTTTTCTCACGTCCACAAGCTTATCCACAAGCTTGCTTGGCTGCTTGGCAACCTCGATGTTCCTTTTGGATAAGTTCAAAGCCCAATCACTATCCTTGAATGACGATGCTCTAAATGCGTGCTTACGACCGCTGGCTAAATTGATAGCTTCCTGAGAGCCAAGAGTCTTGGTAATTGCCACGCGCAAGGAATCATGAAGCATCGAGAACCGCTCATAATGAATAAATTAGCATGTTTCAGTAGAGATTGTTAGAAGACCCATTCTCTGGAGTGGATATGCGCGTAGCCTCCACGCGTTTGAACGCGTTTGAGACATACCTACCCTAGGTTTCGAAGTATTGGAAGGCAGTATTATTTTACAAGGCTGATTACTACTCTGTAGAAGTACTAGATTAATTAAGAAGCAATTATCTCAATAAGAAACTGAGTTTCTGTATATTTATCCTCGTGTTCTACGTATACACTTGGGTCTCTACTTTTGTACATTTCAACTCTTCCGTCAATCTTGCAAACACCAGAGTCAGCCCAGGCATTGTACAGAGTCGATCCCAATTCCAGCCATCGCAAAGGTACAGAATCCATTGTACGTCAGTAAGTCCTGACACAATTCGGAAGCCGGCGACATCGCAAGCTGAACGTCCTATCCCTCGTGGCAGAGTCAATCCAATCCGTCAGATCAGTCACGCTCAACTGAAAAACAGTGGATATCCCAGAATCTCGGCCTGGGGAATTTCGGCCCTCGGTTCCTAAACTTCACGCCCCGAGCTCAGGACAAGTCTTATTGAGTGGAGATATCGTTGCGAAAAAGAAAAATTGGGTTTGTGAGCGCCAAGGTCTTGGTCTCCTTGTGTTGGTCTCCAGTTTGGCTTGGCTCTGCGCTGATTATGCGACGGTGCAGGTTCTAGGCCGATATTTAAATCTGTCAATCGGCTAAAGTCCATGCACATGACATTGCGGCTACGTATAGCAGATCGTGGCTATTTCAGCTGAGCTGATATGCCGAGAATAACTCGGGATTTGCATGTTTCTTTTGTAGTATTCGGGTTTTATGAGAGAAATCGCATTGCATCGATCAGGAGAAGAATTGGGTATCAGCTTGTGATTGGCGGACTGATTAAGGTTGTTTATTTACCCGCATTTACCCGTATTTAGCCAAATGGCACTCTAGGCCAAGACTGGAGAATATCCCCGAAGCCATCTGAGCACAAGTCACGGGTCGCAATTCCGCACCATGAGGAATTCCATTCTCGCTTGTTTCGTTCTTCGATGTTGACCGGCTTATCAAGAACAAGAATATGTTCTTGGAAGATGGCGAATGTTGGAGGCACAGCTCTGTTAATGGCTGCTCCAAGAACGTCGTGCTATAGGCAAAACGGGCTCTTTAAAGCCCAGCCTTGTAAGCGTAAGCATCGGTGATGGCCATGATGTTATGTCCATCGCACGTTTGGGCCCGGTGATTCTAGACACAAGATCAGATCAGATGGCAGAAAATCCGACAGACAAAAAGACGATGTTGTAGCATGGTGTTCCTCGCGAAAAACCCCCGTGGCGAGATGAGAGGGCCCCTTTTCGGTAACAGGCTAATAGCGAAAATCACCCCCATGGGCGGCTTAATCGCAGAGCCCCATTGTAACAATGCCTTCTTTACGGGGTGCTCCGTGCAACAACAGCAGTTAACAAGAAGCGCAGTGGAGATCCCCCAGCTTGTGACTGTCGATTTCGCTTTCTCCATTATCCATCCCTGCTGAAATGAGCACGGCCCGGCCTCCATCTTGGCTTAGGACTCATGACTACCAAGACTTCCAAGACAGCCAAGGTGGAACAAGATCGCCCATTCCGAACAAATGAGTGGAACCCGCACGTTAAGCGGACGTCTGCCATTTGATTCAATCGCTGTTTTGTCTTTTTTGCCTGCTCGGTTCTTCCGTTCAATCTGGGGTTTGTCTGTCACCCGGTCCGCACGCCCGTCACATTTCAGATTTGTCTTCTGGCCTCACTCGACGCGTTTTCTATATCTATCCAGGGATCTCCCCCCATTTTTTACATGTTCCCCTTTACTTTTCACCTCTATCAGTACAGTCATCTGCTAAGCCACTGAGTGCTTCTGGCAGAACAATAACAAACGCCACTTTATTGTTACATTTTAATACCTGAACCCTCGACCGAGAAATCGTCATGGGCATCAAGGACATCATCGGCCTTGGGGTCGACGAGAAGACAAAGAAGCTTCAGGAGGAAGCTCCCAAGTTCGAGCATGTTACTTGGTACAAGGACCCCGGCCTGAGGGTCTTGACCTTCTACGCGTGTACTCTTTGCGTTTCTTCTATGGGAACTGGTTGGGATGGGTAAGCAGACCCCCAGATTCTGTGAATTCAGTCACAATCCACTGACCTGGCGCGTTTTTAGAATGTACATGGGTGTTGTTCAAAACTTTGACACTTGGAACGACTTCTTCGACAAGCCCGAGGGCAGCAGACTTGGTCTCTTGGTCGCTCTCTATCAAATCGGTTCCGTCGCTTCTATCCCTCTTGTCCCTGTCATCGCCGATCGCTGGGGTCGTCGCCCTTGTATCGCTCTCGGCTTCATCCTCATGGCTATCGGCGCTGGTCTCCAGGCTGGAGCTCCCGACTACGCTACCTACTCTGGCGGTCGTGTTCTTCTCGGTTTCGGCAACTCGTTCGCTCAGATCGCCTCTCCCATGCTTCTTGCTGAGCTGTGCCATCCTCAGCACCGTGCTCGATTCACAACTGTCTACAACTGTCTCTGGAACATGGGTTCTCTGCTTGTTTCTTGGACTTGCTTCGGTACTCACTACTGGGGTGGCGGCAACAGCGACTGGTCATGGCGATTCCCCGCTATTCTCCAGGGTGCTCCCGGTCTCGTTCAGCTCGTCATTCTCTGGTGTAAGTTGAGCTTCTGATCGAATTGTTTATGGATCTTGCTAACAAAAGTCCTCTAGGGATCCCTGAATCCCCTCGATTCCTCATCGCCAAAGATCGCCAGGACGAAGCCCTTCACATCCTCTCCAAGTACCACGCCAACGGCAACGAGAACCACCCAACGGTTCAGTTCGAGTACCGTGAGATCCGCGACACCATCAAGGCCGAGCAGCTCGCCAACAACAGCTCCCGATATGTCGACTTCCTCAAGACCAAGGGTAACCGCTACCGTCTCCTCGTCCTCTTCTCCCTCGGTCTCTTCTCTCAGTGGTCAGGCAACGGTGTTGTCTCCAACTACTCTGCCCGTCTCTACATCAACGCTGGTCTCGATAGCGAGAACGAGCGTCTAATCATCACCGCTGGAAAGACCATTCTCGATTTGTTTGTCTCTATCGGCTGCGCTCTCCTCGTCGAACGTCTTAACCGCCGATTCTCTTTCCTCTTCGCCACTGGTGGTATGTGCCTGACTCTGCTCTTCTGGACCCTTACTTGCGGTCTCCACGAGCAGCACCAGGCCCCTGGCGCCAACAACGCCATGATATTCCTTGTCTGGCTTCACGGTGTCTTTTACTCGACTTGTTGGTCTGGTCTCTTGATCGGTTATGCTGTCGAGATTCTGCCCTACTCTCTCCGTGCCAAGGGTCTGATGTTCCTCAACATTTCGGTCCAAATCGCTCTTCTTCTCAACAACTACCTCAACCCTCTAGCTTTCAAGGCCTGGCAAGCCCCCGCCGTCCCTGAAGGCGAGAAAGAAACTGGATACTGGGGCAATACGTGGAGACTTTACCTTATTTACACCATCTGGGTCGCCGGCGAGGTTATCTTCATCTTCTTCATGTACGTCGAGACTCGTGGACCTACGCTTGAAGAGTTGGCCAAGGTTATCGATGGTGACGAGGCCGCCGTGGCCGATGTCGACCTTGAGCACGTTGAGAAGGAGGTTCTCAGCAAGGAGACCGAGAGAGTTTCTTCTGAGGATCAGGAGGTCCACCAGATTGCTCCCAGCAAGGTCTGAGTAACGTCTTATCACATTCCCACGAAGAGGGCGCCGCGATAGTTAGTAAACGCGTGTCCGCCTGTCTACGATAATTGTTTTTTGATCTAGTCTCATAGGCTAGCTGAATGAGTTTAATGCTATACTTTTATTGATGAATAACACTACCATCACCTGTGACTGCTCTGATGTAGACTGGTTCCTAAGCGGTTGTCATATGACAAATACCAACCGTTGAATGTAAAATTATTACACAAAGCTGACGCCATCTCATAAAAGACTTCCACACGAGGAGAAGACGAGCCAGAAAGTTGATGTGATGAGACATGTATTTATGCATACGAGAAGAATTATCTGTAAATATAGCTTCAAGTGCCATGTCCACATATCACATTCTCGAGATGTGTTTGTGCAGATGACAAGAACTGCAACCATCTCGGGTGTAAAGGACTCTCAAACCGGGGCAGAATAAGTTGGATATGTGGATAAGAGAGAGGACCTGTCACCGACTCTTTAAAGCTCTTGAACGACACTGATACAAATCGTTAGAGGAGATTCAGCGGAAGAATAGGCTTGACGGTTGAACTTACAGATTAATAAACTTGGAAGCTTCCAATGAGCTGATGTTTGCTTAAGTTGCAGTAATAGAAGAAGTTCGCAGTTCTCAATCTCGGATATGAGATGCGTATTTGTACTTTCCGTATACTTCTTGTGAATATCCAAGAAGACAAGCGTCGTCAAGCTGATGAACGAAAGTGCTGGGTCCACGGTGAGAGTGTAATTACTGTCCCACTTCTCTGCTACCCCCGCTATGTTCTGACAGGTTTCTAGAACGCGTTGCCAGCTAAGTGTCCAATCATCCCCTTCTGGAAGATAGTAGCAGTTTGCAAGTGCAGCCAATAGTTGCGCCATATGTAGTTGAAGGACTGGTACTAATCTCGCGTGGTGATTAGTATTTGACTCATTCATGAACGCGTTCCTGCCGGGGTTCAAGAAGTTCCGTGGTAAGGCTAGACGTATTGCAGAGAGTATACGTTTCGAGTCAAGTAAGTTTGCCGTGAGGATTTTGTGAGGAACCAAGTAGCGCATAGTCATTGCTCTTCCAAACTGCCGTAAGACAGTGACGGTGATGAGATGGATGTTGAAAAGTAAGCTGCTTTCGCTACCGGTTTTGACATACAAGAGAAGGTCGGGAAGGCCACGCGGATCGTGAGGTAACCTGCATGGGGCAACGAGACCTTGAGAAAGCTGACTATGGTGATTTAGAGATGTATTGACAAGTCGTTCATCAACTTGGTATGGTGTTCCAGATGAGAGGTTGGCGTACGAGTCAAGACGGTATACACACCACCAGACAAGTTTCCAGTTCTGAAGATCCGCATCGCTCACATTGGACCATTCTGGGGAGACAGATTGGATTATGTCTAAACGGTCAAGACCCATCCAATACGCAAGCCGGACAATCTTTCCTATTCGCACCCAGGCTTGCTGGCCAGGGAATTGGTGGAATTCATAAAGGACGAGCAAGCAGAACTTGCGGAAGAGGTCGAGACTTGGAAAGTCACCGGCCGTATCCTCTTGAAGCGTTGTGTTGCTTAGGATTAGGTCTATACGGCCGTCAAGGTCAAAATGAGGGGATGCGAATTTGAAGCCGAGGAGTTTGGCGGTGATGAGGAGCAGAGCTTCGGCGAGTTCAGGGTTACATGTTGATAGAATATCTTTGCTGCTTGATGCTGTGGCCTCGGAGAACAGTGGTATGGCTTTATTAATGGATTTGAAGTGCTCATCGGCCCTGACATGGTCAGCAGGAAGATACAACAACACCCATAGTACATGGGCTGTATGGAAATGCAGGGTTATCTCTTACAGATATGCTTCCTCTTCGGGCAAGATGTTTAGGCTCTGTGTTGATTGATTGCCAGTAGAGGCATGGGAAGTGACGAGGGTATCAGGGCTTTCAGAGGGTAGATCCGTAACCACTGGAACCGAAGAGGTGGTGCCCTCAAGGATAGAATCGGTCTGCAAGGTGGTCTCCTCTATGTCTTCAAAGCGAGCGATTAGATACCGCGATGCTTGAACGGTAAGTAGACGTCTCTTACCAGGATACCTTCTGTCCCGATTGCCAGCCTCCCGCCGTGGCACTCTCCCGGAGCCCGGAGCTGGTCCAGGCCGACGACGTGTCGTGGAGTAACTGCATATCTTGCCGCGACCTAGGCAGCGCGAGCAAGATGGCTGTCCTAAATCGCCTGTGACCGACGACCGGCCGCATCAGTACTGGGGACGGGGAAGTGCCGGATTATCTCACATCGGACTTTAGAGCTGAAGTACGGAGATTGTTAGATGCTGTAGTGCCGAGAGCTAATGCGGGGTCTACGAACCGAATACAGTTGTCGCAGACTCTGGTGCTCAGGCGATGAGTAGAGGGAGCCGCGCCGAATGTTCCGCTATGTGAAGACGGGTGATACAGACATGGTGGAGAACCGGAAAGACTCTCAAGCGGAGGCGAGCAGTAGATACGCCGCTTGACGACGGATACTCGTATACGGAAGGCCAATATCGGGTCGTTGTTTGGCGCAATCAGAACATCGGAGGTAATGAGAAATGGTCGAGATTGTGGATTCACAAGATGCTCCGAGGATTTATCCAAACAGTATTTCCGATGACTAACCAACCTCGGCACTTTCACTACAGCTAATCCCACGTCGGAGGATCTAAAAAGGGTCAGGCATGAGATCTGCCGTAGCTTGTATTTCCCCGCATTTTAGCATGATGGAACAAGCAGCTCCTCCGAATCCCATGCTTGGTTGCCACAAAAAGCCCGTGTTACAGAGAAGATGTATTTAAGCATTGGTATCAATGAAGGGTTGCAGATTAAGAGCTTATGCTGTAAATCTCAACACCATGGCCAACTTCTCGGTACTCATCAAGTTTGAGTCTGAAGAGGACGGGGAGATATATTTCGCCGATCTTGGCCCTGATGCTCAAGGCCCGCCTGCACTCGGCACCAAGGTCAGCGCGGTCAAGTCTTTACAGGCCTTGGGTGATAAGGATGAGCCAAAAACGGTAACAATTCGCCGTGTAAGTCTTTCTGTGCTATGCTTTGGTGAACTGAAGCCGTCATAAGTCTCCTCTACTGACTGAGTACAGCTCTTAGCGCCACTGCCTCGAGATGACTTACCTCTATATTGCGTGGGATTGAACTATCGCAGCCATGCCAAAGAAGCTTCAGTATGCCAAATGGAAACAGACAGCCCGCTTCGAGTCAATCACTAACGAGTCTTTAGCTCAATTTGACCTCGGTTCCTTCACTATGGACCAAGCCAGCTGCATCCCTTGCAAATCCAGATGAAGACATCCCGCTCAACGACTTCTGCGCAGAGAGCCTCCCAGATTACGAGGTAGGACACAACCTCACGATATGCTGTTTTTGCCCGAAACTAATCGTTTTACAGGGCGAGCTCGTATTTGTAACCTCCAAACAGTGCCGCGACATTTCTCCCAAGGAAGCCAAAGACTACATACTGGGGTACACGGCTGGCAACGACATATCCTGCCGCATGTATCAGCTTCCCAAGCATTCCGCCGGTCAATTCTTCTTCGCCAAAGCTTTCGACAAGCTTGCCCCAATTGGACCCGCCCTGATCAGCCCAGCCATATTTGGCGATGGCTCAGGTTTTTCTGTAGAGGTAAAAGTCAATGGAGAGGTTCGGCAGGTAGCAGAGTTTAAGAAGGACATGGTGTTCTCGCCGGAGCAGATTCTCAGCCATATGAGTCAAGGTACTTTACCATTGCTTACGAGCGGGGTAAGTGCTAACAAGTTGTACAGGAACAACCATACCGGCTGGTACAGCGGTCATGACGGGAACACCCGCTGAGGTAGGTGCTTTCCATAGTCCCAAGGTATTCCTCAAAGATGGTGATGTCCTTGAAGTTACTATGGTGCGGGTTGGAACATTGAGAAACGTGATAAAGTTTGAGTAAGCATCGTTCGTTCACCTTTGTGAGCCTGGCATAAGGAGGTTTGCTAACGGTGGATTTTGCAGGGTTCGACTTTTAACGCGTCTGATAGTCTCTGTGCAGAGGGTCGCTATCTTTCTCTTTAGTGGGTTTATGTAGAACTTGCAGATATCCCAAATCTCAGTGAATATGGATGTTGTGTTTTCTCTTATCTCAGGCTATTCTGCTAGCAGTTACATTCTTGAGACGTTTATTTTATATTAATGGACCAGAGGACTAATGCTTACATCGCGCACCTTACCTTGTGTTCTTCTCACGCTTCCAATGTAGAGGGTTGAAGGCATGGAATCTATGCAAAGGTTGACTTTGTTTTTAAGAAATACGACGAAATACTCTTCTAAAACGTTACCCAAACTATCAAGTGAGGTGCTGCAAACACTATAATTCTCGTGCTATCATTTGAATTAAGATACGATTGGCCACCTAGGGGAGGAAAGCACACTGGGGACCTTGACCCTAAACGACAAGAATAGTTGGGTAAATCTAATCTAAGCCTATGGGAATTTTCTCGGGTTATTTTGATATCCTATATCAAGGTCCGATGTTTTCTTGCTCCCTGAGCACCACGTTGCTGAACCATTTCAGCATTGGGAGTAAAACCAGACAAGTCCGTGAATTACTCAGCTAAGCAACTAAGAAGTAAGGAACAAATGTCGAAAACCTCTAGGTAGCAATCGATCTTGAATGACTACATAGCACGCGTCTCGCGCTTCATCCTGTCAACTATTTCTTACTTCCAAACCCAACGAAACCTCTCAGTGATTCGAGAGAGCTGACCAGTCCAGTATAGTCAGAAGAACAAGCAAAGATGAAGAAGTCAGGTCGAATAATCGTAAATTTCTTACCCCTCCCAAGACGCTTACCAAACATCGAGCTGTCATATCCATTCGCCAGATGCCCATCAGGTGCAGCAATCTGTGAAGGTGAACAGACCATGGGATGGCCAAGTCCTCCATTATTACCTGAAAGTGTCTTCTGACTCTGTGGTGAGTCTCCCGACTGTCCGTCGTAAACAACAATGGCATCATTTGTGATGATGGATGAGAGCCCGGCTTCTTGGACTGCAGCTGTTGCTTCAGCATGCAAGATTTGCTGGGTAGCTGGTTTTCCGTCACTCATCACCACCAGAGTGAAGATGGTATTCCCCTTTCGTAGAAGACCATCTGATAAGAATGATTCTCCCTGGCCCTTTGATCTCATATGTATCTGAGGCAAACGGGAGCCACCTGTTCGTCCCTTGACAAAGAACCCGTTTTCAACAGCCGAAAATCCCTTTCTCTCTTTGTGAGATACATAATCCATATGCCGAAAGATAGAAGTGCCGTGGAGAAACATCAAAAGCCGGAAAAACAATTGTTGCCATAAAGAAGGCTCGTTATTGCAGATCCGACCGTTGATCATAGAGAACTGTGCCGCGTTGTTGATGCTCTGACGTCGCTCGGATGCCCAGCACTTGAGAAGCTTGTCGTAGTTTTTGGGCTTGCAACCTGGGTGAAGCATCAGAGCTAACCTCCATGCGAGTTGGTGGGCGTCTCTAACACCGCTGCCAATACCTTGACCGGCAAAAGGGGGAAAGACATGAGCTGCGTCGCCGATGAGGATAGTCCGGCCACTGAACCACCGGTCAACGACTTTGTGAACAAAGTGGAATAGCCGACATCGCAGAATCTCGATGCAGTCTCGTGGGTACTGTACAGGGCCGTTGAACCTATGCTTGCGGCTTCTGTCTTCCTTGAGAATGATCATCGGCGTAATATGTTCCCAGAGTAGCTCTTCCGAGTTATCCTTGATAAATGACTCATCCAGGGCAAACTCATGACGCCAAAGCCTTTCCTCATGAGGACCAAATCTTCCAGAAGCAGTAGCCTTTCCAGGCGGAGTACAAAAGTGCCATCCGATAGGCCAGAACAGATCATAAACCTCTTGCGGCGAGTACCCAAACTTCCAGAGTGGAAAGCCAGGGTGAGTCTCTGGCGTAGGAAGCTTCATCTTTAGGTTGGCGGCTATCCAGGTTCCGCTGTAAGGATAAATACCGTCTTGCTGCTTGATGCCTACAGTTGGTTCAAGAAAGTGTTTTCGTACGATACCCAACTTTCCGTCGGCGCCGACGAGCCATTGTCCTTTCATCTGCTGTCGTGTGCCTTGACTATCGTTGAAGTCGATCACTGGTGGATCTTGTTCTGACCGTGCGATCACTTCGCAGGCGGTTCGCAGTGAGCAGTATTCCGACTGCTCAATAGCCTTTCTCAATGCAGTCTCTGTAGACTGCTGTTAGAAAAAGGAAGATATATATTGCTGGGGCTTAGAATCATTTACCTAGACGGGGCTGCATTTGCAGAATGCCTTCAGGCAAGGCTTGTTCAAGACTATTGATGGCCCCAATGCGAATTGAGAAGAATGGGGGAGTATTGAATGCAGTGCGATGGACATTTATATGTGGAATTTCTGTGCCAGTCGGAATCAGTACATTTCATGCTATGCATATTCATTTGCGTTTGGAACATGTTGACTTACCATGACCTATGCCCTCCAGATCGTTGATCCCGAGGCTGTGTAATATTCTGACGGCATCTCCCGTGAGGAATACGCCTCTGGGGTCTGTGGTGATCTCTGCTTCCTTCTAAAGAATGACGGACTGGTAATGCATTGTCAGTACTAAACATGAGCTTGCTGTAATTGTCGAAATAGTGGCTACTGACATGAATTTGCAGTCGGGCTAGTGAAAGTCCCAGGGTAAGACCTGCTGGTCCACCACCAACAATGATTACTTGAGTTTCATCCATCGTGTTATGGTAGAGAGATGTGGCTCGTCGTGTAAGTTGGGCCTTTCATCTCATTTGGAGGATTTATATGGGCGACTACCAGCCCAGTCGCCTGATGGGAGTGCCACAGGCCCATGCCCGCGATCCTCGGCAATGATCCCCAGACGTCACTGAAATGTGCCCTGTAGCAGACAACGCAGGGTATTACATGCGGGGTCCACGCCTCGAATTGAGTTTGGCCTTTCGGAAGATCCGTAGTCTGCTTGAGTTCCTCCGCCGCTAGTTTGCAGATCCTCCGAGCGTCTTGTGGCAACCGAGACAACCGAGGAGGGAAAAAAGTATCATGATCCAGACTTCTTTGTTTACGTTTTATTCGCTGGCTAAATTGGCTGGAAGCGTTACTATAAAAGTATTCTATTACTGACTTTTGGTGACCTTGCGTTTCTTGACATTCCCAGTTAGTTTAATGCAGGCCCCGCAAAAAGTCGATAGGGCTGCCAGGCAGGCATCATATGGGCTTTCAAATATGGGTATGCTATCCCTCAGGGACTTTTTGGCCGGGGAATGGAATAAGACTATAGAAGTGGATGTAGCGCCGCTATGAATGCCCTAAGTTTGGTGTTCTAGCTTGGCCTTTCTTTGCCTTCTGCCTCTGTATGTAATGTTGCGTATCACGGCTTGGGTTGCATAGTAGAATGATGATTTTGGGGTGTTGTTGGGGCGGGACAGTCTTACACTAATGAATAATGTAAAGTCATGGTGTTTTTAGAAACTAATATCAAAAACTAAGATTTAATTCTTTATCAGAATGAGTGGCTTCATAATTCAAATCAGGCTGAGCTTCAAGATATAGGGTTTTCTAAAATGATTAGCCTGCCACTTGCGTCACTTTAATATCTGGTAAAGACTTGTTCTGTACTTACCGGATCTTGGTAAGCTTTTGCAGTGTATTCCGCCTCTCTCTTGCCAATAATTTTCTTTGGGAGGCCGGTGCTTTCCACCATGATCTGCACCTCACAAGATCGCTCTAGGAGCGTAAAAAGATAACCTGCTTCATCAACAGTGGAACCGGTAGTAAGCAGGCCGTGATTTTGCAAGATCGCGACGCGGTTACTTTTACCCAATGCCGCGGCGATTCTCTGGCCCTCATCACGTTCTAGAACAATACCTCCAAAGTTTTCATAGACAGCCTGGATACCAAGAAAGGCACAGGCATCTTGGTTTATGGTGTCCAAAGGAAGGCCAAGTGCCGACCAAGCTTTTCCAGCAGGAGAATGTGTGTGACAAATAGCATTGATGTCAGGCCGAGCTTTATGAATGGCTCCATGGATTTGAAATCCAGCTTTATTGACCGCGACACGATTTCCACCAACGACATGGCCATCTTCGTTGATCTGCACCATATCGCTTGCTTTAAGCAAGCCAAAGTGTATGCCGAGACTAAGCAAAGATCAGAATCACAGTTTAGCCACAATGGCAGAAAGGTACACTTACGGGTTGATCCAAAAGGTATCTGGTTCCACGGGGTCGCGAACACTAATGTGTCCAGCGGTTCCTTCTGTAAAGCCCTTCCGTGCAAATACTCGAAACACAGCAGCCATGTGTTCTAATTGCCACTGCCGCTTTATGTAAGGGTCTTTGAACTCGGGGACACTTGGGGCTGGATACCCCCCAGTTGCGCAGATCTGCTCGGGCGACTCCTCTGTTTGTGCGGTAGTGGAGTATTGATCGCCCTCGAGTCTTACGGCTTGGACAGTGGTTGTGACAGACATGATGGTTATGTGTATTTCCCTAAGATAAGGATAGATGTTATAAGGTGTCGACTTTGACGATTACCTCATTGGTCGGTGTTGGTGAATTCTCCAAGCAAGCAGAGATCTAGAACAACACTATCAGATGAGTTATGCATTGATATAAGCGTGTGATTCAATTGTCTACAGAGCTTAGCGGCATGTTCTCCACGTTTGCGCCCGTTGACTTATCAAGTTGCGCCTAGCTAACTAACCCAACGTAGTAAAATGATACGACCTCGCAAATGGGGCCGTGGATTCCATAACCTAGAACAGACTAGGGGAATTTTTATAGAGGCAATAGCCTCTCTACTTCTAGACTAGCCATCAACGACGGTGCAATCCATAGCTCTTTTGATACATAGCCAATCTATCTTCCTGACAAGAGGCATAACCGCAAAACAAGATATATATACCAGTGCAGTTTCAGTGAACCTGAGTCCAAGATTCAGTCATCCTGCTTCCATATTCAACATTTTTTTATTTGTCAAAGATGGTTTCTATCACACAGCAAGATGACTATAAGAAAGTCGCCCTTGATACCTCCGGACCAACGAATGCATGCGACACTAGTTCAATCCAAAGAGCTTCAATCTACATGACCAACGGGCAAACCAAGCGTGGTCTATCTCCACGTCATGTACAACTAATGGCCATTGCAGGCAGCATTGGCACTGCTCTATTTGTTGGTATTGGTGGTGCACTATCTAAAGCCGGCCCGCTCTCCTTATCGCTTGGATATCTATTCTGGAGCATGTTCTTTATTCTACCATGCACACTAAGCGTTGCAGAGATGTGTGCATATCTTCCTATCCGGGGAAGCATCTTTGAGCTCGCCAGTCGCTTTGTCGATCCTGCTCTTGGCTTCTCCATGGGCTGGACATACTTTTACGGCGGTGTTATGCTGGTTTGTGTGGAGTATAGTGCTGTTGCTACAGTAATGCAGTATTGTATGTAAAGCCCTTTCCGTTCAAGTCGATTGTTCGCTGTTCTTCTGACCTCGAGATATTAGGGAATACTTCCATCAACGCAGGTGTATGGGTTGCAATGGCTCTGGTCGTCTGCTTCCTGCTGAATGTGATTGCCGTCAAGTGGTATGGAGAGTCTGAGTTTATCATGGCATCAACAAAGGTCATTTTGATCATCGGCCTCATTTTGCTTACTTTCGTCACTATGTGTGGTGGTAACCCTCGAGGCGACGCTTACGGCTTTCGGTACTGGGGCGGCGGGAACGCGATGCACGCCTATTATACTGATGGGGCAGCTGGTCGATTCCTCGGATTCTGGTAAGCTATACGAGAATCCCTATTTCATATTTCTTTACAAATGCGCTGACGTCTTGAAACCAGGTCTGTAGTCATTTACGCTGCATTCACCATTGGTGGCCCTGACCTAATCTGCTTCACTGCTGGCGAAATCCAGAATCCCCGGAAAACTATACCCCGAGTCGCTCGCTTGATATTTTATCGACTGGCATTCTTCTATGTCGTTGGAGTATTTGCCGTTGGAATCCTCTGCTCAAGTCGTGATGAGCGGTTATTGAATGCTTTAGGCGGTGGAGCTTCTGGAGCCGCAGCTTCGCCCTGGGTTATCGGCATCCAGAATCTCGGTATACATGGTTTACCTGATGTGATTAATGCTGTCATATTACTTTCCGGCTGGCAAGTATACCTATTATGATTGTAGCCTTTCATGAATATACTGACTGTATATTGCAGGTCCTGTGGGAACGCGTACCTGTACTCCACGTCTCGCTCCTTGTATGGGCTTGCTCGCGGTACGTCAATCCCAAAAACGAGATGTACCCATACGCTAATAACAACTTAGATGGACTCGCTCCCAAGGTATTCACGAAATGTACCAAGTCAGGTGTACCTATCTACTCAGTCATAGCTGTCACTTTGCTCTCTTGCCTCTCATTCCTCGTCGTTTCAAATTCCTCTGTTACAGTTTTCTACTGGGTAAGTTGCGTCTTTCAATGTTATCTATGCTCATTATTCTGACACCGTTTGATAGTTCGTTGATCTTACCACGGGTGGATTTGTCTATGTCTACACTTGCATGCTCTTAACATTCATCGGGTGGCATCGCGCCTTGAAAGCTCAGCCCGACACTGTCCCGGAGTCGTCATTGCCGTACCTATCACCGTTCAGGCCTTATGGTGCTTATTTTGCATTTGTTTTGGGTTGCATCTTTCTTCTCTTTATCGGTTGGGACACATTCTCGCCCTTTGATGTTGAAGGATTTATAACCTACTATTTCGCCACTGCATTCGGCCCGTTGATGTTTGTGATTGGGAAGCTCGCGAAGAAAACGAAATGGGTGAAGCCTGCTCAAGCAGACCTTATCACTGGAAAAGCCGAAGTTGACGAAGAATGTCAAGTATGGGAAGATCCTGCGGCAATTGAGAATGAGAAACTGCGCTTGCAACAGATGAACTGGCTTCGAAGATTCTGGGAGAGACTTTGGTAGATTTACGCCTGGGTTGATACATTGATTTATTTGTTCACGATGTATCCAAGTTAGCGGCGCACTGTTTCACCCTCACATCCTAGGTCGCGAATGGAATAACAAATTGCTTTTCTGTGTCAAATAGTTCCCGCCAGTTGGAGACAGTACGACATCGAGATCTGCCGGGAATGTATCCTCTGCTCCTTGGCTACATAAATAAAATACTAGAAGCCCATCGGCAACCCCTGATGATCTTAGAGAGCTTTAAGAGCAAGAAGGGAATCCGCCGTATTATTTGGTTGTGATATAACGTGCGGCAAAGATTCAGGAGTGGAAGACATCAGTGCTCGGCTTGTTTGTCATATTTGCCATATCTATTTCTTTATCATTGAACAACGATTTCATTAACAAGGTCGTTACAATCTACTTGGCGATCAACTTTCTCAGCCCAGCATAACTGCTTAATGTTAATATACTTCCTTTTTCTTGCTTCATGTAAAGATCGACTTACCTTGCCAACCCCAGTCCTTCATGACGGTCATCCAATGTATTTCGCTCTTGACTGTCGAGCATGAAGGGCTAGAGGAAACCGTTTCGACACGAGTTGATTTAGATGACTTATCGCGTCTTTTCCAAGCCTCTGCTGTAATCTCCAAACATCTGTTGACAAGTCCCGAAGTGAGTCGAGAACCTAGAACTCGCCACCTGTCAGAGACCCAAGTCCGATCCTCTATCTCGGTAGCCTCACAACCCGCAATCATCAGCGGCATTACGGGAAATATGGCTGCATGAGAGTCTACCGGGACAGTTGCTATAAGGGTAAGTACCTTTCTGGCCATGTCCTGCAACGAAACTTGTGTCGGAAGCTCTGGCACTGCCTGGTGAAGAAATAGCAAGGTTGCCCACTTGTAAGCATTAGCTGTTTGTATCAGATCAATCGTGCTTGAAGATAGTTGAGTCTCCTGGTGTTCCTCATCAAATTCAGTGGAAGGCTCCCATCGCTCAATCGAAGTCCTCAAACGGACTGCCTCGGAGACAATTGCTGGCGAGTTGAGCTTTTCCTGCCTGCGCCGAACGCGGTTGACTAGATCAGCCACGCTGCCGAGAAGAGGGAATAGTGGCCTAGCGCATCCCATGAGAGGATCTACCGTGGATACTGAAGATTTGGAGCTGAATAAGCTGCAATCCGACATGAGCGGTAAATCCATGACGTATCCGTCATGGCACGTAATGCGCGTTATGGTATCCATATATATCCAGGTATTTGAGAGGAAGCCTAAGCCGCTCAGCTCATCTCTGGGACGCTGGGAAGACTGGTGTTCGATTAGCGCCTTTCGAAGAAGCTCGGCTCCTTTCCTAATGTAACTCGTGGTAGTAGAAGATCGAGGATGGCACCAGGCCTGAGCTAGGCTCACGGCCAGCGCCGTGCTGATGGTTGCCTCGGGTTTACAATCGCTAGTTTCCATGATTGCGAGCTGTTGGACTGCATAGTTGAGGTGTCTTAGTCCTATGGCGCGATGTTGAGGGAGATCATTGAATCCCTGGAAGCATGTCATGGCAGCAAGTGCGTGATAAAGCGCAGTGTGCTCCTTAGCCATAGGCCAGACGATCTTTCGCCATGGATTCCCGGATGAACTGTCTTTGATACATAAAACCTCGCATATGCGGCGATCAAAGAGTACAGAGATGTTCTCTGGAGAGTCGCTATCGAGCTGAGGCACCCTGTAAAGAGGCGACCTGGAGTGGTTCTTTGAACTTGATGGAGAGTGCTCATCATCTTCAATACCTACTTCTCCAAACTCGTCACCTCTATAAAAGCCCTGAAGTTCTGGTGTTGCTTCAACAAATTGTGAAGTACGCAAAACTGGCGACAGGGGGATATGATCATTTAGTAGGTTGATACACGGAAATGGTGCCCGTTCAGTGTTCAGTGATCCCGTTATGATACCGCCCGACATTACTGGGCAATCTGGCGGTGAGGTGTCGTGATGGACTTGTGGCGCATCGAAGGAATCGAGACCGGCAAGGATGTCGTAGAGGTCGTCTAGGTCTTCGGATATATCGAAGGACATCTCTAATGAGAGGTCATTGATCTGAGGACCATCAAAGTTGGTTCCATAGTCAACAAATTCGCACCGAGACCCTAGGTCAACAGGAGTCTGGGCTGTATGGGATTGCGGGAAGACAGGATCTCGTGGCGGGAATTCGGGTTGGCTGAGTAGATCGCTCGGGACGCCATAGTTGTCAGACTCACGTCTGACGGAGAGTTCGGGTTCGTCAGAGTGGAAAGCTCGCAATCCAAGATGAGGCCGCTCCGACCTGGGCTGTCCTTTTCTGCTATCTAAATAAAAGCCTTAGCATCGTACCATGAGCCTGTAAGGGACTTGGTGTCCTACTATTCCCTGACGATGTACTGCTTGCATCGGGCTTCTCAAATTCCCTCCACCTAAACTCTGCTTGATAGCCCCCGCATACCGCTTTCCGGCGAAGGCATTGGGAGCAGGAAGGTTTCTTCTCATCACATTTCCTTCTTCTTGCTTTGCATGTAACGCACCCTAGACTGAATATTAGCTCTTTCCTCCATCTAGCCTTATTTGCCACTCAAGATGGGTTTCAACACAACCATTTCGGCTTTTCTTGTTTGGTGCTCGTTTCTGTGGCGCTGTATGCACCTCCTTTCCTGGGGAAGCTGGTAATAGATGGCGTAGCTGAGATGTTTCGGGGGGCGTCATGTTTAGGTTTTCGCATATACTTCAAACATGTCTGTATAGCTGTCCGCTTCACACAAAGTCGGTCGTTCTGGCGGCTTGCTTGGTATATCAGGGTCAGATGTTGTGCAATATTTCTATTGTGCTAGGGGAGTTGGGGACTTCGATCACTAACTAGACATCAAGACCAGAGAGTAGATAAGAAAGCGGGGGAATGTGGTGACTATCTACAATAGGTCAATGTGGGCTGAGGAGGCCTTTTTTGGACTAGTCTTGACTCTTCTATCACCAATCAGGTACCATTGATTAGCTAGGTGCAGTCCAGGCCCTCAGGCGTAAAACTGGGGGAGATTATCCCATGCATGTGTTCTATAATCTCCAACATTTAGCATGGGGATTTCTCTGCTATAGCGGTCGGCATGAGTCTCATCGTAGGGATTTAATCGGATACCAAGCTCTGCACCACCACGGTCACTCGAGTAGCAACCAAATTGTCTAATTAATCCACTTCATGGCATGCAAACTTCTTCTGCAGACTAGACGGGCTGCAGGCAGGGGGGAGGGTCAAAATCACACCTTCCACTTAGTGATCTACCTTTCTGTATGTCTTATTCTCACGAGTTCCGTTTCCCTATGTAACTGCACGAGGCTTGCAAGCAATAGATATCAATAGTATCTATACACTATCAAAGTCTTGTCCAGACACTGCTACATGATCCCTTCGGCAGCTATTAAGCTGACATTTGAATCTAGGCTCGAATCCAACACTTTCTGCTCGTTGTTTGTTATAGTTTCCTTATTGAACTCGGCCAGGCACATTTCGAAAACCCGCTTCTGATAATCTAACAACCAACACACGTCAGTACTGATAATAGCATTTGAAGCGCGATAACATGTCCTACTTACGAATCACGCCATTTTCCTTGTTTGGATTCAGTATGCCCTCAGTATAAATCCCCACATTCAGGTTCATCTGAGCCATTTCGCAAAGATCGTTGTCTTCCGTTGCGACAGTTCGGGCGAATTTGTAATAATTCTTAAAATCCTCCGTTTCGACAGGTGACTTGTGATAGTAGTCGAACTGCATGATAGTTTGAGACGGATCATCTGTCGGCCAGGTACGGAACGAGGAGATACCACCACCGTACAAATTCAACGTGGAGTTGGGGAAGAAGTAAAGAAAAAGACCATCACTTGGACTGTCGCGTTTGCAGCCTGCTTCTGCTAGGTGACGTGAGAAGTTCTGTTCGTTAAGCACCTGGTATGTAGTCGGCGCATAAACCTTGGAGAATGATGGATGCGCAAAGGAGCAGTGAAGGCATTCTTGGAACCCATCGATAAGAGTCTTCCAATTATACTTGCCGGTGTATTTGAGGCTTTTTCTAAAGGGAAACGCGGTGAAGTCAACTGTTGAAATGAGCTCTTCAAGACCGGGAAAGTATTCGTTGAACTCAGGCGTCAAATTGGAGAAAGTTATAAAGACGAGGCCGGTCCGGGTGATATGGCGACGCATTAGAGTGCCCTAAGAGCGTTAGAGTTCAAGTTGAAGTTATAGCTTCCATCTCGTACGTCACTTGTGAAAACCTGGATATTATTCCAGTCTTCTGACTCGCGTCGAACAGTAAATTTGAACAGCCCTATATCATATAAACAGTCCTCGCCGTCAGCGGACCATCGTGTGACAACACCGAGATAAATCCAGGTCTAGGACACATTAGTAGCCGCCCCGAAAGATTGACCACTTACGGCCATACCTTGTCGAATATAGCACGCCTTTCTAGGCCAGCAATTGCCTTACTGGTATACCATGATGCAGGGAGTGTGTTTGGACAAGACATTTTTAATCGACAACTATGATATGGCGCATAAATTAACGTATTTTCAAAGCCTCAGGGGTGATGAGACTTTGAGACGTGGAATTCCGAATGGTTAGATATGTATCCATATCTCGACAAATTGAGAGTATGTATCAATGTCATGGTCTTGCATTCATTCCCAGCTCTGCTAGCCTCAAGCAGCGGATCGTGTTCTTGACCTCGATTAGGAAAAGCGATCCGACGCTACTGACCAATCATTTGTCTGAGCTTTAGATCCCTCGACTCCGAGTTGGGCGACTCTGCCTTTATTTGTGATTCCTCGGCGATTGTTCTCTGTGTGATTAACAATCTGTTGAAAATTGAATGATTAATAAGCTGAAAGTTATTGGAACGGTAGAAGCCATGGCGGCACTATATCATGGAAGAATTATTAGTCATGTTCTGTCGTTAGTGCTGCCTACTCGTACCTCAATAATATCTCTTCTAGCGTTACTCTTCACCATCGGCAAAGTTCTTGTGTCCCATTCATAATCCAAGCCCCAAATATCCTACAAATTGGAGGTGGGGGGCTGGGTGTTATTGCTGCCTTAAGTTTCGCGGGCAGTTTAAGGGCCAAGGTCACAGCTGTCTTTTGTTCAAATCACGAAACTGTCCGTGCGAATGGGTACACAGTCAGTTCATGTGACCATGGCGAGGTAGAGGGGTGACGTCCAAGCAAAGGACTTGTTGGGCACCATGAAGCCACTTCTGAGTGCCCACAGTGAAGAACATTCCTCCTCCATTTTCGAATGACCAGGTATATTGTTAAATCGTCATTACTACTAATGACATACCTGGGCTTGGCCATAGCATGGCGGATTTAATTGCGCCCACATTTTCACTGGGCATCACCGTTATTTTACTCACTCAATATGGTTTGAATATCGAGAAGGAATACATTGAGCGGTATCCTAGCAATATGTTCCTATCTAGCATCGGCTGCGTCGGTTCTCGAGAGACAAGATTAAGCTGGATCCAACAATTAAGACTTATTCGTAAAGAACTTAGGAAGATAAAAATTTAGAAAGAAGCCCCAGTAGATCTCATGCTGGAATCCTTAATTATAAACCATCTTACTACCTACCATGCCAGATCCCCAGAGTTATCAAGCCCTTCCAAAGCCATACATACTGTAAAGATATATTAGTCATGCTCACTTTCATCTCGTCGTAGAGACTTAGTAATATCAAACTCACTCCCTTCAGCTTTTGCATAGCCATTACTTCGACACTGGTTGACTGTAGCTGGCTTGATCTCTGCTCCTTCGCTCTTTTCTCTTTCGGCGTGCTTATCCACCATATCAGCCAACGTCGCATGCTCATCTACACATGCTCAGTCTTCTATCGTTACCAAGCGCGATCGCACGACCTACCTCCGCCATGATATAATGAATGGACAGAGCTTGTGAGTTTCTCATACAGCTCTTCATGTCCCCGAACGATTGAATTGATCTCAAGCTCCAGTTTGGGCTTCAAACGTTTCTCAAAGTCGGAAATATCTTGCTTCGACTTTGAGTACACGTCGCATCGTACGGTGGTTTGTCTAACAGATTCCGGAGAATATGTGAGCTGGTACCAGACGGGACTTCCCTCCTGTGAATAAATGGTGGTCAGAGGGCTGAACCGCAGTTGTCCTGCCGCAGAAGTGCCAAGCAATCTCGACAAAGAACTTTTAAAATGGACAGACGCTATTTCTCGATGAAAGGCATTCCCTAGACCTCTGTGAGCATGCGTTGTATTTGGTGCTAGCAAATCCAGACACTGACCAGGAACCTTCCAGTTGAACTTCCCTTTCACTTCCCAAGATCCAAGATATTGTTGGGTCTGGTCAGTGGCTACTGGCCTTCCAATTACCTTCGCCCTCTCAAGCTCGGTGTTTCCCGCTTCTGCGCTACTGTTCAAATTGATGTGTAGAAATCCATCGTCATCCATCTTGGTGTGAACAGGAAAAAGACCATTCTGGCTCTTATCAAAACCAATCACATCTTCAAATTGGGGCGCCTTCGTAAGTTGCCCTTTGTTATTATAACTCCACCCGTGATACTTGCAGCCAAGTATAGATGCTGAGCCAGAAGCTTTTTTAGTCACCGGAAATGCGCGGTGCCGACAGACGTTATGAAATGCTCGCACCACATCATCCTTGCCTAGCATAAGGAGGAGTCTAAAGCCAGCAATTTCAAATGCGATATAATCGCCAGGCTTGGAGAACCGAGTGCGGTGACTGACGCAAATCCAGTTCTACTTTTGTCAATGGAATCCAACATTTATCGACTGAGGACATACCTGGCTGAAGATGGCTCGCTGTTCAAGACTGAACCGCTTGGCATCCGTCCACCATCCTTTCGGTGGCTTGAACGACCCAGCAGAGACTTGGCCTACTCTGGACTTGGAGAATAAAAACGTTTCAATTGATAAGAATAGAAGTAGCGCCAAGGTGAACAGAATTGCAGAAAGAATATAAAGGGACGTATCATTGAGCCTAAACATGGCTTGGGAGGCTTGTGAGCTGGACAGTGTAAGAAGATGATAGTTACTTAGAATAGGTACTGGTTAAGTAATTGTTAAATATTAGGCTAACAATTATATTTCTTCTTACATTTGACTCAAGATACGCTCTCTTGTATACGTATCATGGTTATCATATGAGTACTCCACCTGCTTGGTCAGCCGATAAGATCTGCTTCTGGATATCCTATCCCTTGCAAAATGCAAAGTGACGAGCCTCGGGTGTAAGACCGTCATTGCCAATAGTCCTTCATGTTCATGTGGGTACAACTTACCTAGAACAATATGGGAAAGTGGTGTTCTCATGATAACACTACTGACTGTAGCGTTGACCAATTACAAGGGTTGAAATAAGGGGATTCACTTTCCTAAAGTGGATGTATTTCACGCGACAGCCATTATTCGCCACATATGCCTGGTTCCATGTCTCCAAAGAAGTTAAAAATTAATGCTAATGCAGCTATTCCATCTATGAATTCCAGTATCAAGAGCCGTATTGTCATCATCATGCCCAAAAGCAATAAGAGCTATAGGGGTGGGGTCAGCTCTCGGCGGAAGATAAAGAAAACCTTTACTAGAGCAAGGAATTCAAGGCATTTATAGCAGCGCTGCACCCAGCCTTGACATCATCAACCACTTCCGTAAGCTTACTCCAGTTCCCCGCCAGATATTCCTTAAGGGTGCGCAAGATAATCGCACTCGAAAGCGCAGATAATGCCCTTTGGATAGCCTTGTTAACAATGCCCATGCTGTAGCTCATGAAATTGGCCGCTCCACTTTGCTGAGCAGGAGGGAGGGCACTAATAAATTTGACGGCCACATCCGATGCATTGCTGAATCGTTTGGAAAAGCTTTGGTTAGCGGTCCAGTAAGCAGTCTCGATGGCAGGACCCCAGACGTCTTTGTTAGGTTGCGTACCCTTCAAGCGTTGAATGGTATCGATGCATGCCCCACTAGCAGTCTGGATGTGTTGAACAGTAGCTACGTTGATGGCGATAAGCTGATTATTGACATTATCTTCCGGTGGATAATCATCATGATGCATTGGCACCTCGATTTTAGAGGTCTCCAAAGCGTCTGAAGAGTGCATTGATATCGTGTTGAGAGTTGGAACAGACAGCGCCATATCATGACGGAAATTCTGCTCCCAAGCGGGTACAGTTGCACTTGTTGAAGACATGATGATGTTATGGTCAAAGTTTATGGTTTGAAGACTCTGGAGTATGTGCGAAAAATATATAGAGTAATGGGCAACCTTGGGAATATATACCGCATATTTTGCGCAAGTTCGATACCGGGTTTTAGCTAGTGCAAGCATCTCTCAGCCCCTATTGGCTAGCCAGATTCCCTGCCCTGATTTCAGCTTTCAGCTACAAGCCTCAACTGCAAATAACAAGTCTCTATTGGCTAGCCGAGCGGGACTATTGGCTTCAGTCAGCAAAAACCAGCCTTTAAAGGCATCTTATTTTGTAAGTGCTAATGGACCAAGCTCGTCAATCACGAGCAAGCACAGAGAGAAAAGAGTTCATCAGCAAAATCTTATTATACTATCGCCCTTCCAAATGTACTATGTAGATATCCTGCTTCCATCCCCCACCTGTCCAGTCCCTTGTGTCGGTGTTCCAGTCTTCCCTTGGAAAGTTCGCGTTACCAATCGTTATCAGTCTATGGTTTAGGCAGAGAAGCGAGTGGCACGGCGGTTGTTGCGAGTGCTAGCATCAGTCTCATCCTCCTCATCCTCGTCTTCATCATCATTGCCATTATCATTGGCGTTGCCATTGTTGTTACCGTTTGCGTTCCCGTTGGCACCGCCATTGGTGGTGTCGTTAGTGGTATCGTTGGCAGTGTCCTCGGCGTTGTCATTCGCATTGCCAGCACCAGTATTGCCCGTGTTTCCAGTGTTTCCGGTTTCAGTAGCATTTCCAGCATTACCGCCATTGCCCTGGACCATCTGGACCGGGATCACACCACCAAATGGGCCGGCGCGAGCTGGGTTCTGACAGCGGACAAGACAGACATTATCCTCGCCTGCGACTGTTCCAGTACAGTTTTGCCCGGCAGGAATAGAAGCAACAAGAGGAAAATCTCCCATCTCGCCGTCCCGGTTGCGACCCCGGTCATTGCCGGCGACATTAGTTGTCACCTGTATATTCTCCCAGGATGTACCGGTGCCGTCGGCATTGATCATGCACGTGTACGGACCAGCACCGTCTGAGTTGACCTGATGAACCGTCATCTCGAGGCTACCACCGGGGTTCACCTGAGGAAGCTCCGATCCTGATTTAGGTGTTAGTTTGTGAAATAAATAACATCGTCAAGGCGGATAGCTTACCTGTCTCTTCCATGATGTCCAAAGTTCCCTGCTCGATGTCGTTATCACCGGCAGACAAGGTTTCGCCGACGGTATCTGCGGAGTTCCCTCGGAAGCGGGTTGCATCCTGCTGGAAAGGGCGTCTTCGAGTTCCGTCTCGAGGAATTGAGGTATCAACACCAAGGGCCATGCCAGAGCCACCAGCATCACCGACGGCATTAGTGATAACACTGTGGGCTGAGACTGCTGCGAGATCGGCAGCGACGAAAAGGGCCATGAGGAGGTTCTTGATGGGAGCCATTGTGGAAGTGGGTTTACTGTGAATAAGACTGAGAACAAAGTTGGACAAAGGATGAGGAGTGAACTAGTCAGAGAGACCGAAAATAGAGACCTGACCGGCAGGGGAGAAGTGATTAAAAAGGAAGAAGATGATGCTGATGCTGATGCTGATGCTGATTGTTGATGCTGATGTTTAGAACAATGAAGGGGAGATGTGAAGACTTATATAGAAAAGTCAACGAGTCTGTTTCCTCTTACGGCCTTCTTAACAAACACAGATATCACCACCAAAGAAGCAGCCAAGTAAAACACAAGACACTCTCGAGACATTCAACAGCTTCACGATAGTTCCTCAAAATGTGTCAAACATCACCAGACAAACATATCACGCACCGCACGGCTTCTTCACCTACGCTTTGACCCTTGCCCGCCCAGCCAAGACCCGGAATCCTCGTCTCCCGAAGAACACAGCCACTCTGTCAAACAAAACGTCAAACAGCCATTGCTAAACTGCGATTTGCTCATTAACCATAAAACGCCTGCACTTAAAACACAGAAACTGCTTCTGAGCTACGGACACGGGCCATGATCGACAAACAGGTCGGCGAGAGCGGCACGTTTGTAACTAATTCCAAGACCTCGTCTATCTTCTGAGGAGCCAATCGTATCTCTGCGTCGCCAAGTTCCGAGATCTGTGGAGGTCCTAGCCAATTGTCTGTCGGGGAATGTGTTTTGGGGGAGAGACGTCGCAGGTGGTGTTTCAGGGGAGAGGGCTGAGCACACGGTCAAGAGGGGGACAAAACGGATATGGTGAAGATTCGAAACTGTTTGGCTATATCTAAGCTAAATATTATGTCTATTTTTTGAAAAGAGTTACACGTGAAGGCGGCCGAAGGGTTGTGGAATGGGAATGACCCTTGTTGGGGTTTGTTCCCGGCCGAAACCCTGGATGGCACTAACCAGCACGAACAGGTCATTGTGGGGTCGGTCCAACTAACCATGACTTGAGTGGATTTACCGTAGCTTCGGAGGATTTGGGTTCAGTCCACCCTAGAGTTCCTCCGCGGCCAGTTTAGAAATTTCGTGATATTTAGTTAGAGAGATAAAAGATGGATAACTAGTAAATAGACAAAATATATTAAGGTAAAAAACAAGAAAAACTCATGCTTGAGTCTGGATTTGACCAAACCTTTACAAAAAGATCACCACCGGGAATTGCGCCAACGATGAAGTCCACAGCCAATACACAAGTTCAATTACGATGCGGACTTGTCTTCAAGAACAGGCTTGTGAAGACTGCAATGTCTGAAAAGATGGCACAGAACTTACTGCCATCTGCCAATCATAGAGCATTGTATAAGCGATGGGCAGAAGGTGGATGGGCAGCTCTAATCACGGGCGAGTTTTGCGAAAAGCTTTCTCCATACGCAAAGAAGCTTGCTCTGACAAGGATTAGGAAACATCATGGTTTCGGACCAGTATCTCGGCAGCAATCAAGACGTCGCAGTCACCGGAACCACATCGAATTTGCTACAGAGTTGGTTAGAGTGGACAGCTTCTACCAAGGATCAGAACTGTCATATGATTGCTCAATTGTAAGCCCAGTCACGATGTCAAGACGCAGTGACTAACGGGAGCGATGATGCAGAAACCATCCAGGGCGGCAGTCTCCAATTGGAGCAGGAAAGAGAAGCATCTTCTCAAAAACAATCGCTCCCAGTGCTATTCCGATCAATCTCGGCGATAACACCGTTGCCAAGTTGATCCGTATGCTGGTATTTGGAACCCCGAGGGCCATGACACGGCATGACATGGATGTTGTCATCGCGCAATTCACTCAAGCTGCGCATCTGGCTTACCAAGCTGGCTTTCAAGGTGTTGAGGTTCATGCAGCACGTGAGTGGAATAGTATGTGAACGAAGCTGTATTCTTACTGACTGTATCTCGTAGATGGCTTTCTACTGTCTCAGTTCATGACGCCAAACAGTAACAAGCGCGATGATGAGTTTGGACGTTTCAACAGACAAGCGCGTCGAACTAGTTCTTCGCATCATCCGATCCATCCGAAAAGAAGTCCCCAAGACATTCTGCGTTGGTGTCAAGATCAATTCCGCAGACTTCAAGGATGAAGAGGTAATGACTCAGATGCTACGACAGATCGAGTTGATTCAGCAGGAGGAAATCGACTACATCAATCTCAGTGGTGGATCCTTCGAAGACCCTCAGATGATGAGCACCAAATCATCCCTGCAGCCAAGTTCCACCAGGTCCCGCTCAAGTATTCGCGAGGGTTTCTTCCTTCGTACAAGTGAAAAGATTCGTCGCAAGTTTCCTGATCTCACACTGCTTGTGACTGGCGGGTTCAGGAGCCGGAAGGGCATTGCTGGAGCTCTTGATAACAACGCCTGTGATCTAATCGGACTTGGGAGACCAGCTGTGAAATATCCAGAGTTGCCAAGAAAGATCGTGTTCAATGAGGATGTCAGCGATGATGAAGCTAGATTTGACGTAGAATCTGCCCCGGCCGGTGGATGGCTGGCTTCAAAGGTCCGCTCTGTTGGAGCAGGCGTTGAGACTGTAAGTTCACACCCTCTCGTTGAAGCGCCTTTGTATCGTCGTTCAGTAAATTCCTCGTCTAACAGCATCTAGAAATACTGGGTGACGGCTATGAGTAACCTCTAATACACATATCCTTCTCAGTAGGAATGACACACTACCTTGTCCCGATGTACTGTTTCCCATACTGGACTGTAGCAGGTTCTCCGAGTTCGATATCGTCCTGGTTGATGCTTATATAATAGAATACAAAGGCAGTGGTATCATGACCTGGTCGGATGGCAATTCCTGTCGGGAGTGCAGAGTGCTTCCAAGGTCTTAATGACCAAAAGTGAAAAACCCTTCAGGAAGTCGGCCCGGGACACCAGTAAATGAGAACGTGAAATCGTCCACGGAATCGTTCTCGATAGTGCTTCTGATGGTGGGCCGAGATGAGCTCCAGCTATTCTGTTGCTCGCCACTTTCACTCAAATCATCGCTATCTTCTTGATGAGGTGGCAGCGATTTAAGGGCCAAGAATCGCATGTGGCCGACCAGGTGATCGATCAGGGAAGAACTTCCTTTCTCTTCACCGCAGAGCGGGCAAGCCTCGAACAGTGGACCAGTCTTACGAACATTCTGATCAGCCAGTATCCCGAGTTGATCGTCAGTAAACATGCCTGGATGGCTATGCTTCATATGATGAAGGTAATGGTCTCTGGAGTCAGCCAAAAATTCGCCATGCCGCTTCGATGCACAGCGCCATCGTAAAGTATGCTGCGACATGTGATTTATCCATGTGTTGCTGTCAGTATACAAATGTCCAGACGTGTGGCAAGCCTCGAATAAACAGACGTAAGGTTCAAGATCGTTCTTGACATGATATCTATTGTTGATTAGTATGACCATATTGCGATGCAAGGGCCTATCATACTTACTTCCATTTTAACTCGTCGATGACTTCACTAATTGGTAGCACATGAAAACAATATGGGCAGGTGGCTTCGCTCACTGCCTTGAGGCAATCATCCCAGGCCTTAGCCAATGCTCTGTCCCGTACAGCTCCAGCATCAATAATAGCCCGAACATCTCCAGGAGCTATGGCAGTCATGTCGACACCTTCATAGTAACTATCGATAGTAGATAGCCTCTGTCTGTGCCTATCTTCGATATCCTGCTTCGCCCTATTGTACCTTTGCATAAAAGCGCCGTTGGGGGCAGGAGGAAATATAAGTTCGTCCTCATCGCTCAACGTGACTGTTTTAGATATTGACAGTATTGATGGGGCTGCAGCCTTCTTGTAACCCTCGGGTGAAAACGTCGTCGCAGTGTCAGCGGAATGCATGGCACTATGTGATGGTGCTGCGATGATCCTTTTCTTCGCAGGCCTTTCAGCATCGCCCAGCGTCGTCATGATTTCTGACTCAGGATGTGAGATGCCCGGGCCAGTTGTTGTTTGAGGGAGATGTATTGGGTTTTTTCCGTAGCGCTCTCGACGATCAAGTAACCTTTTGCGTCGAAGAACCATTGAGCTTGCAAGGCGCTTGCGGATCTCTTCGCTGGCAACATGATACCTGTCGTTTATATAATTCAAGAAGACAGAGTGGATGAAGGGCCCCACGTCATTGCCTTCGTCATCTTTGATCTTGAACCTTTCGGCCGCTCGACTATTCTGCGTTTCTTTACTAGCACGGCGTATCGTGTTTGTGATTTTGTGCAGTAAGGTGATCTCGGTCGACACTGCGTTTAGAGTCTGGACGAATTCCTCGATAGCCTCGTCGATGGATTTTCTATCTTGACTTTGAATCATTGAGTCGAAGATCTGCGAACCTATTTGTGACATATGTTAGGAAAACTGAACCGCAAATCAAACTTTGGACTTGAGATCAGCGCTGCTACGTACCAGTCTTGATCCGAAAGTCCAGTGCCTGCAACAGGCCGATGATAGGTGTTTTAACATCCGAGGCATCTCTGAGTCTATAATCCAAAGAGTCGCGGCCAGTGCTGAAGACGCGGATGTTGGCTGTCCAAAGTTGAAATCGGGCGAGTTGATCCTCGACTCGGACTACCGGCCAAGGAGCGTAAGGCTTGTCTAACTTACTAGCGCCATTGAGGCAATGTTGAAAAGACTCGGAGCACTTTTGGGCACACTTCGAGATGGAGGCTGTTGGAGTATGGGCTCCTGTCTCGCGAGCGAGCGATACCGACATTCTATTTGCGTGTGTTCGTCACTATGCTTCTGAAGTGAGGAGAGATCTCTGGCGGCTAAATACACTCATTATGGCCTCACAGGTAAGGCAGCTTTGCAGGAATGTGCGGGGAACTGTCCAAGATAACGTCTATTCTGAAGTTCAGCCGCACCGTGGGGGCACCAAATTCAGCTCACGTCATCCCGGATCAACGAATGTCAATATGGGTCTCGTAATCTTGCCTTGAACATCTATTGACAACATGGCGGCGATGAACCTTGATCTTGCAGGAGCAACTGGTGGTGAGATGATTAATACCTTGTATTTGACTTACAAAGCAGCTCAGCAAATCAGCGAAACTCTTTGGGTCAACGAGAGGGATGAAGAGCTGAGATCCTTTTGTGCCAGCCTTATGGCATATTTCAACATGATAAAAAGGAGCCTGGGTATCTTAGACGATACAAGTGTGCCTGACGAGGATAATGGCCTCATCACCCTGCTGCTGGGACCAATAAAGCTCATGTTTCCGACTAGCTCCCTTCAAGTCCCTATCAAAGACGGGTTGCGAGGAATAATACTACTAGGCGAAAACATCGGTTACGCAAAAAGCGATCTCGCTAAATTGAGCGATGTCTTATCGGTGGACTTGAAGAAGACCTTCATATTACGGAATGAATTACTGAAATCACTGGTCACCTGCGAGGAAGCGCTACGTGATAGCTACCTCGAAGACCCTTCTCGATGGGGCGAAGAAGACTTTTCCCCTCAGTTGGTGATCGCAGAGCTTCCTTACAATATTTTGAATGCCGCTCAATCAACATTCGAGGCTATGGTAGCATGTACCGATTGCCCATGCAAAACAGAGCACGACTTTGGAGCTCGGCTCTATTTAAGCACCCACCGAAAGCCGCGAGAATCTATGCTTCACAGTCAAGATGAGGATGTTGTCGATTTTGATATGTTTCTTTCTACGCATTATGACTGGCAAGAGGTCCGAGTTCATGCAACGGGGAAGCAAGGAGTGCCTGATGCAGTGGGTCTTCAACATGCCAAGCGGAAGCGATTGGAGGCCAAATCGCTCAAGATAAAGAGGCTCTGTGAGGTAGTAGCAAATGCCAAGTCAATGACCGCATACCGCCTCGAGCTCAAGGTGCTACGGAATCAACTATTTCAGCTTTTACCAGAAATATGTGATTCTTCCATCGACACGTCACAGAACGCAGTTTCTCTGGACTATATCCTGAGGCATACGAGAGGGTCTTTCACCGAGAGGACGAAACGGATGTTGGCTGTAATCCTGGCTTCAACGGTATTTCACCTCTACAACACTCCTTGGCTGCAGCCAACGTGGGGCTTATCTGATGTTCTATTCTTCCACACTTCATCGTTTACTACCCTTTTCAGGCCATTTATCAATAGTCCCCTCCTGAATCTTCAAAATCCTCGTAATGAGGCTCCTCCCGAAAATCCCAAAACCGACGACATGGTAGATGACACTGAGGCGGACGATACAGATGTGGAGGACTTCTTTAATCATCCATGCCCGACCGTCATCACATTAGCTTTACTATTGCTAGAACTATACTTCGAAACGCCATTCGATATTCTCGTCCAGAAATTCAACGCTAAGCTAGGAACAAATACAAAATCCTCGGCTTTTACTAAATACTTGGATGCGAATCTTGTATTTCAAGCTTGCAAGGCAGAGATTCCCTCGAACTCTCAATTTTACCTGGCATTAACAAATTGCTTGGACCCAAAAGTCTGGCAAGACGAACACGGGGAGATGCTAGACACCTTGACGCTAAGAAAGACGATTTATCAGAAAGTCGTACTACCGCTAGAGACGGAACTAAGCCAGGCCTATAGTTCTATTCCCATCGAGGAGCTTGACAAATTCGCACAGAAGATAGATTTTGGGAGTTGGGGACAACCGAATCATAACCTGCACGGGAATTCTCAAGAATCAGTAACAAGCACACTGAGAGCTACTTCCATGGACCGTCAACGGTCCTCACCCATCCCGGGATACTCAATTGGGGGCTCCAGGATTCGAACAAATATAGAAGAGCAAGGACTGGATATGCACTCTTACCCTCATTCTGCATACACTGTCGGCATCATTTGTGCACTTCCTCTAGAGCTTCGGGCAGTACGGACGCTTTTTGATGCAGAACACAACGGGCACACTAAGATGAAAGGTGACAGCAACACCTATGCACTTGGTACAATAGGGCAGCATATGATAGTTGCAGCTTGTCTTCCATCAGGCGAGTATGGAACAAACGCGGCTGCTGACGCCGCATCCAACATGAGAAGAACTTATCACGAAGTTGAATTTTGTCTCTTGGTTGGTATAGCTGGCGGAGCTCCCTCCCCAGAGGCAGATATTCGCCTAGGAGATGTTGTGGTCAGTCATCCAACGTCAACATCCTCGGGTGTTATCCAATATGATAGAGGCAAAGAGTATGAAGGAAATGCCTTTCAGCTCACCGGTATTCTCCAGGGACCACCGCGGAGCTTGAGGACCGCTATAAGCGCACTTCGTTCAAAGCCTGATGCGTCTTCGAGCTCGCTTCAAATACACCTGGAAAAGATTGTCCGATCTATACCAAGTTCCTCTACGTCAGACTACAGCCACCCTGGACAAGAGAATGACCATCTCTTCAAGGCAGTATGCTCTACCTGCTTTGCACTTCGGGACTGTATCAACGCAGACAGCCATATACAGCGCAGGCCACGCCGTCTAACAGACCTACCAGAAATACATTATGGCCTTATTGCATCAGGAAACAGGGTTCTCAAAGACGCCAGTGCACGGGATCGCTGGGCAAAAGAGCATGGCATATTATGCTTTGAGATGGAAGCAGCAGGCGTCATGAATATTCTCCCATGCCTAGTTATTCGTGGTATCTGCGATTATGCAGATGCTTATAAAAACAAAGCATGGCAGAATTACGCAGCAGCAACTGCAGCAGCTTATGCTAAGCTGTTGCTTTGCCATACTGCTCCCAGCAGAACAGACTGGGAGGCTGAAATAGATGGTTACGAAAGTCCCCCGTATGTGTATGTCAGTGGAGATAGACCGCCAGCAAAGCGCCGAAGAGCTTAGATGAGATTAAAGCGTAGGACTTAATTAATCTGTATTCTTTTCCCCTTTCAGTCATTTTTCCACCAATCCTACTAGGTAAATTAGAAATAATACTCAATCGAAATTCCGTCCAAAAATAAACACCAACGTCTTTAGTCATCGATTAAAGACTACAATATGTCTACCAATCTCTTTATTACTGCTATAACTATACCTAAAGGCTACTAACAAGTCGAAGCAACTATGCGACTAAAAGACCCAGAAGCGTTCCGGCCTATGACAGCAAATTTCTGCCCAAATCGTGCTACCGGGCTGGAAACAAGGTCATCTGTAATCAAGGAACTTGAGGAGCATAGTAGTGGTAAAATTCCTTTCTGCAACTGCGACCGTATACACAGCAGCATTTCTTTCGCATCTATGAAATTTATAAGCATCGATCCACGATGTGAATACTGTTCATATCTTGGGAAGATAGTCTCAAGGATCCACGACACAACGTGAGGCTCTGGCACGCACAGCGCCAAAGTCACCAGAACCCAGAGAGGTCCGCTGTCATACACGTCGTAGCGGATAAGCTGCGCTGGATCGAGCCCTTCAATCACCGAAAGCAGGTGAGCTACAACGGCGGGAACATGTGTACTTGGCGCTCTAGGTCGTGTGGCAAGAACGTACATATTCAGGACTTGCGGCGATGTAATAACTAAGCTGATGGCATAACGTAGATAATTGAACGCGGCTTGGGGTGTCCTAAACTGTAGCGGTGTCACGTCTTCGACCAAGACTAGCCGGTCCTCAAAGATCTGATCAAGTGCGGAAGGGAAAGATGTCTGTAGAACTGGGAGCTGTGATTTGTCAAGACCGTTGCGCCATTCATGGAGTACCTGCTTCGTGGCATCAAGACCGTTCATCAATTCCTCGATGCTGAGAACACATTCAGCTTCAGAAGAGAGCTCCTCTGTGTAGTTGAAGTCAAAGAAATGCGAGTACCATTGCCGGAAGTGACCTAATACGAGTCTCTCATCTATCCCATCAGAAGCCGCGCACATTTGCAAGACAAGCCGATCCCTCATCGAGATCGCATTGGTAAGGGCAGATGCGACACCAGAAGAAAATTGCAGAGCATGAGACATCAAGACTCTTTCTCGAGTGTCGGAAGCTCTACTAAGTTCGATCTCTAATGGTCTAAAGGCAAGTTTTTGTCTGTTTTTGCGTGTCCGCATATCGGCCCAACTCTTAAGAAGTAGACGCCCTGTCGATGTTTGGCACAGCTCTTCAATAGATGATAAGACAATGGCATCGGCACCATCCATATGAACGAAGCTTCCGTGTACACTCCCGGACTCCTATTCGAATAGAACTAGTAAAAGAGTTACTGCAAGGTTCAGGTGGGGAGATTTGTTTCCATTGGGGGTTGTGTCGCTAATTGTTCGGATGGCATCGTTGTAGTAATTGATAGCGAGACGAAAGCATGACTGTGTCAATTTATCGGTCTGCCTCTCCTTGATATGCCACGAGGATGATGTAGGATCGCGGCGGAAGACATTCTCTTGGAACAGATTGGAAGCTGAGATGGCCATCAATGCAGGTTCGAGATAGGGATGATATAACAGGTCCGTCAGCCAATCACCCATGAGGTGCGTCAACTGCCCATGGACGCAGCGATTGAAGTGGCTTGGTAGATATGCTTCATGTGGTGATGTGTTCTTTTCCAGCGCAGCTGTGCGCTTTGGCCGTTGTGGATTATCCCCAGTTCCGACTGAGGCAGGCAGCCATGTGAGCCGGACGGTATAACCATCGCATTGCAAGCCGCTACGCGTGCAGTTGGAGCACGAAATTTGGTCAGATCGCACTATGACAGAGAAGGATCCATCAGTTCGATTCCACGACGCTTCCGTGGGGGGTTGGGATAGTGCTGAGAAGACTAGTTTGGGGTGAAAATGCGGTATTACGTACCTTGCGGTGCTTACGGCGGCAAGTGTGGCAGCCATCGCGTGTTCGGCATATTCGAGTCCTCTTGGGTCGAGGGGGCGCTGGCCGGTACATGGGCGCTGATGGTAGAAGGATTTCGCACTTTGCTCTGACGAGTTACTCGGCTGGGCGAGCATCTGCCGCGATGGTGCTTGAGGAAAGCAAGTCAGGTAATAGTGGAGATGCGGCCGTGACTGTTTTATCACGGCATCTTAGTGCAAAACATATTGGATGTGCGGTTTCTTAGCCTTATCTGCTCGTTCTCGCACACCGCTTTGGGTTTAGTCTACTGGTTGTGTGACGAATCTATTCCGTGGCCGTGGATGATCGAAGTAATAGGCTCAGATGTAAGCAATGGACCTGGGCAACTGCTGGGATCTATGATTATAAGTACCTAGTTACCCAACTCATAGACTCGTACATATCTTCATTCTCAAATCTTCACAACATGGCATGCTCTAAATATCCTTCAATCTATCTTTGCTTGGCTCCTCGTTTCGACAAATGCGGCGTCAGCGCACTCTCCGTCCATCTCGTGATAGAGAATCCCTCTGTCCAAGATGGTGAGCCTATGTTTTTGTTTGACACCTTTACGGACAACGTCCCTGGACATCCGTACCGCGAGAGCGACATCCATGCTTCAGATGATGACGGACCTCTGCCACTTGCCTTCCGCGACATTCCAAGTCTAAACCGTAACACGCAGCAGCAATGGTGCCCGACTCGACAAACCAAAGGTCATGTCTCTTTGAGATTTGATGCCTTTCCCCGCACAGTCTCGGAGAAGACTCCATTGGGGGCCCGTGTGGATCTTCGCAGGGATCAAGGCGGTCTACAGGGCGCTGGTCGTTGGTTTCTGCCCCTTCTCATATCTGAACGTGTTCACAAAAACACTGTAGAATGGATCTTGCCAGAAGACACACCACGGTCAACAAGATGTGTCTGGAGCCTCGGAGAAGGCCCTGATCCCGTCGTCGTAATTGGTCGTGCTGATACGGTTTGGAGAACAGTTTACATGACAGGTCCTGTTCGCTCCTATCCAGACTCAGCCGCCCAGAAAGGGGACATTCTCGCTGCTTGCTACTGGTTCGGCGACCTACCTCCCAACCTCGATCGACTTAAGGCCTACAATACAAGTCTTTACCCAAAGATGGCAGAACACTTCGGGGTTTCAGGGGAGTCCTATCGTGTTTTTATCCGCAAGACAAAAGTCGGATTTGGAGGCACGGGTTTCATGGGTAGCTACGTGCTAGAATATGATGAGACAGTAGCCGACGAAACTGATGATTCGCTTTTGCTTCTTTTCACACATGAAATGGTTCACAGCTTTTCTGGCCTGAGTCCTGAAGAGGACGGCTATGATAATGATTGGTTTATAGAAGGTAGTATCTCTTAACAGGTTATTTATATTAAGCTAATAGTCGTCCAGGAATCGCCGAGCTTTACTCAGCCTACCTACCATACCGTTTCGGACTTAAAGACAAAACCTTTCTGATTGAGAGTATTAATCGTCATCTTCAGGGATACTTCTCTTCTCCGCGAATCAGCATGGATATTCGGGATGCTGCCCAAGAGATGTTTACTGATTGGTATGCTGAATGGGTCCCGTATAAGAGAGGTTGCATTTATCTACTCTTCATTGACTGCTGGATGCGAAAGCAAAATGGTCAATGTGACTTATTATACAACGGAAGCCTGGATCAGATTGTTGTAGACCTTTCCCGTCGATGGAGACTCGGCGAAACTGTACGGGCTAGCGACTGGCTCGACCAAATCCGCAACGAATTGGATTACACCAGCTTCTCTTTGGACAATTACTTCAGGGACATGCTCAATGGCAAGCAGCTTATGGACTTTGAGGGGCTGTCTTTCCCTGAGCCATAGACACGCTTCGTCCCCGTTAGGATCCCAATTCTCGAGTTTGGTTTTGATAAACGTAGCCGGAGCACGCGGGTCATTACAGGTGTTGTTCCTGGCTCCAATGCGGAAGCTGCTGGACTGAGGGACGGCATGCATCTCTTGGAAGCGTCAAGGCCTTCTAATTGCGTTGAGAATGTGAACGACATATATCAAGTGAAGGTGCAAGATGGCAATATTAAACAGACTATTCAATTCTTGCCCAGAAGATCAGAAAGGGTATTGGGCTGGCAGGTACGGGATAGTATGTCTTCACTCTAAAGAACTTCGAGATCATATTTCTGTCGGCTACGTATGGCTGCAGTCCAAATAGTACGCCATCCGATTCCAAAAGTGACGCAGCCCTCATACTTCCGGAAACATATCATTTTGCTGTACCCATAATCATCTCGGCAATCTGCTCTCCCGTCAGATCATCAAAGTCATCCCTCCAGATTCCACGAGCGGCTAGGGCTTTGTTGGTCCAGTCAGCGCAAACCTTCTCCTGCTCCTCGGGATCGTCTTGTGTTCCAAGAAAGACCAGCCTGCGACATGCACGCCGGTAAGCGGAGGCGGATGTCTTTGGGATACCGAATTTGGATGTGAACTGGTCGACTATCCCGTTCGGCGTGGCATATTTGAGTTGGCTATAATCGCTGTAACCAGCTTGCATAAGCAGAGAAGCTGTTTTGGGTGTGATGGTCAGCTTCTGTTGCAGTACTGCCTGAGCTGTAGTCATCTTGTGGTCGTGAATGCTGGATCGAGTGCTATGTGAGATGGGTACAGGGGAAAGCACTATGTCGCAAAAGAAGGTCAAATGCAATAGTAATGGAATAGGCTGATGCGATCATTTATCTATAGACTGAACGGAGAGTTAGAGGCGACAATCTATATTTGAGAGAGCTCTAAGACGGTGATTGTAGGTGAGGAGTTGTTCACGGTCAGATATTATCTTGTGCTTCGACTTTTGATTAGCACACTCACGCTAAAAGCGCCACAGTTTTATCGCAAATGCGTCTCGCTTGGGAGAATAAGTGGGGGAGAACTAGACCGACCTAGGCCATCTTGGACATGGGTCAATACACAGGTAAGAAGGCAAAGGGATTATGTTTAGAGCGCATAATAGTAGCTAATGTAGTTACTCAAGGTGCTATACAAATAATCTAACCTTCTTCAAGCATTCTGCTCTGCCCTGCTTGTAACTATAGGCAGGCGCCACAGTGATTGGGATTGTCAACAAGTCAGGCCTAACAGACTGCCTTCTGGCCCATACCCTTGACTATGCCAGTATTGTTGTAGGTAGCAATGGAGTATGCTCAACCATGACGTCCCAGGCACGGCCGACCGGCTCTGAGCGCTCAGACTGTCTTGCTGCAGGCGCTATATGCAAGCCAGGTATCAGCTGCCAGCTCGCCGGTGGCGTGATATGGCCACCCTCACATATCATGGACGCTAAATACAAGCAAAACAATTGACAATTGTTGTTGTAAACATTGTAGTCTGGCACCATTGTCGCGATCACCTCTTCGGCTGTACTGAGGTTAACATGCAGGTCCTTGGGGTATTGTAAGACTGCTTACCGGCCTGTCGAATAGCTTCATCGTTAAAGGTAGTTTTCCCAATCCAGAAAGGCTTCTGCCATGCACCAAGGGCTGTTTGATCTGATGTCTTGCCATTGTTGTATATGACCTTGAGATCCCTATCGCCACCCAGCTCGTGATAGTACTCTCCAACAATGACGGCCCAATGATGGGTTGGATCTGGAGCCGGGTTTTGGGAAATCAATGAAGGCGACACAGACACTTGATGGCTTATCGCACTGCCAATGAGCTTGCTGAGCACCCCTCCCACTGGGTGAGATCCAAGATGGACATCGCGAAGCGGCCCATGCTTATCTGGTGTTGCATGAGGAACCACGTTTTCCTGTTTCCCAAGAACGCCCAGCATCTCCAGTGAAGTTTTAAGACCCTGGAGAGGGAAAACTCCTCCGTTAGAGTGGTCCGTCAGAGCATGAGCCGGGGACACAGTGGTGCCAACGGCTTGCTGAAGGTGCGCCCAGCTGATTATTCATTAACAAACGCTCAACTTTCAAGATGAAAATGACCTTACATTTCGCCCAGTACCATATTTGTCTTTGGTGTTTATGTTTCTTTGGTGTTTTTGCGAGCCGGTTTGTGATGCTAGTGGAAGAGCAGGGAGAGTGAAACAGGGCGTCGTTGTAAGGTCTAAATAGTCTTTCAATGTGGGGATGGAAGATGAGGTAATATTGATTCTGGACATGAAATGGAACGCAATCAACGGTCTTATCCGAAGCTATGTAAATTGTGGCTAGCTAGATACTATTCCGGGCACCTTAGCTGTTCAATCCTTTGCCTATTGCCTGCAAGAATCGTACGACATACAGTCCGTAACCGTAAGGTTAAGGTGACGCGCGTATTACATATTGCTTTTGGCCAATGTTATGCTCAATTCTCTCGACTGTCAGGTTACATGGATTCCTAAAGCTGAATATTTAGTGTTATGCTAGCCTATTTTAGACGATACTATCAATAGTCTGGTCGCTAGTGTATGCCTTGAGCTGTTTTTGGAGGCCCTTGAATTAACCGAGGGAGGCCTACCGGTCGAACTTTACGCCGTACAGTCTGTGCCCCAGCACCTGTCGTACAAAGCGTAGATTGGTCACAATAAGCATTCCAGCTTTGATCAAAAGGATGCTTAACTCTCCAATCAAAGCCAGCGGTCAGGTTAACCTTATTAACCTACCTAAATCGTGCAGTGGGTTTAATCTGACTAATCAAAGATGGCTGTGATGCTCACAGCGCAATAGCATCTCTCTCAGTGATCCGTAACAATAGTAGCCGCAGGCATTCATCCAAACCCAGCACCCTACCGATCTTTTAGCTTAAGATCCGACACAAGATGTAATTTAAAGGATGTAAAGAGGGTAAACTCCTAGCAATCACGTTAGCGGTCAGCTATGGTGTGTAAAAAGCTCACATACTACTAGCCATATGGGAAAGAATGTCACCATGAATCGCAATATTCGAGCCCGATGACCTTCCCATATCTCCCGCTTGTATTTCTTGCCAAGGACTTGGCGTACAACGACACGAGCATATTCGTCTGCGGGCATGCCATTCTTGTTTCCTCCGTTCTTAACAGACTCAACGGTGCTTTTAATAGGTCGGTACAGAGAGTCTTCGGAGATGTGAACACCGTCTCGGAGGATGTTGCTGCGAACATATCCAGTAACGACCTCTATGACCTCGATAGACAAAGGCCTCAAGTCCTAGGCTCAATGGTGAGAATGAAACTTAAATGGGATATTCCAAGTTGTAAATGGACGTATGGAAACTAACCACTCGAAGAGTCTTTGTATACTGGCTAAGAGCTGCCTTGGAGGCGTTATACACTGACTGTCATACAACAGGAACGTCGCGCGTAACACTTCCAATTTGAACAATTCGTGGCCGAGGAGCCTTTCGCAAAAGTGGGATAAAGAGCTGGCACATATGCATAACAGCTACAACATTGACGGCGAAAAGCTTCGCGACTTCGCTGACGTCAATATCCGTAGCTGGTGACGCGTAGTGCATCCCTGCATTGTTGATCAGTATGTCCAGGCGTCCTTGGGTGTATTTGTTGACCGAGTCTCTAAGCCCTTCGAGGCTTGTCGAGTCACTAAGCTGAAGAGGGAGTGCAATGAGGTTTGCATGTTGTCTTGCCAGGCTGTCTAAGGATTCGATACGTTTGGCAGTAGCGAATACAGTATAGCTGTTCTTAGCAAGGGCAATGGCAAGTTGCTCGCCAATGCCACTGTTGCAGCCAGTGACGAGCGCAAATGGCGGTGCGTATGAGGCAGTCATAGTAAGATTACCACGGGTGCGTGAGAAAGCGTGATTGTATTGTTCACTATCTTATATACCATGCAAGATTGGGGCTCATGAGGTGAAGTTGCGCCTCGGTTGAGAGCTTGCCCCTGGGTTTCTGCAGCGAGTTTCATAGATACCGAGGCTAAAGTTTTATGGATCACGAGGCACGGGATCACGGTCAAGTACGAGTCTCCGATTGACTCTCGTCTTGGTGTCCGACAAACCCGACTTCTGCTCTAATCGTAGATCCTCCGACGCTAACTATACGAGCCTTTGGCCCCACCCTGGAGGATATGCAGGGTGTGTTTCAGAAAATGGATCAGGGTAGCAAAGAGAGATCTTTCTTCTCCCTTGCTTGCGGGATGTCCGTAACCCCTATTCAGCATAGCCTTTCTCGCAGCTATCTCATTTTGTAATCCTCTTCCGCGGATAGCCAATTCAGGCACCTGTACGATAAATGGGGTCCACGGGATATCATGCTGAGTACGGGTATCAGTCATATAACCTTGGGCTGTTAACTTTTGTGGGGACACGGGGACACCGTTTTGTGAGACACGGAATTTGAAAGCCACAGAGAAGCAAGGATAAGCGAGGGCGAATAACATGTATAGAGTGACAGCGACGTCATTCTGGGCCCAGAACCTCAAAGATATGTGATTAAAATATGAGAATATGGAGATATTAAATTACTAAGGTATCAATATGTAAGCAATATTAGTTATGTAGTACTATACTTTTCATGCACAATCGGTATAGAGGACTTTTCAGAATATAGCTAAAGTTTTCTATAAACAGCCTTGGTGAGAATTAACTTTATAGCAAGATGGGCAAAGCGCTGTTCTATACATTTGCAGTATATGCATGGAGAAATAAATAACTTATTATCTCGCATCAACCTGAAACCACCAAAAAGCAGGTACAGCTGAAAGACTAGAGTGGCAATCAAAACTTATCTGTGGCTGAGACAAGGCGGCCAATCAACAAACGACTCTACCGTGTTTCTGATCTTAGCTGCTACTCCCCACTACCCAGACTTTGAGACGAGGTCTAGGTGGTCAAAACCTTCCAGTGCGAGGCCACAAGAGCTCAGAGCCTGGACCTCGACTGTAATGGCTGAGGTATTGACCTAGAATCGAAGAGGGCATTTATGGTTCGGAAGCTCTAAATCCGACTGTAATGTAGGGTCAGGCTCTGATTATATAGATAATAGGCTACAGCCTCGTTCTGAGAAGATGACAACAAGCTTCCAAATCCTCAAATCGGTCCATTACTTGAATCTTCAATTGAAAGCATTTTATTCTGATTCCATCAAGTCATATAACGCTTGCTATTCGTCAATAAGTCGCATACTAGCGTATAAACCCACCAGAGACCTGCATCTTTTGCACCTTCACAGATCAGAGATCTCGATCGCTTGCATGATGCCGCAGATGTCCATACGCAGCACTGGTCCCTTTCTAGGTGCCCGCCGATGGAGGGACTCGTTCCACTGTTCATGCTGCCAGAAGAGGAGCAGCCACGCGGCAGAGTCATCTGTCACATTACCCAGCCATTCTTCCTCACCGACAAACTCTGCAGCAACAACACGCAGCAGCTCTCCTCATCGACAGGGCTCTCTTCCTGGGTACTCGCGCCCAATTGCCCAGGCTCCCTCAAGGCTATATGATCGGCAATACCTTGCCACACATGATGTCAACCCTTCGCCTCCCCAAACACATTGCACAGGGCTTGCTAGTGAGGTGCCTTTACGGAGCGAGCCTACTGCTTATGACCGCCGCGACGTGGAATGCCGTAGCTATGCAAATTCAGATGATTGTCCTTCTCTGGAGCCAGCAATTCCTACACCACCAGCCAAGTCGCGGTGGTCTTATTCTGCCGCTAGCATACAGAGCGCAGATGCCCCGCCGCTGGACGAAAGCTCTGAGACCTTCACCGAAAGGTCCGACTTGGCAGACGACAATGAAAGCGTCATGATCATGGAAACATATCGAATATCATGCAAAACAGCAGTGTCGACACCTACCCTTGTCGAAATTATCAACACACATGAAACTCATTCTCGTTATGAAGATATATGTGCAGATGCCAATAGATTATGTTACAAGAAAGCAGATAAGAGATATGGTATGATATTCTCAGATATGGAAATTGGGAGTCTATATACATTGGCACTCTTGTAGATATTCTAGTTATTGTAAATAAATTACTCTAAAAAGAAGTATTACTCCGATTGACTTTACCCTATCGTAAGCCGAGCCTGGCTTATTTTAGCTGGTTAGTGGTAGATCCTCCGAGGCTTACTTAGGTTCCTCCGAAGTGAGCAGCAGTGTAAGTGGGTCACGGAGGGACTCTAGAGAGGCGCCAACGTTGTCCCCGCTGCCGTTGATTGCTACCCTAGGTTCCAGACACAAGAGACTTACCCCAACAGGTTCTATAAAAGCCATTGATCAACAAACACCACAGTCTGTAGCATAATGGTGAAAGCTCGTCTTTCGACATTCTACTATGTCGCTGGCATTAAAAATCGCATTAAGTGTCCTCACCAAACTGCCCAGGTGCTTACGAGAAGCCATCATGCCTGACATGCGCATCCCCACAATCACCAACGACCCCTCCAAGGTCCAACTGTCCCGCATTGCCCACGTCTACTTCGAACACCCTGACCTGGACAAATTCGACAAGTTCGCAAACGACTTTGGCTTTGTCAAAGAAGCTCAGATTGGAGATTCCATTTACTACCGCGGCTATGGCATAGACCCGTTTGTCTATGTTGCGACTAAAAGTAAAGATGGAAAGCAGAGATTCCTTGGACCAGCTTTTGTAGCTGCTTCCGAGGAGGAATTTGAGGGGGCAGCTGCTCTTGAGGGCGCTGAGAGAGTCTCTATTGAGCATGCGCCTGGTGGAGGGAAGATGATCAAGTTTAGTCGTCAGGATAATACTTTCTTTCTTGTTGTATATGGCCAAGAGGAGAGAAAGACTGACTCGGAAGAACCTACTGCAACACATGAGCAGCAGGGACCGTACAACAAACCGTTCACGAAGCCAAGACGAGGTAAGCAATACACGCTTGTTTCCTTATACTCTCACATACTGACTTTCCCAGGAAAGTACCAGCGCTATCATCCTGGCCCAGCACTCGTCCATAAGCTCGGCCACTTTGGGTACGTCGTGCCAGACTTTGATAACGAGCTAGCATGGTACACAACCAACTTCAATTTCGTCCCTTCAGATATTCTGTACCACTGGGATTTCTCCAATATGGACGTGCTCACATTTATGCACCTGGACCTTGGCGATGAGTATTCCGATCATCACTGCTTCTTCATGCAGCGAGCTAAGCCTCACGTCAAGAAGATATACTGTCATCATACCTCGTTCGAAGTAGCAGACTTTGATACTCAGCTGCTTGGACATGAGTATCTGGCTAGCAAAGGCTGGAAGAGCGTCTGGGGTGTTGGACGACATGTTTTGGGCTGTCAGATCTTTGATTACTGGGCTGACCCTAGTGGCTTCAAGATTGAGCATTATGCTGATGGCGATGTTGTCGATCGCGCAACGGGGACCAACAGGGATGTCGTTGGCCCATTTTCTGTTTGGGGTCCTGAAGTACCTAAGAACTTCAGAGATAAAATCGTTTGATGGTCAGAACGGAACAAGACCAGTGGAATTGGTTGGAATCATATTTTACCTAGTGTTAATATTATTAGGTTAAAATATCTGAAAACAGGTAGCTATGTATTAAAAATGAAATAGTGATTTAGTAACACTACTGGCTAGCTTACCCCGGTTGCTTTGCTCCTCAAGCGACTGAGATTCGAGAGCTTACTGAAGATGTAAAGTTAATGTAACTTTGAACTTCACCTAGGCATTCTCGACTGTCTGTGCCCGGGACTGGTCTTCGGCCTTCCTATCGAATCGCTCATCCATATGAACACTGACAAAAACATCGCCAAACACCTCGCTGATTTCTTCCAGAGACTTCCCCATTGTTTCAGGTAGAAAGAAGAAAACCATGCCAAGCGTGAAAAGATTCATGGCGATGAAGAAGAAGTAGTAGCGCCAGCCAACATTGCTAAGTGCTGTCGGGGAGGCCTGGGCAAGCACTACCTGAATGACAAACGACCAGAAGGTAGAGATGGCACCCCCGAAAGCGCGGATCTGGGTGGGAAAGATCTCAGCCGTGTACACTGGCGCGCCCGAGTTCCACGAGAGTGAAAACAAGATACCGAAGGAAATAAGGAAAAAGATACCAAAGCCATTTGCCACCGTGTTGCTGCTACCGCCATACACAGCAACCAGTGCCATCACTATAGCGATGTCGATGGCCATAGCAGCGGATCCAACCATGAAGAGAGTGCGACGTCGAACCCTGTCAATGATCCAGACTAGACAGAAAATGTTTGCCAGTGGGCCAGTGGCACCCCAGACACCGGCGAGAAGAAGGACGAGATGTCCGTGGATGCCCAGAGACTTGTACATGATGGTCTGGTAATAGTTGATAGCGGAAATTCCACAGATCTGCTGCCCAATCTGGACACCACAGCCGAGTAGCAGACGCTTGCGGTACGACGGTTTGGTGACCATCACCTTCAAAGTTGACTCCTCATTTTCACGTTCCCATTGGATTTGATCCCGCATCTGTGTCAGTTCTCTCTGCAGCATTTCATCGTCATTGCCAGTCCTAAGCCGCTTAAGCACGATCTCAGCTTCGTCCAGCTTCCCACGCTCGATCAAAAAACGCGGAGATTCAGGTATGGTGAAAGACAGACCCAGTAGTAACAAAGCCCAAAATACCTGGAGGCCAACAGGAAAGCGAAACTGTAACGTGCCCGTCCTCAGTAGGAGTCAAAGGAGGAGAATAGTAGGGAGAACTTACAGTGAACTGCCCGGTCGAGTAAGATACACCATATCCAATCCAGTTTGAAGTCATGTATCCGAACCCGACAAATTGGGAATGCAAGCCAGTAAAGAGGCCCCGCTGGGTATGAGGAGCGATCTCGGATAAGAACATGGGGATGGCGAAGTAAATGATACCAATTGCAAGCCCCGCAATGAGGCGGCCAATTATAAGCATGGTGGTGTTCACAGCAGCCGTCTGAAGAGCAGTACCAATGGCTGCGACCACGGCGCCGATCCGGATCGTACCGCGGCGACCGTACTTGTTACCAATCGGGCCAGAGAGTAAAGCACCCACGGCGCCACCAGCGGTATACACAGATATAATGCCGCCCAGCATCGAGGAGCTGGGGTGAAATTTATCCTCGAAATAGGTCTGAGCGAGAGCCGTGCCGAAGATTCCCGAATCATATCCCCAGAGCAGGGAACCAATTCCGACTGCGAAAGCTATTGAACAAGAACACATAGGTAGTTAGTATCGTACATGTAACCGTTATCTGCATAACAGGGATGGGAATAACGCCGGCTTACCACACCAATAGCTATAGCCTGATGGCTTGGAATGAGTGGCAGCAAGCGTAGCCATGTTGATAATCGTTGAGTAGCGTTCTTCTGGAAGAGTATAGAATAAGAAGCTTAGATGATGATACTTTACACAAGTTGGTAGGCAGATAAGCTCATATATAGTGACTAACACGACGAGACACGGAAGAGCAGAAGTCTAGACTTTGCTTGCCGCCAAGGCTGCTGGCCTGACAAGTGTACGAATTGAGTTTCGAACTATTGATCATTTGTTAATTAACCGTCGGATTTTTACAGCCTTGGTGTCTCTCACTCTGGCTTCCGAGTTTGCCGTGCTCTCAGCTGATTCTTTAGAGTTTAAGCCGGGTAACCCTTAAGATCTACACCACCCTGAACTTTAATTTAGGCTAAAGGTCAATGTCCAAGAAAAGACAGTGACAGAACGTGGGGTAGCTTGGGTCTGGGGATTAACTCGTTTTTCTTAACTACCCTGGGTATAGTTTCCCCGAGATACGAAATTCCATACCTACTGCTACGCCGATAGAACTTGCAGGGGGCCAATGTCAAAGGTCAATGCTAAAACACTAATGCCGCTTAGAGGTTAGTCGCATACCATGCGGGGTAAGCCATCCAGACCAAATTGTGGAGATTTACACTACTTTCATACCAGGACGTCATCGTGAAATCCTCTAGGTACAAGCTTGAATCAGGAGAAGAAAGTAACGCTTGGACATTCATCACCTGCGTTCATAGCCTAGAGCTTAACATCTTAGGCGGCAGTTACCCCCATAGGTACTCCATAAGAGGGCTTAGTGGAAGCGGACTAGAGTTGAGTATGGGGTTTCGAAACAGCCTGAGAGCTATGGTATTGCATTTTGGCTATTGAGACTGGGTAAAACATTGTCGCCTAAGGGATATATGATATTTCTAGTCTTACTGGTAATATTGCAAGTGACAGTATGGAGTATTAGAACTCATTTAGCCTTAATGCCAACTTTAGTATACTCCTAAGTTAATCGCTCTCTACCATGCTGACTTACTATTACACTAACTATTCATCTTAGCATCTGATAAAGTAATAGATATACTGTTATATGAGTAATTAGAGCATAGCATGCTAGGTACGTCTTTACAAAAGCCCTAAACTATGCCCAAAGTCAAGTCCTGCAAGCTGCACATTGTAAGCCATACGCGAAGAAGCGTGTACTGTTTGGACATGGGGCGGGCACCAGGCATTCCAATACAGTATCTCAAAGGGAGGAGAAAGCGAAAGTAATGAGATTGCGATTGCTAAGAAATAATCCACCCTGTCGCTGGCCTGGGAGCCCAAGTTTGCTAATCTAAAGCGCTATTCTATCACAAGTGAGAATCGGGTCCAAGGACAAGCACCTTTGGTGCGCCACCAGCCCCCTCAGTGTCTATCTGGGGGTCGCCTTGCCCAGAAACTGAGATCTTCAGGACACTATCAATTGTGCCTACAGCAGATGCCGAGGGAACAGGCACCTCCAATGCCACGTCCGCTGGCAACTTACCAATTGCAAGAGCTGTTAAATGACTGGGCCAGTCGTAATCGGGACGATCACCTGTTCCTAACAAGATGGCGTGGCCTTCCCGAACCAGCACAGGAAGGTGAAAATTGTCAAACGTTTCGCTAATCCATGCTGGACCAACACGCGCCTTTCCGTCAAGAAGGCCAATCCAAGTTCCATGAGGTACGTAATACTCGACAGTCCCTTTGTCGTTGAAAATGGGCGCCACAAGGAGACTGCTGCCAAACATGTACTGTTCGTCGAGGGCCGCACATGTTTTGTCTTCGGGGAACTCGATGACCATGGCCCGCAGCATCGGGAGCCCCCTATTGCAGCAATCGATGGCTTGGGAGAATATGTACGGCATCAGAGTATTTTTCAATCGTGAAAACTTGGCCAGCACTCGGATGGACTCTTCGTCTACTAGCCACGGTACTCGATAAGTGTGGGAGCCATGGAGGCGAGAGTGTGATGACAAAAGCCCGAACTGCACCCATCGCTTGTAGATGCTGGGGTCAGGGATGTCCGTGGACAAGCCTTGGGCGATGAAACCGGCTATGTCGTGCGACCAGAACGGAAAGCCTGACATGCCGAGGGACAGACCTCCTCGCAGTGACTGGATCATACCTGACCAGGTCGACTCACAGTCTCCTCCCCAATGAACTGGGAAACACTGTCCTCCGGCTGTTGCAGCTCGGGCAAAGACAGCTGCCTCGTTCACGCCACGCTCTTCACATATAGCGTCAAACACAGTCTGATTGTACAGGAGAGCATAATAGTTGTGTCCTTGTCGGGGATCCATGCCGTTATGATACTGCACGTTCTCCCACGGGATGCGCTCACCGAAATCAGTCTTGAACGTATCAACTCCCAGCTTAAGAAGCACTTTCAAGTGATCCTTGTACCACTGGACGGCGGCAGGATTGGTGAAGTCTACTACAGCCATTCCAGCTTGCCAGTTGTCACCTTGCCAGACAGTATCATCGAGGCGCTTGATCAGGTAGTTCTGTTCCATTGCCTCGTCGAAGACTTCGGATTCTTGCGCGATGTATGGATTGATCCATACACACACCTTCAGACCCCGCCGGTGAAGGTTTCCTAGGAAGTTCTGAGCGTCAGGAAATTTGACTGGGTCAAACTTGAAGCTTGTCCAAGTGTATTCGCGCATCCAGAAACAGTCAAAGTGAAACACGGACAGAGGTATGCCGTGTTCCGCCATCTCATCGAGCTGCTGAGTAACAGTCTCTTCACTGTAATCGGTAATGAACGACGTGGAGAGGTAGAGGCCGAAGGACCATGCTGGGGGTAGGGCCGGATGCCCCGTCAGGGTGGCATATCGTTTAAGAATCTATGCTCAAATCAGTTATGTCTCTTGATCTCGGGATTATGCAATTGTGACTTACATCCTTCGGTGTTGGGCCGTGTATGACGAACCATCTAATCTCTTCACCCTGGATAGAAGTCTGGATCTTGGCTAGTCTTTCGGTCTGGATTTCAAGCGACAAAACATCCGAATGGTCAAAGAAAACCCCATAACCTCGATTCGTCCAAAAGAATGGTATGTTCTTGTACGCTGAGACATCTGGTCAGCAAAAATTTAGTAGGGGCCGAGATTGGATGACGAACTGTGTGGTGTGCACGTTCCAGCATCCTCATTCCATAGATCAATGCTTTGCCCATTCTTACTAAGTGGCCCGAATCGCTCTCCAAGACCGTACACAAGCTCGCCTACTTGTAGATCGAAAGAAACGGACATGTAGGGCTTCGCACTTGCTCCCGGCTGGGGACGGTAATACGGATCGGCAATCTTTGTACTGGCTTCCAACGGGATCGGCGCATGTTGGTTTGGTGGACCGACAATATATTGTAGACCTTGATAGCCTATACGGGCCACCTTTGTCCCCCCAGCCGTCGATTGGAAGTCCAGGCAGAAGTTGGAGGCTGCGTGGTCCAGGACAACCTGCACGTCACCGCTCGAGAGCGTTGAGCAACCACTATCGTTCCCAACGGCGACATCCAAGGAATCTAACGGTGTCTTGCCTCGGGGAAACAGCTTGAAACGGGGTTCGGTGGATTTGTTCATGCCCTTGAAGTGTGTCGCGACACATGAGATAATGCCAGGTCCAGCCGCTGACATGCTCAAGGTGATCGTCGGGCGGTTGAGAGTATTTCCACGGTGGGCAACATGGCGAGTGGCGCACAGCGCTTTGATGGAACCAGGTTCAGGTTGAGTCACGCGTGCCACCTCGGTTGCACTGTAGATGAGGGTGTCTCGGCGGTCTTCCCAGATGCCGTGAGTGAACTTCATCTTGAGAAGCAGAGCTGAGCACAAAACGGTACCTAGTTGGTAAGAGAAGACCACTTTCACTCACTATGAGAGCAAGGGATGCAAGACAGATATGGTGGTGCAACCACGATGACTAAGGAGTCGCGGATAAACTACTAAATAATGCGAAATAAACCGACGGGATATTTCTCAATTAGTCAGTTAAATGTCTTTCCCTTCTCCACACAGAGTCTTTCTGTATGACTGGCTTGCTGTATACTCTGTAAGTGCAAAGTTACTATGAGCGATTTAGGCTAAATATTACCTTTAGCCAAATAGTGTCATTTATTTAGCAAATGAATGAGAATCTGTCTGATGCCGACGTCGGACGAGTCGGCTTTTTCCGAAAATTCCAAAGGGTAACCAATACACGGCAAGACCCTGCTTGAGTAGCTTGCATTTGATCCACCTACCTATTGTAGCCTATCTTGTTCTAGTTCTGGCGACCATGGAATCACGAGTTACTCATTTTAGTTGTGGCGTTTGTGGACGGATATGATATTAGGTTCTAACCACGCGGGGTCCGAGACTCCCACCAATAGATACCTCTACACGACTGGAGACCCAAGTCTAGCCTTGTCATCCGGCTTTTCGTGGTCATGGGCTTTGCTTTGACAATGACAGAATCTCAACCATGCCCGAGTGAGCCCCCTCCTCGTATACTCGGTATGCTTGGCCACCGAGCGTGACAAACAAAGTGGATAAAAACCAGCGATTGTGCAGTATCATATATACCAATAACTTCTATACATTTCACAAGCAAAGTACTCTTACCAAAATTTTCTTGTTCCTGGAACCCAAGATGTAATTCAATCTCTTTCTCTTCTTCCCGCTTCTGCTCGGCGTGGAAGCTGCTCAAAGCTTTTATGTGTCACCAACAGGTAAAGACACTGCACCGGGCACTATATCCGCTCCTTTTGCGACCCTCGGTCAAGCACAGAAGGCAGTGAGGAAAGTCAATCGTCAATTGGCAAGTGACCTGACCGTTCACGTCGCGGCAGGCACTTACTACCTTGATAAGCCTCTCACCTTCACATCGTCAGACTCTGGTTCCAACGGACACCGCATCATCTGGGAGGCGGAAACCACCAACGGCGGCGTCAATCTCTCTGGTGGCATCCGCCTCAAAGGCTGGACTCTGGCGAATGCATCTATGAGCATCTGGACGGCAAAAGTCCCTAAAGGCTTGCGCTCTAGACATCTGTATGTTTACCAGAAGCATGCCCAACGGGCCCGACAGTCGCTGGACCGTAAGGCCCTGTCAGTCGGTACCAACGGATACGAAATCTCCAGCAACAGCAGCGCGAGTTTCCTCCTTACTACCAAGGGGATAGAGGCTGGAGAGATACGAGGCATCAATTCCTTTACAGACCGTTACATTCCAATCGACCATGTTGACGGCTCAACGCTTGTGATGGCGTCTCCCGCATTCCAAAACAACATCATGGGTTGGGACACAATTAAACAGCCTTTTGCGGACAAAGGCTTCTATGTCGAGAATGTTCTCGCTTTCTTGGACGAGGACAGGGAGTATTTCCTGGATTCAAATGCTGGCAAGATTTACTACAAACCTGATGCTGGCACCAAGCCGAGTGATCACTATATCGTCTTGGGCAAATTGGAGCAGCTGCCGATTGTGGCCGGTACTTATAGCGCACCCGTCCGCGCTATCACGTTCCAAGGATTCAACTATATGCACACCACCTGGAACCTACCGTCTACGGACCTCGGTTACGCCGACCAACAAACATGGAGGATTTATTGGTCTCAACAAAACTTACTCAGAGTTTGAGGCCTCGCGTCCCTTCTGGTATCAAGTACATGGATCCGTTCAAGTTAGCGCAGCGTCTGACATCAAATTCACCAATGGTAGCATGGCTGCCATCATGGGCGGCTTTGGCATCGGGAATGATGCTAACGCTCATGTTAGCGGTGTAGGCCTGGGCACATCAAACATCGAGATCAGCGGCATGTACTTCACTCAAACTGGCGCGAATTCCATCACAGTTGGAGGCATTATGGCAGATGCACACCACCCTTCTGATCCGCGCATGCTGAACCAGAAGATTCTTGTGACAGAAAACATCCTCAAAGACACTGCTCAGACTATTACTTCTGCTGCTGGAATTCTAGTCACATACACAACCGGGACAGAGGTTTCTTCCAACGATCTATCGACACTGCCATATAGTGGTATTGCTTGGGGCTATGGCTGGGGCACTAATGATAAAGGTGGTGTTCCTGAGTACCAGACTCGGGGCCTTTACAATTACCAGCCAGTTTACGACACACCGACTGTGATGAAGCAAGGTCTTATTGCGCAAAACCTTATCCATGATTTTGGACGCATGCATACAGACTTGGCTGGCATTTACACACTTTCGGCGAGTCCCGATACCTATATCACTGGTAATTGCATTTTTACCGATACGGATCAGTCCAGTGGAACAGGTTGGTTCTTTTCTATTGCCCCAGATGCTCTTTTTCTTGTTGCTCTTCGTTTCTTCTTCCTTTTCTTTGACACGCCGATACATTCCAAGTATGTTTCTGGGAACCTATTGCTGACTTTTCTCTGCGTAGCCTACTACAACGACGAAGGCTCTCGAGATTACCAAATCCAAAATTCAGTCGTGAATGTCAAGGGAAATGGCTATGGTGGCGGTTCAGGCGGCGGGTATTGGTGGCAGCCAAACGAGAGAGACAATTACACGACTGGCAACATCACCGTTTCTAATGTCGCCGTTGCTTCTCCTGGTCCACTTCAGTTGGATGATGGTGACCAATTTGGCATCACGTCTACAACATAACGAATTACAGCTCTCTCGAAGATCTTCAAGCTCCTTACGATGATATTCTGCAACAAGCCGGCATCCCCCCTTCACAGCGATCAGCTCGACCGGTCAGCTTCACGTATCCCCCTTCGAGCAGCTTAGCAGTATGAAGTCACAGAGTATGAGCCCTAATGACAACCAATTAATCCAGGGCTCATCTCACTCTTTGGTGGAAGGACTGCAAGTACAACTGGAGGAGGTAGGTAACTTATAGCAAGTATAAACGTACATAGATAGCCAGCCTGGTTGAAGAATCGTCACTCAGCCAAAGGTAGTTTCTGTAGCAGTTTAGCCAATCAATCAACCGTTCCTGTCAAATCTGGGGTAGCTCGCTTGGTGATTACTATCGATAGGTTCAAAAGCAGACAGAGCGATAAGCAGATTATCACCCCGGCTACCTCTGCGTTCTAAACGGTCATTATCTAAAACGCTGGTATCACTTTCTTGAGTGCCGATGCTGGCCTTGAGTATTGTATATCTTGGAAGTAGCTATATATTAAAAATGAAAGGTCACTTTATTTATGTTGTCGATTAGCTTCCTCCTGCTGTTTTTCTTCCCGAATTGACTGAAACTCTTCACTGAACTCGATCTGTGAAGTTGGTATGACTTTTGACCTCAGCCGGATCTTGAAGATTGCGTACAGCACTAGAGAGATCTTGTTAGCCTATTTAGTAGCTGTGATAGCGGCGTGTTCAGACATACCAGCAAAGATGGCTATGTTGATGTAACATGTGATGAATCCCTGGGCAGTGAAGTGGCCCTTCACGAAGACGTCAAACCCTGAGGTTAGATTAGCCAAAACATTCTCTTTTAAGACGGGTAGGCGAGGGAGAGCAATGACGTACCACAGAACATGATCACTAGTGAGACAACAAATAATGTAGCCCAGGCCACGTATGGTTGGAAGGGGCTCTTGTAGGGAAGATCTAGGCGCGTTAGATAGACTCTCAAGGGGATGTTTCTATGTGCATACCTTCTCTACTGTAGCCCTGCTTCTTTAGACCAGCAAAGAAACGGAGATAGGTCACTTGGATAACTACCCAGCCGATGAGGCCAGCAACGGTTGTGATGTTTACAAACCACGAGAATACCACAGAAGTGTTGTTCACAACTGTGAGGTACACAAGTGGAGATAGAAGGCAGCTCATGCCAACCGCATAGTGAGGAGTGCCGAATCTGTTGCAACGTTGGAACAACTGAGGGGCGTGACCATCACAACTCAGGCCGAAGAGAGTTCGAGAGGCGATGAAGATACAAGCAGATCCGCTGCTGATGGCTGACGTGCACACGACAGCGTTGATGATCGAGGGGACGACTGATACTCCTGATCGTTGGAAGGCAATGACGAATGGAGACTGTGAGGCGGTTCCGGTAGAGACGCCGAGAGCTGGGTCATTGTATGGTCTGACAGGTCATCGTTAGTTGCTTGTGGTTCTCTCAATTCACTTCAAGTACTTACACAATAAGACCAACGATAAAGATGCTGCAAAAGTAAAAGAAGAAAATGCGGTAAAATGTCTTCTTTGTCGCAGCTGGGATAAGCTTTCGCGGGTTACGTGTTTCAGAGCCCGAGATAGCCACGACCTGGATATTGCCGTAGCTGAAAGCAGCTGGAAGCATTGCTTTCCAGAAAGCCAGGAACCTTCCAGCTGAGCCTTCTTTGATATAAGTATTGAAAGCTCCTGGATGGATCCAGTATCGGAAGCCCAGCCGTTCATGATTCGGTGCTCCACCGAGGTCAATGACGAGTCCACCAATGATGAGACCGATAATGAGCATGATCTTGAGGGATGCGAAGACAACTTCAGATTCGCCGTAGAGTTTCGCTCCGCAAAGGTTGGCGACGATGATGAAGATGAGGAAGATGGTGATCCAGACGCCAGGGTTGATGGATGTGTTCCAGAACTGGACGAGCGTGGCAGCGGCGCTGATCTCGGCGGGCATGTTGATTGCCATTGTGTACCCTACCCCAGTTAGAACATTGGAATAGTCATCCATGAGTAGCGTGCAGCTTACAAAAATTCCAGCCTGTTGCTGCACCAAGTGCAGGCTCAACGAACTTGGTCGCATGGCGAACGAAACCGCCAGTTGATGGCATAAAAGCTGTAATCTCTCCCGTGGTATACGCAACACCTGCTGTTACGAAACCCATGAGTGTATACGCGAGAAGAGCTCCAACTGGGCCTGCTGTCGCGATGACTTGGCCAGAGCTGAGGAAGAGTCCCGTTCCCTACAAGGGTCAATTATGCCATAGGTACAGCAGTGGGAAACTTACAATCATGCCAGCAACAGCAATCATGTTGATGTGTCGGGATCCTAATTCACGCTTGAGGCCGCTGGAGGGGATGACCTCTGTGTTCCCGCTGCCCATCTCGACATCTGCTGGCATGTCGCTGCAGACAATCTTTTCGTCTTTATCCATGATCCGCTCGCTGTCGAAGGGTCAAAAATGGGTGTCAATCAGGGCCTTTCAGTAGAAAAAAAGTCAAAGAGACTTGAGTTGTACCTCTTGATCGAGGGGAATAATAATAATATTCTCCCAATGCTACGGTGACTCAAATCATGTTATCTGAGTCGGCCGATCTTCTCCATTATTTATGATGGACCCCGACTCCAGTGGCTTATCGCAATGCATGGCTCGTTTATCATGAGGGGAAACAGGGGTTTAGCTTGAGTCGCCGGTGAGCGTTAGAACACCGGTGCAAAGACGTGGGGAAATTTGCCGGATCAGCAATAAACCACGACGCCTCAGAGCCTCGACCATTCCAGAGCTTAACTATAATGTCGCCATGTGCCGATGGCAACGAACGTCATATTGGCCGTTTCATTTTAGTTCCTTTTGTTATCAGCCATGGCTTCCAACAAGGTTAACCCTACCCATGATGACTCCTTTGAGCTGTTTGACTTGAGAGTCGAGGTCGTTTGTCCGCCAGACAAGCAGATCATGTGTGGAGCGAAAGAGGGAGACTACTTCACACTCAAAGGCGAAATGCTTTACCTCCCACCGAATCAGGGGATCAGTATCTATAGTCTTGGTAAGATAAAAGTACTTTACTTGTTGGAAGTGTAACTGACTGGAGTAGCATCCGTTCTTCCGCTTCTACCGGCCAAGCAGAGAGTGACATCTCCCAACGACTGGATGACTACAGATGCACTTATCGCTTGCCCTGATCCCAATTGTCCGTCGCAGCTGAAGATAGTAAAGGAAGGGATTCGGAAGTTCAGCCATGCCGAGACTACTGTTGTTCCATTGAGTGGGAACTCAGGGTCATGAAGAGGGACAGCAGTCGGATGTATAATATATTAATCTGTTTGTGAAAAGAATGTAACATCTTGAGGGTTCATTCCAAACATCTCTGCCCACATATCATCACACTCGAAAGGGAAATCCAAGTTTTCCTGAGCTAAAAAGTATATATCTAGGGTTGCTAGGTCGGGAGGACGTCGGGAGGATGAGCTGCCTTCTGAATCTGCACTGGGCTCTCCGTTTATATCAAGCTGTTCTATCATCTGTGGTGCAGGCCCCACAAGTCCACCTTCCTGGCATGTCTTATGTCTTGTTTGGTTCTCTACAAGCCTCATCGCGACTCTGTCTAGAAATGATGCTTGTAAGGTACAGCTAGAGCTTGTGCATCCAGACTGGTTAGAAAAGACCTGTGCAGCTTTCTGTATAGCTTCTATACAGGTTGATTCAAGCTGGCCAGATATGAAGTCGGAAAATACAAGAGTGATCTATAATGAACAATTGTCAGCACCGCCCAGCCAAGCAGAAGAGATGGACCAACCTTGACGAGGAATGCAGCACTATAAGCTGTCATAACATGGATGGAGTCTTGAGCGAAGCAGACATGCTCTGAAAAGCGTGATATTAGCTGCAGCATGTTGAGGGCACTACTATATGCTACCCAGACTGTGTCGATATGGTGGTTGATATTGGATCTGTCGGAAACAAGAATGCCATGAAGTGGTAAGGTATGAAGCTGTAGGCGAAGGTGTGTTCCGTAGAAGCGGATGAGAAACTCATGGCAGGATTGTTCCGTCTGCGCTGTGATCCTTTCAGTCCACTTCTTTTCCCATCTCTCTATACGGCCATCCAATAGGCTGACAAGCGGCGCACTCTCACTATGTGACAAGGATCGCTGCCGCGACTTAGTGACCAGTAGTGGAAATGCGGAAGAGGTGACAAGCCTCAACGTAGTGAAAGCCCCTAGAAGTTGATCGTTTTCGATCGTCAAAGTGTCGTTGCACCAGTCTTCTATGGACTCAATAAACTCGGTGCATTCTATCATGCATGGTCGTCCGGTCTGTAGACTGATACTTTAATAAGGTCAGTAGCCGAAAGCTTGAAATGCCACAAAATCTCGAGGTAGGATAGAGGGATCATACCTCCGATCGTAAACGAAGAGAACATACCATGTCCTCTCAATATTCCGTCGCTCTCGCCTTTGGATTTCAGACTCTGTCGCGGCTACTGTAGAACGGCAATAAGCCAGCTTATGCCATCCCAAGTCCATGCATATGCGGATTGCGTACCCAACAGAGGTCCACACCCTTGTGTCTTGCGGCTCCTTCCAATACGTAAGAATGAGGATTCCTTGCACGATTTCGACGGATTTACTACCTCTCCGGAAGACATTTGAAAAGAGATCCTGGGCGTGGTCGTACAACTTTATGTAGAGGACGTTATTGAAGGCCTTGGCTGCCATGGCTAGCATGGAGCTTAGTAGAAAAGCAGACTTGGAACGGACGTAGGGAAAGGTATGAAGATTGGGATCAAGCTGGCTGATGTATGGGTTTAGAACTGTTATGAAGCTGCTTAGATGTCAGTATATACACTTTCATGAAAATGGATGGTTTTGCTCACCTATCAAACAGAGATTTTGCCAGAGATGGAGTGATGAGTCCAAGGTCAATGGGGTCCTCAAGTGACTCATCGCGGCTTCTTTGACGCGGCGCAGGTTCTTGATCCGCATTGAGAATATTGCCAAGAGAGAATCTCCCCTCCAAAGCCTGATGATTGAGCAACCCTGATGGCTGTAGGTTATTTGCATCGTCTTCAGTTTCTGAGATATGAGCCCCTGCTGCCGCTGGACTCTCGAGGCTTGGAATCGACTGTGGTGAGATGGTGGGGACTTTCTTCACTTTAGAGATCCTATAGTCCCTGTCAACAAGAATTGTAAGACAACTAAGCTAGATTGCGTACTTTGTACCTGGCTTGCGGCCTCGACGATGCTCCCTGAAAATACAATCGAGGGCTTTTCGGGTACAGCGCTCACATTTAGATGTATCCTGTCCCATAGGACGGCACTTCATCTTGACTCTTCGACATTGTGTACACGCATTAGCACTCTGAAGAGACGGACTTGACATGTTGGTAAGGTGCTGATGTGTGCTGAGTTCTGCACCTGGCTTTGGAATGGCCCTGCTTGAAGAATCGTCACCAAAGCTGCCCGCCCAATCAATCGTGTTTCTCACTAAATCCGGGGTAACTAGCGTAGAAGATACTTTCGATAAGACCGGCGGTGCTGATTGGTTGAGTAGCCGATAAGGAACTCACTGGTTATCACGCCGGCTATCTCGGCATTCTAACTGTATCTAAAAGGCCGGTGTCACTATCTTAAACGCCGAGAATTGATCGCCTTGAACACCGGCGGGGCATTCCCAGTCATCATATTCAAGTACTGATATCAGGCTTTATCAAGACTAGTAATTTCGTTATCTCCAGTTTCACGACTCATTGCGACTTTCAAACGGTGCAGCTCTTTTCTGACGGTTTGTCAATTTGAACCAGTCAATCATTATGGCGGTCTCTCGCAATGGCAGCAGTAATACCGCTCATGTCAATATGATGACGGACAGCGTTATAGCGAACCTACCACCTGACGGTCTCCGAGTTATCATCCGCTCACTACTGGCATCTCACCCTAATATCACCCCCAGCTTTGAAGACGCAACACGTCAATACCTTGCTCAGGCCCAGACAAAGTCGTCAAAATCTCAGTTTGCTAGTCTTGATGTTGAAGGATTGGACCAGGCCCGGAAGATAGCTCGCTGTATGCTTGGATCTGGGCAAGCGTTCGATGGCGTTTCTATTCTTGACAAATTAGTTTTTCGCGGTGTTCAAATCGCTCTCGACTCACCAGAAACAGAGGATCAGAGTGTCGCTTCACTCCTTGCTTCTCTGGATGGCGATTTGGTCCAGGCCATGACAGCCGTGACAAAGAAACTTGCTGTTAGCTCCGGGGCACGAGCGCTTTCTTCAAAAGAACAGAATATTATTCAAGGACTGTTTGAGTCTCTTGCTAAGTGTCAAGAGATGCTGAAGGGCACAGGCATAGACTTTCCCTATGGAAGGGGGATGCTCACGACTGCAAATATGCTGGGTTTAGCTTTGCCGGACTCGCCAGAAACAAGATTGAGCAAGGTACCTTCGGACACGGCACGGCCTCCGCTATCCAAGGAAACCTTTGAGCTCGGTGATAGAAGACTACCTCGCATTTTCTCAGGCCTATGGCAGATGTCAAGTCCAGCTTGGGGCTCTGCACAAATGTCCGAAATCATCGAAGGATTCTCGACGCATGTCCGAAATGGGTTTACTGCGTTCGACATGGCAGACCACTATGGTGACGCTGAGGTTCTCTATGTAAGTTCACAATCTTGCAAGAGTCTTTACGGTTGACTAACGCCACTACAGGGCCGTTTTCGGTCAATGTATCCCCATAGGGACGCCATGTTTACTGCGACAAAGTACTGCGTGTTTCATCCAATGACTGTTTCCCGGGACGCAGTGCAAGCCAATGTGAGCGAGAGGTGTAATAGATTGCAGCAAGAGGTGATCGACCTGCTTCAATTTCACTGGCAACTTGTACGTTTTGATACCTGTTCGTTGTACAAAATCCTGCTAACAGAGTACTAGTGGGATAATCCGCAGTATATCGACGCGCTACAACATTTGGCAGAAGACAAGCGAGTGGCTAGGATCGGGTTATGTAACTTTGACACGGAACATCTTGAGCGAGTTGTCGAAAGCGGTGTCAAGATATACACGAATCAGGTTCAGGTTGGTACTTCAGCAATTACTGAGGTAGCCGTTACTGACTAGATGCAGTTCTCATTAATTGACTCGAGGCCTACTGTGAAGATGGCAGATGCATGCTCCAGACATGGCATCAAGCTGTTGACATATGGAACTCTGGTGAGTATCCTCTGATGAAATTGCCGTGCAACCATTAACAGATCATTCCCTCAGTGCGGTGGATTTATCGCAGATAAGTGGCTCAAGCAACCTGAACCCGATGTCTACGACACCAACATCACTCCTAGCCAAAGAAAGGTAAGCGAAAGACGCCCCGTCAGTTTACCATTTTACTGACGACAAGTGCAAAGTACTACGGAATGATATGCAGCTGGGGCGGCTGGGATCTCTTCCAAGAGCTGCTCAGCGTCCTTGACACCATCGCGACAAAGTACAAAGTTAACATCTCCAACATAGCTACGCGCTGGGTCCTAGACTTTCCCTATGTCGGAGCAGTCATTATTGGCGCGAGGATCGGCATGAGTGAGCATACAAGTGACAATGCTACTACTCTCGGCTGGAGGTTGGATGATGGTGACCGGAGGCTGATTGAAGAGGTCTTGGACCGGAGTAACAGAGCCGAGATGTTTGAGACAATGGGCGATTGCGGTAATGAGTATCGATAAGAGAACCGAATCTGATGTAACCACTTCAACGCTGGTTCCGAGTTTCCAAAATGGGATGGGGGGGGGGGGCATATGTAACGTCTGATGAATGAATGGAGTGCCCACCTCGCGTATGCACTCGTCCCGGTCCGGACTGGAGAGCTGAGCTCGTACCGAAAATCATTTTCTCTGAAGCGAGTTTCTTGAGACGTATCTCGCTTCGATGATTGTGATTACTCACGGATATATCATATCCTCATGGCGATAGGGCCATTACACCCATGGTCTCCTTCAAGCAAAAGCCTGTGAATAAGGACAGGTTGGAAAAGTTAAGTAAGATGCATAAAAACGACATCGGGGCTTTTGCCGCCAAGAGACAAACCCCGTAAATGATCTCCATCCCACCACAAATCAACCCTCATCTGTAGGTCACTAGGCGTGCCAATCAACATGTCCTTAACATCATCTCGTGATTGATAACCACCCACACAACTACTAAAACAACGCGCTTTTCAACCGCTTTGATCCTAGCCACCTTAGTATCAACAGCTGACGCAGCAAGAGAGATTTGAATCGATTGTTACAGCGACCATGATGTTTTATCGTGAATATTAATTCTCGCTGGTTACCCTAAAGAACCTATTACGTCATAACATCAGTTAATACAGTATCCCCTTAACATCTACTAACATTGACCAGAGAATAATCTTAATGCTGGAAGTATATGTCATGGTTTTATGCATAACGGTCCATTCCCGGCTTTATTTCTTGAATCTCATTGGCACGATGATGCGTTGCAACCCGCTGCATCGTGTTTCCCCTCATTCGTGACCTCACAAAGCATCAAGAAACAAGGCTTTTTAAAACCACAGTTGATCACAAGCGCATAGTTCAATAAATCTCTCCAGTGACCAACAGTATGACGTTTGGCTATTACTACCTACCTGGTTGGTGACACAGTCTTGCTGCTATATGAACAGTGAGGCCGTTCATAATGGAGCTGGCCGATCCTTTGCGGTTAGAGCCTCCTTTGCTAGATCAAAACAAAACTTTTCTAGGCAATAAGTTAATCGGAAATACTACAAATATTTATTATTTCCAAGATGTTGTGGCCTTTTACGTGGTTCCTTGCAGTCATGCTTATCGGAGTCGACTATGGCCTGTCCTACCTGTCAGAGATGGCAGATACCATGATTGCAATGGGCATCGAGCCGGACCTTGGATATCAAGATGCTGTTCTTTATCTCGGATTCGAAAAGGCTTACGAGCTTACTGGCGATCAGAAATATCTGGACTGGTACATCGGCAAGATCGACGGCCCCGTTGTTCAAGAGGACGGGTCGATCAAAGGCCTCAATACATCGCGGTACATCCTTGACGAGTACCGAATGGGGCACAACTATCTGTACCTTTTTAATGAAACTGGAGAGTCAAAGTACGAGACGGCTGCCAATACGGTCAGACGTATGCTGGACTCTTATCCTCGCACCCCTTCCGGGGGCTTCTGGTAAGCGAGACATGTTAAACTACTATTGCCTGGCAATTAATCGACAGTTCATAGGCACCAACAATTCTTTCCCAATCAAATGTGGCTAGATGGTATCTACATGGCAGATTCATTCTATGCCAGATGGACGCATCTCTATGACTCGGACAATAACACAGCTTGGGACGACATCCTTCTACAGTACGAGCTCATACACGAGAACACCATTAACGAGACAACTGGCCTTCACGTGCACGGATGGGTCGAAGGAGAAGCGTCGTGGGCTGACCCCAAAACTGGCCGAGCGCCCAATGTCTGGGGCCGTGCTCTTGGTTGGTACTTCATGGCCCTCGTTGAAGTACTGCAGTACTTCCCCACGTCGCATCCCGGGTATGACCAGCTCCTCGGATACCTTGGATCTCTCGCAAAGGGTCTTAAAGACTCGCGCGACTCAGATCTTGGCAGCTGGTGGCAAGTCATGAATGAACCTTACCCTGAACGCGAGGGGAACTTTATCGAGAGCAGCGGCTCCTCCATGTTTACGTGGGGATTGTTGAAGGCTGTTGATTTGGGATACCTTGACTCGGATGAGTATCTCGGAACTGCTAAGGATGCGTTCACAAGCTTGATTGACAACTTTGTGACGCAAGGTGAAGATGGGTCGTTGGTGCTGAATAGCACGGTCGCTGAATGTGGTTTGACCAGTTCGAATGTCACGTTTGAAGTGAGTACACTGTTTTCGACGTCGATGTCTATGTACTGACAGTAATAGTACTACACCAGCAGACCAAAGCTGGAGAATGGGCAAAATGGTGTCGGTCCGTTTATGCTTGCTTCTTTTGAATGGGAGTCATGGGCAAAGGACGCATGAGTATTCCCAGGTAACAACAGGGCGTCGGACGTCAACAACTATGCCAATTTTGCTGCAGCTGCAGAATCTGATGCCCTTTTGGAAATGGCACTGCTTTCTCTGTTTGTTTCAGTACCTTGTGCAGTTCTGCTACATCGCTTCTAGTCTCAATCATTATCATTCTGCCTCACTCAGTATCTCCTCTTTTGCGCATCTCGGCACTGATGTCGGAGAACGAACATCCGAGTCGGAATAGTTGTTTGCCAAGATGAGAATAAAGCCAAGAAAACAAGTGCCGGTTGGGCCTTTGTAATCCAGCTGATACCAAGGCAAAAAACGGTCGCTGTATTCTGTTATTTTGTGCACTATAAATGCCGTGTAAGTATGGCGGGTACACGCTGTAGTTAAGCGAGTTACTTTCTCTCAGATATCTCGCGATTTGCATCCAATCAGCATCGAATTATCATATACATCAAACAAAAAAAAGAAATCGAATGTGCTTTCGGGGATATCAGAACTGGTGCATATAACAGGATCTCAGAATTAGTTCCGAAATATGCCAGATTTCTTGGTATACCAAGGCATCGAATGTGAATCTCCCGCGGGATTGGCTGGGCACGGCAAACAGTCGGATCCGAAGTAACACCAGAGATGGGTTGATCCCGCGGGTACACGAGAGCCCCATACGCCAAGGTCCCGAACAAGCTTAAGAATAACCTTTTCCCACCTCAAATCAACTGCAATGCTTGGCCCTGACATGATGGTGGAGTAGCGCCCAGGCGGGAATAATCCACTATAGTGGGTAGTCATGCCCGGAGCATCGCAGCACAGGTCGCAGTTAATGGACTCTCCGCCCTTGGCACGGGAAGACTCGGGCCTTTTCTGCGTTTTTTTGGAGTAACATATTACATGCCCAGGCTGAACGGGAGTGACGGGAGGCTCACCCCTCCTTGAGTTGAGAATTGCTGCGTAATTGGGGAATATGATGAATGGATTGCGATTCAGCAAGCTTGGCGTGAGACTAGCTAGAGTGAAAAAAACATACGAGAGAGTTCTATCTCCGTTTTGCTTAGATGAATCGATGAAAGCGTGGAATAAGAAGCATTCTTCAAGAAACTAAAGTAATTCAGACTAGCCTATAGACCTACCTAAGACTACGGGCCGGCAATATGGCGCTGATGAGAAGAGCCTCATTTTCAGCCTCTTTAACAACCGCCATTGCTTCATAGATCCTAGAATAGTAAATGGACTCTAAAACATAAACTCTAAAGAGCTATTAATTGCAATTGATCTGATCACTATTTGACACCGCTGATCTTCTGGTAATTAATCTGGGGTGCGATGTCTGTGTGTTCCTTTCGCGCACGCGAGACCGTTTTTGCCCCAGAACCCTTTTTTTTTTCTTCTCCAGTTTTTAAACCAAGAAATGAATGAATTCTTCTTTGCCCCGGACTCTTGGCTCACACATGCAACCATCTGGGGGACACGACCTTTTTCCCCAGCTTGCCCAGCCATGCCAACGTTGGAGAGATGCGGGGTTTTTTCCATCGCCAATGTTTTTTTTCTCTTGTCGCGTGTTTCCCGCTCATCTATAAAAAATGGCTATTCACCTTCGTTTTGTCCTTGCTCTTGTTCTCGTGTACTCAGCCTTTTGCCCTGGTTGACTTCACTAGCCCTCCCTTTCTCAACCACTTCAATAGTCGTTATTTCTTTGTTTGTTCCTCGTTATTTGTCAAGATATGACGACTCCGAGTGAGAAAGCGGGCGGTGATGTGCCTCCGCAAGACATTCAAGTCCCGGGTTCTGATGTCAAGGCTCCCATTGGCGACAAGGCCGATACTGCTTCTGCCATTGAGAAGGAGCTTGGTATGGTAGAGGAGGGATATCTCAAGAATGAAGGTCGTCTTCCTAGCCCCGAGGAGCAGATCGACGCTCTTGGCATTCCGAACTGGCGCGAGCTGGAGAAGAAGATTGTTCGTCGTCTTGACATGACTCTCATGCCCTGTGTCTGGTGTCTTTACTTCTTCAATTATCTCGACAGAGCGTCCATTGGGCACGCTAGATTGAGCACGTTTGACGAGGACCTGAATCTTACTGGTGCCAACTTTTCTTCTGCTGTCTCTATTCTCTCTCTCGGTTATGGTACGTTCCTCACATGGCTGATCTTCTGAGACAAAGCTAACATTTTCAGTCCTCGGTCAACTTCCTAGTAACATGTTGATCACCAAGATTCGACCCAGTCTGTATCTCTGTCTCATGGCTATTGTCTGGTCTGGTGTCAGTGTCGCTACTGTCGGAGTCAAGTCATATTCTGGACTCATGGGCGTTCGCTTCGCGCTTGGTCTAGTGGAGGCGCCTCTTCTTCCTGGCGCTATCTACCTTCTCGGTTGCTGGTAAGTTCATCTATCTCTCCTGTATCACCAGACTCCAGAAGCTCACATGACGTTTTAGGTACACACGAAAGGAAGTCGCTTTCCGCATGGCTATCCTCTACTCTGCTCAGACAATTGCCTTCTGCTCAGCCGGTCTCATCGCCGCCGCCACCTACGCAACACTCGAGAAGGCCCACGGCCTGGCTGGCTGGCAGTGGCTGTTTATCATCCTGGCTACCGCTGGTGCTGGCTCTGCCATGATCTGCATCTGGTTCATTCCTGATTATCCCGACTCGACTACCGGCAGCGCCATGTGGACCATGACTGAAGACATGCGAAAGGTTGCTGCCGCACGTGTCATTGCTGACCGACCTTCAACCACCGAGGCCAAGACTGGTGCTTGGGAGGGATTGAAGCTTAGTGTTCGCGACCCTAAGCTCTACATCCTTACTCTCATGAACATCACCATCTCTGCTGCTTACGGCTTCTCCAACTTCTACCCTTCCATCGTTCGTGGTCTGGCTGCCGATTGGGGATACAGCTCCGTCATCGCTCTTGTTCTCACTGCGCCTCCTTACATCTTTGCTGCTATCGGCTCTTATGTCAACGCTTGGCACTCTGACAAGTAAGTCTCAAGTGATGTCGGTCATCATATCAATCACTAATCGCTGTCTTGCAGGGTCAAGGAGCGAGGTCTGCATTATGCCATCCCCGTTGCCGTTGCGTGTATCGGTTTTATCGTCTGCCTCGCTACCACCAACCCCCAGGCCCGATACGGAGCATCCTTCATTTATGTCGGCGGCATGTATATCGCCAACCCTCTCATCATGGGTTATGTTAGCGGTATGTTAACTATGCCGTTCCACTACCCAAAATGGTACTGACTATTACCAGGTGCTCTTGCAAAGACTCCCGAAAAGCGAGCTGCCTCCGTTGCACTCTGTAACCTTCTGTCTCAAATCGGTAAGTTTACTTACACCACGATTTCTCAATGTCAGCTGACAAAGTCTGCTAGGAAACTTCACTGCTCCTTTTATGTTCGTAACCAAAGAGGAACCTCGATATATCAGTGCCTTCATTGGTATGATGGCCTTCGGTTTGACCTCTAGCGCCTGTGCTATTGTCATGAAGATCTGGCTTAGCCGCTCCAACAAGCGACTCTTGCGAGAGGCGCAGCAAAATGGTACCGCCTATCAGCCTTATGTTACCTAAGGCTTTAGCAATGGTATCTCCTGCACAGCCTTCATATAGCTTTGGGTTGATGCAAAGCTGTGCGGTTTGAGTTGTTGTTATGATCAAAATCCCTTTACTGGGAGATATGAATCGGAAATATTCCGATGATGGAGTTTGAGGCAAATGGCTACTCGTCGCAATAAATGAGGGTGATATGCTATAGCCTAAATAATTATTTACAAGAAGTGCAAACTCTCATACCTTCCAAATCTCAAGTCCTTTAGCTGAACTGCCACCAGTTGAAGTTAAACAGATAGTCAGATCCAGTGCCCGTAAAGACAAGGAAGAGGTCGCTGGTGCCGGTAGCACCACTAACAGGGCAGTTCACCGTCTTGTAAGTTTGCCAGTTTCCAGTCGTTGTTACCGTGCAGGTACCAACCAACTTACCTGTCTTGCTACCAAGTCGAAGCTCTATTTTACCACCGCTGCTATTAGAGGCGACACGAGCGCTGAAGCTCTTTGCCCCGGTGCTACCAAAGTCGACTCCCTTGACCTTGATGTAGTCACCGTTGTTGATGAAAGCAACGTTGAGACCGCCCTCACTGCAGACTTCGGTCTCGATACCCTCTGACCAAGCGATAGTCTCGGCCTCCTGCTTGACATATGGGTTCAGAGACTTGACCTGAGCCGGGCCCTGAGTGGTCATCTTGATCTCAGGGATCAGGCCGTCCGAACCATACTTGAAGCTCTCGACAGCCACGGAGCGAGTGTAGCCGCTGCCACCGGTGAGAGCACCATTGTGATAGAAGAAGTACGAGTTGTTCTCAAAGTCTATGATGCCGGGATGGTTGGTGAAGCTTCGACCCTCTTTGTTCATGACGACACCACGGTAAGTCCAAGGTCCAGTGGCGCTAGGTCCAGTTGAGTAGCGGATATCCTCGGAACAACAGTTGGCGGCGTAGATCATGTAGTAAAGATTGCCACGCTTGTACAGCCAGGGTCCCTCCTCAAACGTTGTAGGACGTTGCGCGTTATTTGGGCGACTACCAAATCCAGCGGTTGTGAGCGAAACCTGGTTAATGCCGCCACTGTAGGAGAGCATGTCTTGGTTGAGCTTGACATAGTACAGGCCAGGGTTGCCCCAGTAGAGATAGGCCTGACCATTAGTGTCGATATAAACTGTTGGGTCGATCTCATTGTTCTCGACCAATGGCTTTCCGAGAGCATCGGTGTAGGGCCCAAGGATGTTGGTACTGACACCGACACCAATAGCCATTCCTCCCGTCTTGGCATTGCGGACAGGAACGTAGAAGTAAAACTTGCCGTTTCGGGCCACGACTTGTCCAGCCCAGGCTCTGCTGTTGGCCCAGCTGAAAGTGCTCAAGCTCATGGGTACGCCATGGTGTTGCCAGTTGACCATGTCTGCTGACGAGAAGAGACGCCAGTCGGTCATGTTGAAGTCGGTAGAACCGTCGTTGTCATGGCCTGTGAAGAGGTAGACGCGGCCGTTGTAGACCATTGGTGCTGGGTCTGCGGTGTAAATGTCTTGGACAATGGGGTTGTCTGCTAAAGCAACTCCAGTGAGACCCAGGAGAGTGCTGACGAACAGCAACGGGGAATTAAACCACATCTTGAGTAGAGTCTCAGAACAACTGTTGATGTAAATCAATGTCTTGCCAACTCAGGCTCTTGAAGAATAATAATTCTACAATGAGAGTGTTATAAGCAGTTCGATGTCAACTTTAAATAGCTGATTCTATACTGACGTGTAGATCTCAGTTTCTCCGCATGAGGAAGGTAGCAACCCAAATTTGTTTAAGGGCCCTGTTAGCGTTGGGCTCAGTAGGGATAAACGAGGATAAACGAGGTAATGCCGTTTTACACAAATAGGCTATGGTGTCTTCGTCAGATAATCACAACCAATTTGCGCGCCTAACCTTGATGCAGACATGATGGCATATTTAACACCGAGCTTGATATTACTATTTGCGCGCATCGTCAGACTACATGGGAGAAGCACCCGGATAATCGGAACAAGGCGAATCATTTACTAGAAACAGACATTGTATCGGCGGAGATTCAACTGATTGGTACGGATACGAAAAGACACTTTGAGTCATGTTTCAGTCAAGGGGCTAGTTGAGCACAAATCATCTGGTGTATCCTTGCTTCATCTGGGCTAACGGAAGAGGCATTCCGTCTTTCAGAAAAGGGACATGATGACATCTACCAAATGCCGAATGCTGCAAGTGCCGATCTTCCGTTAAGCGATCCATATAAAACACGCCTAAATTAGGCTAATACGCCCTTCAGCTCCCCTTAATCATCGGAGTAGTGACGAATAAATGAAGCGTCTGATAATTTGATCATTTGTTTGACCACGTTTGTTTCAGCCTGAACTTGCGCATCGTGCATAATGCGGGGTTCAACCCTGCAATAAACATTGGCGCGCTGCTACTCGTGGCTCTAGAGGGGGATATATTTCCGTGAGAACTCTAACAAGTCTAGACGCTGATCCCTGCTCAGCTAAAGCGCGCCAATCGTTTCATGTCCAAACTCCAAATTGGAATGTCCCTCGTTTTCTTATAACTTGGGCGAGAGATGCTGTAGACGGGTTCTGTTCGACAACGCTCTTTAGTTCTTGACGGCTTCAACATGCGTGCTATTCTTGGCCTCATCTTTTCGGCTGCTGCCGCCATGGCAGAAAAGTTTACCAACCCTGTTATCTGGGAAGATCTCTCCGACGTGGAAGTCACTCGCGCTGGAGATGCTTACTTCATGACGGCCTCTACATTCCATTACTCCCCCGGTGCTCCAGTCCTTCGATCATACGATCTTGTCAACTGGGAGCACATCGGCCATTCCGTCCCTGTTCTCGACTGGTCCTCCAAGTACAGTCTTGAGAACGGACAGCGAGCTTACGTCAAGGGCATTTGGGCTTCTTCTCTCCGGTACCGCGAGAGCGATGGAAAGTTCTACTTTGTTGCTTGCATTGAGTTCGGTAAAACCTATGTCTACAGTGCTTCAAGCCCAACTGGCCCGTGGTCTCAGATCACTACCATCAACAAGTGCTATTACGATGCTGGCCTGCACTTCGATACTGACAACACTCCTTACGTTGCCTTTGGACGCGGCGACCTTCACATTGCACAGCTTTCGAAGGACATGAAGACCGAAGTCAAGGAACAGGTTGTTCTATCACCGCCATCTACTCTTACCCTCGAGGGCTCTCGCTTGTACAAGAAGGACAACAACTGGTACATCTTCTTAACCCGACCTGCAACGGGACAATACATCGCCAAGTCAACCAACGGTCCCTTTGGAACTTATGATCTCCGCATCATCGCTGATAACCTCAAACTTGCCACTGCCCCTCGTGCTGGAGCACCTCACCAGGGCGGTCTTATCGACACACCCAGCGGCAACTGGTACTACATGTCTTTCGTGGACATGTATCCTGGAGGAAGAGCACCAGCCTTGGCACCTATTACTTGGGGCAGCGATGGTTTCCCCAAGATCACTCTTGTAAATGGTCAATGGGGCGACTATGACTACCCACTTCCCAAGCGCACTGTTCCTAGCCCTATTGGCACTGATACTTTCACTGGTCCCAACCTCCGAGCAGACTGGGAGTGGAACCATAACCCCGATACTAAGAGCTTTACTGTCAACAACGGCTTGACCTTGAAGACCGCTACTGTAACCAAGGACCTGTATCAAGCTCGCAACACCCTCACCCACCGAATCCGCGGCCCTCAAGGAACTGGTACAGTCCTCATCGACTTCTCCAAGATGGCCGATGGTGATCGTACTGGTCTCGCTGTTCTCCGCGACTCATCAGCTTGGATCGGCATTGAGCGTGAAGGAAGCTCCTTCAACCTCGTTTTCAACACAGGCCTCAGCATGAACACCGACTGGACCACCAAGTCTACAGGAAGTGTTTCAGCTCGACAGAACAACGTTTCCTACCGCAAGATTTATCTCCGTGTCACTGCTAATATCGCCCCTGGTGCTGCTGGATCTGCTGTGTTCAGCTACAGCACGGACGGTAACAGCTTTACCAACTTTGGGTCTACTGTGTCGCTGGGTAATGATTGGCAGTTCTTCCCTGGACATCGTTATGGTATTCTTAACTATGCGACAAAGAGTCTTGGTGGATCTGTCCTTGTTTCGCGATTTGACAACAAATAATCGCCTATTTACTTTCGTTGTATATAAATTCTAGCTATATATAGGGAGAAGTGTAAATACTGATTAAGAAATTCCAGTTTCACTTGTCTTGTTTCCTTCGTCTGTAGCCTTCTATTTATCCTCCATCTACCGAGTTTGTCTCCCAAGCCATTAACCAAAACTGCCACGAATCAACTCTCATCTATAGACTCTCCCATCGTTGCCCAATCTTTCTCCTCTATCGCCGATTTTATCAGAAAGTGCAATATATCCAAACACATTATCAGGTTCGATATCCCTGATTTTCAGTGGCAAGTCCTTCAATAGTTTCACCCTCTCATCGCCAGTTAGAATGCTCCCTCCTGGCGCAAGATCCATGTATGCTGAATCTCGTGTTAACGCGGCAACGTGTGTGAGGAAGTCTGGCGCTTGTATCACCAATCTTAACCCTACAGTCAAGATCGCAGCCGAGAACATTATAGCGAGAGATAGAATAGCCGTGGCCATCCATACCTTTCGAGTCCCATTAAACTTTGGTTGTTAACGCAAATGTGCCTGTTACATTTCCGTAGTGGTCTGTCCCCGAAATAGGCACTGCTTCCATGTCCAGTATCGTGTATAGAGACCAATATAGCCGTAGAGCGGTGTTGATGATTATAGCTAGGCGCTCGGCAAAGACGGGTAAGCGTAATTTGGTGTACTCGGTACCAATATAGTCAAAGTCAGACGTCGCTATGTGCCCGATGCCCTTTGCCGGATCTGCAATGTAATTCTCTATAGGCGATTTCAATCCTGGATTAGAACTGGGGGCCAGAAACAGGAGGCTAGATAGAAAAAGGTTCGCGCCGTGACCGACTAACTGATCGTCGGCCCTGGGGAAGGGGCGGGAAGGCGAGTGGCGGATTCTTCTGGCTCTAAAGGCCATCTGATCGAGTTGTGTTGGTCGTTCACATATAACGTCGACGTCAACATATATATGACCGATGTCGCAAACAGTGCTATAGCTAATATATCCAAAGACAAGGGTTCCATGTGTGATTGGCCCTTTACTGGTGATACTTTGGGCGGAAAAGTTGAAGCCCTTCTTGCTATTCGGCGTTTCCATGTATACCTGGCTATAATTACCATTCGTCTCACTCTCTCCCTCCTTAGAGTAAATAACATCAATTCCATGGCTCTTCAGGATCCCTGGGTTGGTATCTAGCCACTTTTCTGTATCAAACCAGGGAGAGCACTTTCTAGATCAGTTTCTGAACTCCAAAAGCGAGGTCTGGAGTGAACCTTCACATTGAGGGTAATATAGCTAGCAGGCAATTCGAAGGTCCAGTTTCCGGGTGTTAATGGTATGTCCGAGAGAGTTAGGTGAACTCAGCGCTGCACCAAACAGAACTTTTACAGTGCTCATATCGCTACCCGCAGTATTAAGCTGTGAGGACCAGTTACGCGGACTGTTACTCGAGATCGACCAGCGATCATTGTCAAATGGGATCCCTGAATTTGTTGCTGGACTATACGTCGAGTCAGAGCGATTTGCTTCCGTATGAAGCGTAACGTGAACTGCTCGGAGGACTGCTTGGCCGCCCAGTGGGCTAAGGCTCCATAAGAGAATGAGAAGGAAGACCCAGTGTGAAATGATACGGACGTTAAAGGCACTTGTGAGCGCGCTCATAAGAGTTTGACTACCGAGAAGAATTCCCAGTGTCTAACCACCATCAGTAAGCTAACTTGCTGAAGTTCAGAACCTAGCATTGGTAGGATACGTACCCCGAGATTGGTTCCCCTTGCGGCTCTATAGAGCGCGACCGTTCGGGCTAACGATCCCAAAATAGCAGCAAAGGCAATGGGCCAGAGAGTTGAGGCCAATCCCATGCCTTGAAATATTGCATCGCCGTGTTGCGACAAGGGTTTGCCATCCAAACGAGCCATAAAGAGAAGTAAAACTCAACAATAGTCAGCGTAAAGTCGCATCAGTCAGTATATAGATTACTTACCCGCAAGTGGTATAGGTAGCATAAGGAGTGCCAAAAATGAAATGATACTGGAGATAGAGGCCCAGAACGATTGAGGAAGTTGACGAGGCTCTGGTGGCCAAGCTGACTCACCAGGGCTCTGCTTATTCTCCAACTCAACAGGCGCACCTAGGTGATATTAGCCGAGTAAGACGAAGAGTCGCCTTGTTTTTCTCACTTACCCCGTTGAAGAAGCTCATAGAATTGTCGCTCCATAGCATTGATTACAGCAATGCTTAGTCTGGAGAAAGAGAGAAAGCGAGAACTATATAGCCATCAGACACTACCTGTAGGTTACACAAACATAACCAAAGTTCCAATACACAGCCAATAGACTTAATCTGACTGATAGCTGAAATAAGATAAGGTTCAGCGATAAGCACAATGACATTTCATTTGTTAGCTATTCATGCTGTAAGAATGTAAGATTTGACTGTATCCAGCTGAACCTTGGTTTCTTACTATTAATAGATAAGGCAAAGTGGCTTTCCTCAGGGCCGCAAGACCCCCATATAAGAACACAAGGGCTCATATGCAAGCTGCAGGTCAGCCAAGGCGGCCCGGGCCTACGATTGGTCTTGAATCGGATGTGCTGATGGCGGGGGCTACTTATCTCGTAAGCTCTGTGCTGGCCCTCTTTTTCCTTTTTTTACATATCTCTTGGGACTAAGTTATACACGCATACCTGTAAAGTCAGGGCCAGAACCTTTGATGAGTCCACATAGGAAGAACAGTGATGTCTTTACGCATGACGACTATACCGTGGGATGGGTCTGCGCCTTGCCCAAGGAGCTGACGGCCGCTACAGCCATGCTGGATCATCAGCACCCAGCATTATCGAAGCCCCGACACGATATCAACTCGTATACTCTTGGCTCCATCGGGCCTCACAACATTGCCATTACATGCTTACCAAAGGGTATGATTGGGAATATCCCAGTAGCAACGGTTGCTAGTCATCTCGTCACTACCTTTCCCTCTATCAAAGTCGGTCTTATGGTAGGTATTGGTGGTGGTGTACCATCCAACAAGGTCCGGCTGGGAGATGTTGTGGTCGGTACGCCCTCTGGTGATTATCCAGGGGTAGTGAATTGGGATGCTGGCAAGGTACATGGCCAGGGGAAGTTCGAACGAACTGGATCACTTAACAATCCACCTCAGTCACTGCTGGCGGCTCTTACACAGCTAGAGACGCAACACAATCTGGTCGGAACTAAGATACCAGATTATCTCGGAGAACTGAAACAGAAATGGCCAAAGCTTGCCGCTGCATCTCTACGCAACGAGTCTCTCAAAGACTTACTATTCAAGTCATCCTATGATCATGTTGAAAGCACGATTTGCAACACGGATGATGAAGATGTAGATGAGAGCGAGGATGAAGAGCAGGACCCTTGTCAGTTCTGTGACAGATCCATGATTGTGAAGAGGAGAGACAGACAGATGTGCATTCACTATGGTCTAATTGCATCAGGCGACAAGCTAATCAAAGATGCTTCATCACGGAACAAACTCAACAAAGATCTTGGGGGCCATGTCCTCTGTGTCGAGATGGAAGCTGCAGGTCTTGTGAATCAATTTCCCTGTCTTGTCATACGGGGCATATGTGACTATGCCGACTCACACAAGAACAAGGAATGGCAGGAACATGCTGCAGTTGTAGCCGCGGCTTTTGCGAAGGAGCTATTACAGTATGTGCAGCCAACTGATGTGGATGGCGAGCGTCCTCTGAAAGATCTTTTGAACGATGGTCAGTTTCTCGTCTTTCCCGCCTTCAATTACCAACTAACTCTAGATAGTCCGCCTGCTTCTCTCCGAAACACGCAAAGATGTCGTTGAGATTAAAGCCAACCAGAGTAGAAAGGACGATATAAAGGTTCTCGACTGGCTCACAACAGTCGACCACGGCTTGCAACAAAGCGAATTCCAAAAGGTTCAAGCGCCAGGAACTGGCAGTTGGCTTCTCGAAGCCACTGAATACCAAAATTGGGCCAAGACACCAGGGCAAACTCTCTTTTGCCAAGGTATCCCAGGGGTTGGGAAGACGATTCTAACATCAGGCTTAATTGACCATCTAGGCTCAGAGCTCTGGGGCGACTCTGCAGGCGGTTTATCATACATCTTCTGCAACTTCCAAAGGCAGGATCAACAAACCAGTGATGGCCTACTCTTATGTATCCTGAAACAGCTTTCTGCAGGTTTGCCATCTCTTCCGGATTGCTTACGGTCCCTCTACACAAGCCATTCCATCCCACGGACGCGACCATCGTCCAGAGAGATTATTTCTACTCTTGGGTCCGTAATTTCTGGACACTCAAGAGTATTCATTATAATAGACGCGCTCGACGAGTACGGGAATGCTCCCGGTGCAAGAGAGTCCTTTCTCATGGGTCTTGCTCGACTACAGTAAGACTATAACATCAACCTCTTTGTAACTTCACGATTTGATACCGCAATCTGGTCTGAGATCAGGTCCAGCTTCAAGAACAACACAAGCCTAGATATCAATGCATCTAGAGACGATATCGGTGCATACATTGAAGGAAACTTCAATATGTTGCCGTCCGACATCCGACAAAATAAGGACCTTCGCCGGGATATCATAGAGTCTCTTCAGGAATCTGTCGATGGAATGCATGTTTTCATCTAACAGACATTGGACTTACCGCTGACAGCTTGCAGGTTTCTTTTGGCACGGATATATTCGAAATTGCTCAGCTACAAAGTTTCCGAAACAGAGATACGAAACCAGTTAGCCATGTTCAAGCGAGGTAGTAGGAAGGGCAATGCTAAAGCCTTGTCCGATGCTTACGAGCAAACAATGACCAGGATTGAATCCCAGGCACCAGACCACGCGATCCTAGCTAAAAGAGTTCTCCTTTGGCTTACATACGCGAGAAGTCAGTTGACCATTGAGGATCTGCGGTACGCACTTGCTACAAGATCCAAACACCGCATGGTTTGCCCACAAGATCTACCTTTCGAGTCCACCATGATCTCTGTCTGTGCTGGACTTGTGTCTTTTGATGAGTCTAGTAAGATCATCCGGCTTGTTCATTTTACCGCCCAAGAATATCTTATCCAGAACCCCCACGAGTTATTCCCGTTGACGGAACAAGACATTGCAAGGACATGTATGGCACATCTATGGGTTAGCGAGAATGAACGTTATCGTTTCCTCGTGGCTGAGAACTCAAATCAGCAGACAGAACTTAGATACGGTTTTCTCAACTTTGACCTCGCTACCAGATCCTCGTATCCATTGTGGTGGTACAGCGCTGTCAATTGGGGACACCACGCGCGCGATTCCTCGATTTCGAGCCGCGAGCTCATCAAATTCTTGGATGATGAAGCGACGGTCAGTCTGGCCATGAGAAATGCGCTCCGCAGATTCACACTCGGTTACTTTTATATGAGACACATTCATATAGCGGCATACTTCGGCCTGGCTGAGCTAGTGGATAATCTCCTTGATATGGGGACAGAGGTAGATTCAGGGGACCGGACTGGGAGGACTCCTCTATCATATGCGGCTGAGCAGGGTCATGGTGCCATCATCGTATTGCTTCTCGAGAGGGGGGCAAGAGTGGATTCTCAAGATAGCGAAGTTTTTCTCAGGTGGCATTATTATAATGAGAATGCAGGACGCACTCCATTGTCATTTGCTACAGAGCATGGGCACGAAGCTGCAGTTCGTATCTTGATTGGCAATGGGGCTTCTTCTTCGGTAAGGTCCAGGTCTGGACGCACACCACTGTCTTATGCTGTTGAGAACGGGCGAGAGGGTTTGGTCAGGCTGTTCCTCGATACGGAACGTGGTGATATCAGCCCTGAATTAGGCCGTGCGGTCGAAAATGAACATGAGGCTATTGTACGACTGTTGATTAAGAATGGCGCCGAGATCGACTACTCAACAACCTTAATGTTCACACCAATACTTCATGCAACACGCGCCAATAACGAAGCCATCGTCCGGCTGCTACTGGAAAATGGAGCGAACCCAGATCCTCTTCACAGTATGTCGACACCGCTTTTGTCTGCAGCAGTAAGAGGGTACGATCATATTGTGAGACTACTTCTCCAGACTGGGAGGGTCGAGATCGACCGACCGGATCGATTCGGGCGCACGACCCTGTCCCATATGGCACAACATGGATGTACAACTACAGTGAGGACACTGCTTGATATGGGGGCCAACCCTAACACTGAGGCAAAGGCGACATTCATTGGAGCCCAATTCTACAATGGAAGAACACCGCTTTCGTTTGCAGCAGAACAGGGGCATTTGGCGATCGTTGAGCTTCTCATTACAAGGGGGGCAACGGTTGGTGCAACATCTACTGGCCAAGTCGAGAGTACCAGACTGACACCAATTTCATATGCGGCGAGGAACGGGCACGGGCTTGTGATTGGAACTTTAGTGGAAATCGGTCAAGCTGACCCGGACTCCCCTGATTCCAACGGCAGAACACCTCTCTCTTATGCTACAGAAAGAAATATGCCGTTTGTTGTCAGACTTTTGCTGGTAAAGTACAAGGCTGACCCCGTTCATATGGATAAAGATGGGAACACACCTCTTTCATATGCTGCCAAAAAGGGTCATGTTAGTGTAATCCGTGAGCTGCTGGAAACGGGTAAGGCTGGGCCGGACTCAGTTGATGGCTGGGGCCTCACGCCGCTTTGCCAAGCTGCACTATGGGGGAACAAATTTGCTGTGCTTTTGCTAATCGAAAAGGGAGCGAATGCTGGATATGTTATTCCTACAGGAGAATGGAAAGGACAATCAGCTTTGGCAATTGCTGCAAGATATGGGCATCAGGCGATAGTGGACATTCTATAAAAGAGGCTATAATATCTGTGGATGGGACATCAAGCATAGAGACTGTTGACTATGGCTTGTAATCGAGCGAGTTTCAGAAGGTCTAAGAGGTAGGGACTGGTCGATGGCTTATTGCTATTCTAGAACTAGCAATCAGGCAGTATAAATAGAAACATCATCAATACCAAGAGCAAGTGTAACCCTTCGACCATTAGTACATTGGAGCCTTATGCTTAGAGAGAAACTAGTGCTAGTAGGGGTAAAGGGGATGCTATATTGCTGGTATGAGTCGAGGGTCGCAAAGTTTACAGGGGACTGCAATATTATAGAGCTCTCCTGATTAACCTGGACAAAGCATATCGTACCAGGAATGATAACCGGCGTCGGGTTGCTGAATACAGTGTAATATAAGGCGAGCTGGTACGAGAGGGTGGTGTCGAGACCAGTGATTACTTGGGTGGCGATGTTTTGTCCAATGGCAAAGTTATTGCTCACGTCGATTTCACTACATAACATCTGTCAATAAGGAGGCTTTAGAAGATGGAAAAAGTGATCTTACAGGAAATGGGTGCCTGTGTGGGCCAGTCCAGTGTCCATGATGGTGGTGCCTTGTAGAGCCCAGGCCGTGTTTGGCACATCTTCAAATCCGGCGTTCTGGACGGCGTTGGTCGGACCGGCAGCCGCAGTGGTTGTAGTGCTAGTAGCTTCAGCAGTCGTTGTCTCGGCGGTAGTGGTAGTAGTAGTCTCAGCGGTTTAGATTGTCTCAGCAGTTGAGGTTGTCTCAGCGTCGGCAGTAGTACTAGCTTCAATGGTCGAGGTTGTCTCGGCTTTGGTAGTTGAAGTTAACTCCTTGGCTGTTGTGCTCTCGGCATTCGTGGTTGTGGTGACGGTAGTAGGGCTCTCAACAGTCGCGGTGCTTGAGCTCTCAACACTAACAGCAGTGGTAGAAATCCTAGAGGTAGTAGTCGAATGGGGACGGCATGGGCTACCACTGGCCACAGGGAACAGCGAAGCGCTGACAAGAGCGGCAATGGAAATCCAATGCATCATGAGAATAAAAGAGTGTAACGAGCGTTAAGCCAGTGAGCTTTGGGTTGAATGAGAGGAAAAGTACAAACTGGTTTGTCAAAAGGAGGTGGGTACGCCCCGTGCTTCAAGGGGATTGGCAAAAGCTTGGCTACCGTTGTTAGATTCATCGGGGAAAGCTTGTTTTACGCGATAAGCTTCCGAAATCCCGATACGAATCGATAGTTCCTGGAATCTAACTAAAAGCTCCTTAAAGTGCCCTTAAGCTATTACCAGTTAGGTTTAGTAGGATACTAGTATGGTGATTTACGATAATAATCTGCTTTAAGCCTGGACCTAGAACAGTACTGATTGGGTAGTAAACGAGAGCTGGAAAAAAGACAATAGGACCTAATTTACCAGTTTTCTTTTTCGTATTACGAACCCAGGTGATCATGATGCACCATAATGCCTCAGGAAATCGAGATGGCTGCAAGCATCAGAAGTGAAACGCTGACAACCGGGGCATGGTTCACAAAAGCCATTGGCGCTACTGAAAGAGAGCATCTTCGCGAAGAACATGTTCATTGAGCGCCCTTCCACTAGCCCTTTTATCACCATCTTCTCAGAGGCTAGCTAAAAGATGCGAGAGGTCTAGAGCCATAACAATAGGGCGGCTACAGCTGGTACAAGTCAGTTCAGCCGTTTCGAGTGCCCAGGCTACGTCATCGCGAGTGCATTGAGCATAAACAACGTTTTTGAAATCCAAGACCATGACATAGATCCTTTCGCAGGCGCGCTGGAAATGGTGCATAAGACCTTCAAGCTCATGGAAGGGTGAAAAACACTTCAAATGTCTCCAAAGCAAAGAAACATAAACAATCTTAAATAAATATCTAAGGTAAAGACAGATAAACATCTGAGGTAAAGACAGTATCCTAGCTATATATATATCCTTAGCTTTACCGCAGAGCTATGATCACGCTGTAACTTGCTTCCATTTAACAGTAGTGGTCGCCATTCTAGAGGATCCAAATGTTAGCTATGCCATAGTCCCAAGATGAATGGAGTCATATTGGACTTACAAAGGTACGGCCAATGCTGAGATCATTGCTGCTTTCATAACCACCTCTGCCACTGCCGCACTTGCTATCGAGATAGCCATCCTTTCGAAGAACCGACTGGACTAAGTTGCCGTTGATATAGCTGCCCTTTCCTCCGCTCTTGTAATCACAAGCAAAGAAGGTGACACCCTTGTGAGTTTTCTAGAATCTCGCGATTAGCTGCGAACTTGGAAACAAACGAAATATCATACAGAAATCTGGCCTTTAAAGTTACCAGACAGATCAATCTTTCCATCAGCGCCCTGCTCAACCCACAACTTGAAACCCTCAGCGCCGGCAGCAGCATCCTCTTCGTTGAGGGCAAAGTTGTCACCGTCTGGGCAGGTGGCTGGGCCAAGAAGATCATCGCGAGCCTGGAGGCCAGCGGAGTTGGGTCGTGTGGGTGAACCAGCTGCCAAGGCAGTGCAAGCTGCGATCAAGACTGTCAACGAGTACATCATTGTGTAAAGAGTCAGGATATAAGATGATGGTGTTTTGAAAGTGTTGGAAGTGAATGTTTATCAGATTGCGAAGGTGAGATGAAGATGAGAATGATTTAGGATTGAATTCGTGGATGCACAGAGGACTTTAATACTTCTTCAGGGAGCCCATCTTAATAGAAAGGCCTTCTTCTAACTCGCAAACTTACTCAGGCATGTGAATCATCACTTAGGAAACTCTAAAACTATAGCAGATCTTGAGACAATTACGTCAATGTCTCTACCCATAAACTGGAAACTCACCACTCAAGGAAATGCCGACCTTCCATTTCAGAAGGTCGGAAATCCTTTGATCCTGAGATATTCCTTCTTGATGATCTCTGACATAGTATTAGTAATCAGGCAGCGAATGAATCTCGTTTCAAGACAATCATAGGTCAAGAGAGTTCCTCAGCCTCATGCAATTACGTCAGTGTATCTATTTCATTCTCGACGAGAAAGAACTTCGGACTTTTAGCAAGTTCCGCGACTAATTTCGGAAACTTAATAAATCCTTCGGCCCTGAGATCTGCCTCCCGGATTATTGGTCGTCATTGATCTGCATGTCGCGGAGATTCCCTCGTCATCCGAGTGCTGACGTTGGGGGCCGTTTAACCCTGTATACGAGCAACTGGATCCTTTGCTTATGGTTAAGCTCCGACCAAACAAGGCGGAGCATGCCGATCATCAACCTTAAGAAGTTTATTGATGCCTAGAAGGAACTTTCGAAGGATGACTTTAGGATGATGATCGGCAGAAGAAACGGGATCCCGAGTGTACAGACAGAAACTTGGGAACAAGATATTGCATTGTGATATGCTCTGTTATGGAAAGCAGTCTGGTAAATACAAGAAAATTATTTAAGACCGCACAATTGTGGCATATCCTTAGAATTAAAAATCATTATCATAGAGTGACACTCGTCGCTATATCCTATTATCTTTCCTTCACAAACTCTCTCAAACCTAGCCACAATGTTTCACACGCGATTTCTCACCGCTGTCGTTGCCGGTCTCCTTGGAGCCCAAGGAGTTTTCGGTCTCAACCACGGTGAAATCAGCGAGTTCAATGGAAAAAGTGTCCGCTGGCAAGAGCTTGCCAAGGACGTCTTCACAGGTGTCCCTGAAAATGAGTGGGACGATAAACGTAAGGAGAACGCAACCCGATACAATCTGCTCTGGTCCTAACAAAACATAGTCCATAAGAGGTCTGCCATTGAGCTCGATATTGACGAGATCGTCGGCAACAGTACCATATCTGATGGCACTCAGCTTGAAACGCGTGACCTTGCAGGCACCTGCAGGGCCGGCCAAAAGTGCGTTGTCAAAGCAACTAACTACGTGTTGCTCTTGGGCTACAGTGCTTGGCTGAGCACTGCTGAGTATGTGTCTAGTGGCAATCTCTGGGAGTTTCTCAACAAGCCCTTCGTCGCCAATGCTGGTGGTGTTGCCATAGCTGGTATTATCTCGGGCCAGATCAACGAGGCTACCAAGAAGGAGTGCAGCACTGAATCTCCTGACACTTCCCAGGCCGACATTATTCGCACCGCCTTGGAGAGTGTTATTGACAAAAATACCGAGGCTGGGGAGGTATCAATTGATATCAGTGGACCTAGTGGCACTGTCAACATCAAGATCAAGGCTGGCCCTCCTAATACTAGCCCTAACCCAGAATGCAACCAGGGGTAATTTCGCTGTAGCCCGACGAGATCAGCACGGCACGTCGAGGTTGGGTTTCCATGATTAGCCTGACACGTACTGGGGGTTGATAGGTCTCACGGCTGGCGCGCCTCTGTGCAGTAACACAGGTCGCGCTTAGGAACACAGAGGGAGTGTCTTTGGTGACTTGAAGGATTTAAGAGCTGAATTCGGTATTCGGCTACAGGAGTTTTTACTTTCATTTGCAGGGCCTAAAGCTGAGGGGCTGAGTCTCTAGGTCTCTCTATTACGTAGCAAATAAATGTATAGCATCAGTCTATTTGTGGGGACCTGACGTTGTCTTACATTCGAAATAGTGGCTAATTAACCTTGTAGGCCGCAGTCATCGCCGCAGGTAGTGGCTGTGCTAACTGGCCGGCCCCCAATTCTCAATAATTGAAGCCAATCACAACAAGGAGATCGATGGAATGTGGGGAAGCAAAACGATCCTCCAGGCAGCCATTTAAACACAGCTTTCATATTAAAAGAATAACTTCTCCCCCTCAGTCTGACTCGTAATGCATCTAAATTCCTCTTACCATTATCTAGATCAATCACCAAAATGACTGCCAAGCACTGCTCACATTATGAGTCCTGGTGGTACTCAGACACCGCCCGCTACGAGTACCTCAAGAGCGACCTCTTCTGGACACTCGCAGTCCTCATCATAGTCAATTGCTGGTGGTCAGCCAAGCAAGTCGATTCATTTCCCGATGAAAACGACCAAAATGACAAAAAGGACGAAAAAGATACTTCTATCATTAAATCCAGCCCTGCAACCCCGCCTCGTCCTGGCTTTTGGCTCAAGGACCGCATCACGTCACGACTTCGCAGATATCTCGCCCTTTCGGTCTGCACATCTGTGTTCCCTCTCCTGCTTCTCCATGGTTCCTGGGTCGTTATATCTGCCTGGCGGATTTCTTTCGGGCTGGTTAATCGCACATACCCAAGTTCACTCAAGCCGCGCATGCTGGGCTTGGTCATCTACTCGCCAATTGCTACTATTGTCTTGCTAGCCTGGGTAGCTATCTTGGGTGCTGGTGTCTTTATTCTCGCGACGCAGATTTTGCTTTGGATCAAGATCTGGGAAATCAAGACTAATAAGCAATCTATCGTTCCTCTCCAAAAAGATATTACGAAGGAGGTTGATGGGGATAGGGATGGGGTTGGGCATAAAGACGGCAAACAAGAGAACACTAAGGAGACTTAGGGCAGCCAAGGTATTAAGTTAGTTATTCTATAAGGATAAGTTATATAATAATATATAGCTCACAATGCAGTAAGCAAAACGCGGAAATGAAAGGTCTCAAGAGCGAGATAAGCCTATCGATAAGAGCTTATCATTAAGTGGCCTGAGTGGCCAACCAACCGCTACATAGCCCCACCCTTTAATCTAGCTAGAGCTAAGGCTATTTCTTACTTGAGCTTTTTATACCTACCCTATACTACCCTAAGTCTAACACCTTTGTAATGAAAATTACTTAGTTCCCAGCCTAGGAGATATTTATCTACTACCCAGAAATTTATTATATAGATTCCTGGCTTTTACATTAAGACCAAGCATGTCTGATAATTTACACACTATGACATTCTTAATAACACAACATAGGCTTACATTCATAAGTCTAAGTTCTGTCCGCTGAGTTAGGCTCTTAGCCACAAGTCTCAACTGCAAATAACACATCTATTTATAAGAATGCGTCCCACTAGACAATTACGTCTAGGAAAACGTAAGCCCCGTTCTCTAACATAAGAAGCACAAAGGGATACACAAGATGAAAAGTAATACACTTGCCCTGTCTTGCTCTTAATCATGGAACACCCAATAAAATGTAGTACATGTCAGTGACAAAATGGATTAAATGTTGATCGTAGTGGTAAGTGGCTGCTTATCTGCGTCTAGAAGCTGGAAAGACACGCAATAAGATCTTGGCTTCTAACATTCTATCACGTATATACCGGTATATGTACTATTGCCATAATAAACTTAGGTATAAATTCACTAACGACATTTGTTCTTAGAGTACGATTCCAGTGTATCTTACAGCAATCCATCAAGAGCTCACATCTTATGCTGAAGGTTATCACCACTGCACAACGTCATCAACACCAAATTCAATGGATCCATCACTCCCCCTCGCCTCGCCAAGTCCGCCTATGACTGCACCTTCACGCCGGCAGTCATGTGACAGATGTCATAGCCAAAAGCTAAGATGCAGTCCTGTCGGGACAAACAGAACAGGAGCTTGTAGTCGTTGCTATCGACATGGCACTCAGTGAGTGTACAGTCTCAGCCGTCCCAAGGGTCGTCCAAGTCTACATTACTACAAGGGCGAGATGGTCCTTATGCCTCCCAAAAGTCACAGGGAAACGGTTGTGCAACCGCTTACGCTCGAGGAGTATGGAGGTGCGACTATCCAGGAACCTGGAATGACGCATAGTCTTCAGCTGTCCACCCCGCCTCAAGCTTCCGAAGCTATTGCTCCATGCCAACCTGAGTCGGACCCGATTTCAGCCCCGGGACCGTATTTGGAGTTAATGCCCGAAGCATGGGGTGATTGTGCACTGCAGCCAGATGTTTACTGGTGGGACACTATGCATGTGAGATGCCAGGCAACTGGCCCATCAGTATCAACGTTAAATGCCCCGACGGCTGTGCACCTGGGGTTCCACGACTTTGGGGAGGAGATATGCGTCTCTGAACTTCAAGGCGATTGGCACTTGGAAACAAGGGACAATCTATCGACAATGGGACAACCATCACTTTACAGTTACAACAATCCCATAAAGATTCTTGGCCACCTCACACCTAGAGCCCAAGCCCTCTCCAATAAGAGCCGGGAAGTCTTCGAGAACCGGGGGTCGTTCCATAAACAGGGAGATATTGACCTACGTTTCCCTCCGTTGTTGCGGAATGACGCTGCCTTCAAGCTTGTCATGACATGGTTATTCAACCCTTCCGAGGATATGAACGATGAATGCAGCATTCTCAATTCTCTTTCGACTACTACAGACGAGTTACGTAACGAGGAGGTTGTTGTTGAGTTGGTTTCATGCTCATCCAAATTCGCGACGACGACACTCTCACTTCAGGAGGAACTCGGAAGCCGAACCAACAAGGCTGCGAGCGACGAAAATGTGGCGCACCATCTAGTGACTGCATGTCATGCATTGCTACTCGATAGCTTTGGAGCTGTACTAGGTGCCTTGCAGGGTGCCGCTGATACCGATCGCCACGCCCGCAGGGGGCCCTGCCGTCAGGATATGCGGATCTCCGGTTGGCAATGGTGGTAAACCTCTGCTCTTACACGTTCATGCGACAATGCCGCGTGGTAGACGCCTATCTGGAAGCGATCTCGGGACCGAACTTAAGTGCATGGTCTCCGAACAAAGGGTCTCAAGATAGGAGGGTGATACAAGAGCTAAAGGCACGAGTTGACAGACGTTTTGCATGGTTTCAGACGCTTTGGTAGAATTCCATGTAGATCTGGGGCGCATTGATCGTCTAAAAGGTATAGGGGATGGCGTTTGTAAATATGATGTTGAGTTCAGGTTACTGTTCTGTTCGGTGCCGAGAAGTTCTTTCGAACCCTTTCGATTACCTCGCTAGTGACCAACGAAAAAAGGGATGAGTCAAGGCATGTATGTAAATCTCCATCCGTAGCCCATTTGAGAAGATGACAGTTCCCTGGAAAGAGGCTTTTGAGTCCCCAATCGCCTGAACTAAGGTCCAGAATCTTCCATTGCTTAACCAGACCTGACGAGAACTTCACTCCTTTAACATTCAATCGCTAAAGAACAATAATGCAGTTATTTGCTGCAAGCAATATCAGGAATAAGAGGTTTTAGCTTTTAGGTGTTTGAACGCCCTGAAATTAAGTTTAGATACAGCTCCTGCTCAGAAGAACAAAGATTCGTCCTCAGTTATAACCTAGTCCTGACTTCCCATAGCTCGGATGCCCTCTCCCTTTGCTCTCCATAACAGCAAGTCCTTCACCCCTCTTTGGCTCAACCAAGCTCATACCCAGCAGCTTCTCATAGAACGGCACCGACCTCTCCCAGTCTCCCGTAAGCAACATTGCCCTTCGTAAATCTGGCATCTCGTCCAACACTTCCCGCATACAGCGAACAAGCCAGCTCCCTAAGCCTTTTCCTTGATATGTCGGGTTTACCCATACGTCTGTGAGATACGCAAAGGTGACGAAATCGGTCACCAATCGAGCGATGCCAATCAGTTTGCCTGGTGATTCAGGGCCGGACGACTGAGCCGAGTCGTATACGCCGAAAGAAAGGGAGTTGTGAAGAGCCTCCTTGAAAGCCACGGGTGATAGCGCGCTGGCCCAGTAGAACTCCTTTGAATCGAAGATGTCTGAGAGTTGCGAGATAGGGAATAGGTTGGGGTCTGTTGAGATGGCGAATTGATCCTTTTGCCAGGATCGCGACTGGAACTTTGCTCTAAGAGATGTCATAGTGGGGTAGAGCTGTATTGAATTTCTCGTCAATGGAAAGAGAGATAATGAAGGAGAGCGAGCATTGGATGAGGATTTATGCATATAAATAGGCTACCTGGACACAGTGAGTCATTGGCCTGTGATGCGCCCTTTGATCTACGAGGCACGCGAAGTGGGCGATGAGGAGCTAGCCTCGGCGTTTCACCAATGATAAACCGTCGTTCCTATCGTGACTTCGCAGTCACCAATACCAGCCAGGCGATTTCTATATGTTCTTAAATGACTCAGACTACACACTATAGACGCAGTGCTCACTTGTCATTTTTATTTCTATAATATCTATTATACATAGGTTACGACCGACTTCGCCCGTCTCTCTTTAACTGATGCGACGTATCAATAATCGGAGCGGTCCTCCGAGCCCGGAGCCGTGCCGATTGTCCCAAAACCAGCCTCACTCAATAGCCATTCCAATCGGATCCAAACCGAGTTAGAACGTAAACATGGCCTGCGCCTCGGCCATGAACCCCGATAAATTCGAATTATCAGGCTCAGTCTTGGTAACAGATCCTTGCCAACCTTGCTTGTAGACTCGTGTTTCCAGAAACTCAAGTTGCATGCCACCAGAAGCACGAGACTGCAACACTTGCAATAATTCTCTTATATTTTTGTCGCCCTGGATAAAATTTCTTAGAGCATCAGCGTTGAGATAGCGGTAGGCCGCGCTGTATGATCTGCAGTCTGAGCTCCATCCTCCAATTGAGTAGCTGGCGACGACAGCACCAGGGCTCAGCATGATGGCGCGATCTAGTTCTTGGAGTACGGCATCCAATTGCTGAACCTCGCTGGAAGTCAGCGCATTGGCGAATCGGAAATCAAAGAGAGCTGTGACTGTGTCGTAGGTGCTGGATAAAGCCGTTTGTCTAGCGACGTCGCTAGAGGTGAACTTGTAGGTGTCTTTAGTGGCTGGCGCTACAGTAATTGATTTCCAGGCGCTGGCGAGCTCTGTTGCTTGTTGGCTAGCCTCGAATTGAGCCCGACCAGCTAAACTCTTCCAATCTTTGAGACGCGCTCGTTAGCACGAATTCTTATCGAACCGCTTTACTGTACTTACCGATAAACAGCTTAGCTTTGTTCGGAGCGTCATGTACAATCCCCCACCAGACGATGCCCGTTTCTGGATGGTCAAGATACGTCTTTAGCGTGGTCGCCCATATCTTGCCGAGCTCGGAATTTTCATCCGAGAGTGACGCAGGGTCAGTAGAATTCGAGAACTGGAAACCGATGACTTCTGTGCCTTCGTAGGGAGGAAACTGAGAAGGTCGAGAGTTGGCCATGATGATTAAGCATGCAATTGAGGTTTTATTTGAGGACTGCAAAGATTACACGTGTATCAACTTGGCCTTTATAAAAACACCGGAACCGCTGACGTAACGCGATGGGGTTACCTGTCATTTCCAGGCCGTGTAGCGACCGTGCCCACTGTCAGCCGCTGAGTCCAATGCTGAATGTGAAACGAGGCTCATTAAACCCTTGTTATTTGCACTCCTTTTCACATGGACATGTTTGACCAGGCAATCGCAGTGCATTTATCTACCCGAGAGTCAATAAGTACATTTCAGAATGAGGTTGTAGCTTGCCAAAACTTGCAGTCGATGAAGCTTACGCCGCGCGGATAATTTGATGTGTATTCGCCTCTGCTTGGAGTCTGTACCATATATCTCTCCTAGACGGCCACAGACCAAAGAAATGGGGCTTCGTCATTATACGCACCGCTTATGGCCCTAGATTAGACCAGAAATTCGAGTATGCTCTTAAATTTATAAAGAATATCGCCCAGCACTGGGTTGAACGCGAAGTCGAGGGTGTCAAGCGCTGGATTACCCGTGGCAAAGAAACGGACTTCCGATATAGAGAGGTCCCTGTCGAGGTTGACACGCGCCAAAACGAGGAATTTGTACGCCGCAATGAGAATGACATTGTCGAGGATGAGAGTCTGGATAACGCCTCTTTGGCTGCGGTGCGGGAATATTTTAAGACGTGGATTGCATCCAAGGGGGGCAGGTCGAACGTTGGGAATACAAGATATGTTTCGTGCATCATGCTCGATGCCGAGACCCTCTCTCAGCTTGCTACTGCGCCTAAGGGCTTTCCTCACGGCTGTGATGTTTACAGCTCCTCATATTGGGTTAAGATGGTCGACGTGGAGCCGAATCATGATGAGGCAGTTTATGTGCGTGTGTGTGGAGCTGACGATTTGATAAAATATTTGTTTATCCGGAACCTGATCCGAAGCCATGTGTTGACACATATGAAAGATCGCGAATATCCAGGAGTTCTTCACTTTGGCGACCCGCCGTCAGAAGGATTTGAGGCATTGGGGGGGGGCATCTCTTTCTCTGTTTAAGAGGTCTGTCATGTATTTCGCTTTACGCAACCGATGTATGTGTAAAGCAGATATGTTGCCCGTTCTAAGTCTCGCGGTATAATCGTGCAGCCACTTGTTGTGACTGTTCTATGTACTTTACTGGAATCGACCGGAAACCTTCTAAAGGTTCTGCTTGACAAGTATTGTCATGAGAAGGTAATAGCCAAGCGTACGCTCGACCTTTGGCGACTGCTTCTCCCGGCTTCAGCAAGGCAACGCGAAAAGCAAGCCTCGAAGCCATCGTTCCTTGCGTCAAAATCGACAGCGTAATCCAGACTAATTATAGCTCTTCCTTTCGCACCCAACCCACTATAACCAGCCATCTAATTGGCTACACACAGCCAACAGGCCCCTTATAACCCAACACACACAGCTGCTATAGCGTGACAACATGCCAATATTACCCAGGCCTCGGTCGGCGCGTTAGGCTACATTCGGAGGTCCGCGTCAACAAAAGGGTTAAATTGTGGTAGACCTACGGAGTACTCAAGGTGAAGATGTCAAAATTGGCAAAGGCCAGCTTTGCTCTTCGAGGTCTGGGAGGAGATTACCCCGCACGATATGTAGTCTAACAGGGGCCAACAACCTCCACAACCTTCGCCTTGTCCTGATGTGACTTGGCTCTTGTTCCTGATGCAGTACCTTCGGCTTGGGGCACCTAACTTCGCTTTCATTTGACACAGCCTAGCGCTTCTCCACCTTTGACTGATGCATGTGCCTCGAGACGAGGTCACGATTGACATGCTATCGCGTCTCGAGTTACTGGGAAGGCCCTCCAATTCTGGAAAAGAGAAGTATAAAATAAGAGGTTCCCTTATAATAAAATCCAATTATTGAAGATTTATCTTGTGCTAGAGTGCAAGTACTGTAAACTGGTTTTACTTTTACTCAATAATCAGCAAATACGAAAAGCCCGGACTTTAGACACCATGGGCACATCAGTCACTGAAGTCGAGACGACTGGAAAGCCAACCACTGGCGTCGCCCAGCAGCATCAGACCAAAGTCACGCTAATGGGCAAGGTGATTGCGAGTGAGTAGCTCAGGCGCCATCTGTTCCATTCCAAATGAGTAACCGCTAACTTCGCCTCGTTCAAAGTCACTGGTGCCAATCGCGGTATTGGTCTCGGCGTCGCAGAGGCTTGCCTCGACAATGGCGCTCAAGTTGTCTACTCAATCGACTACGCGGAACCTGGTGAAGAGTTCGCCACAGCGCAAAAAAGATGGCAGGGAAAGCTGAAGGCAATCCAAGCCGACGTTACAAAGGAGGCCACTGTTGTGTCGGCGGTCGACCAGATCGTGGAACTAGAGGGTGCTCTGCACGGTATGGTGGTCAACGCTGGCCGAACAAACCACAAAGCTGCTTTGGACTTCACTGAGGAAGAGATTCACGCTCTTTTCGACATCAACGTGCTTGCGACCCAAATATCCAGTGCTTCTGTCCGGGCAACGCTGATATGTCATAGGTTTTTGGTGCGTTTTACTGCGCTCGAGCAGCCGAACGTGCCTTCATCAAGCTCAACATCAAGGGCGCAGTTGTTTTTACGGCATCCATGGCTTCATGCCGCCCGAATAAAGTCAGTACCCTATGAGTCTCCGTGCACACTACATAGTAGCTCACCATAACATCAGCGCGTACCTTCAGCTCCATACGGAGCAAGCAAAGCTGGCATTCGAAACATGACTCACACCCTGGCCATGGAGTGGGCAAAGTATAATATTCGTGTTAACTCGGTCTCTCCGGGTCTAGTTGATACGGCTATGACATACTGGGTGCCGCAACGACCTGATTGGGAGCAGCAGCTTAAGTACTATGGCGGTATGCCCCGACTAGCTCAGATCCAGGAACTGGGAGGTGCCTATGTATACCTCCTCAGTGATGCTGCTAGCTATACCACTTCGATTGACATTACAGTCAACGGTGTCATTGGTAGTATGTTACTCACCCTACGTGTTTATTGAGCATCGCTTATCTGTTTTACAGTCTGCTAAATAACAACTTATAATACTAATTGAGTAGTATTGAGATCGTGGTCTATATATATATCTACCAAACTTAATACGTGTTATTCTTATCCACTCCCAATTCATAGAAACTCTCAATCAAGCTCAAAACAGCCAATGCAGCACCGTAGGTCATGTCAACACCATCCACGTTAGCCTCCTTCTCAGGGTTAGCCGTTAAATCCTGGTTCTTTGTCGTACATAACTGTCTTATAGGCATTTCCTCCGGTAGAGGATGGAAAGGCGAGCCGGTCGGCATATCGCCGTCCTTCTTCAAAGGCTGGCTGACATTCTTATCATTATCAGGTCCGGTACTGAGAAGTTTCAGGACGATCGCGTATGCCTCAAACTTCTCGTTGCCGTTCTGAAGACCCTGGAACATGACATACACTGCTCGGATGACGCTTTCCAGTGCACCGACGATCCATGCGTGGTGGGATGAGGCTGCTTCTCCGACAAGATACAGTTGGCCCAGTGCATTAGGCTTGATGATTTCTTGCCACATGTTGGAAAACTGTCCAGGACCGAAATACGCGAATGCTCCTGACATATATTGGTCTCTGTACCAGTCGTAACCATGGTGGTCAATGTATTGCTCTTCCAGGAATTTGACCAGTTTCTTGAAAGGAAAATCCTTTCGAGCATGGAGTCTCGCAAGGTCGTGGATAATGAGGCGTTTGAGCTCTGCGTCGTCTTGTGTTGTGTTGTTGGAACAGAGAGCGCCAATACGCTGGGCATCTTGACCCCAGGTATACGAACACAGAAGCACGGCGGGCTTTGTAGGATCCCACTTGTCCTCGCCCTCGTTTGATTTGATGTTATACGATGGGTAAACGCAGACACGTAGCGGCAAGTCTGTTCGGGATACACCACCTTTGGAAATGTAGAATGGCTTCGTCTGCCACCATGCAGTTCGGAATTTCATGCCAACTTTGGCTGAAGCGCCATACCCAAGAGCTCGGATGGCCTGCTTAGTACCCCAGGACAAACCAGCATCGGAAAGCTCCATGCGCTGAAGGGCACCGAGGGTGGTACTGTTGAAAATGGCAAAGTACTCCCTGTCTTTGTTCTCGACCTTCTTGGTCTTTGGATCTGTCCTGGTGGTTTTGATCTTCATGGCGGTATACGAGCCTGGCTTGCGCTCTTGACGAAGCTCAACTTGTGCATTAATTGATTGGACTTTGGTGTTGTATTCAACGCGCTTCTTGATCTTGAGAGCCATTCTCTTGGCGATCTCTTGGGCGCCGCCGTCAATGCACCACCAGTACTGAAGGTCCTTAGTAGCTGGATCGTTGTCCATGTCGGGAGTGTGGAAATCGAGCTCTTCGAGGACACATTCGGTGAGAGACTGGTCATACCAGCCAGTACCGCTACAACGAGTGAGTTATTGCGAGGGGTGACTTAATTGAAGGACTTACTAGGTCATCGTCTCAAGCCATTCGATGGTGTTGTAGTTGTAACCAGGGCCCTTTGGAAAGTCGCCTTCAACTGCAGGCTGCGGCTCTTTTCCATCTTCTGTCTTTTGGCCGCTGTGACCTCAAATTAGTTCTAGTCCTTCTATCCTTGTTCTGGAATGGTGAAGAAAACTCACGAGCCAAGAAACTGTCGAACACTCATATGATCGGCTCTCATGAGAAGCTTCCATAACTTTGTTGATTCTGGGCCTCTCGCCGCAGCTCTCCCGTCTTTCCCTACACCCTTGAACCCTTCCTTCCCCGCCTCTTCCTCTTCCTTTCTTTCTTCTTCGATTGCTGCGTCGAAGTGCTTTTTGGCGACGTCCGTGAAGCCCTTGAGGGCTTTTCGGACTAGCTCGGAGGGGTCAGTCTTGAGCAGACTATAGAGACGTCAGAAGTAGTTCTATCGATGCATGTTTCTCAGGCGTCATACTGTGGTGGGATCTTTCCGCATTCGGGTAGGCCTTTGTTGACCTTGTACGGATCATTTGGCTTTCTTTCGTCGTCCCAAACATTACCTCTAGTCGTGATATCGTTGAAGTAAGCAGGGCATTGACCCTCCTCGTCCTTCAAGTAATAGGGAATCAATCCCGGCTTGCTTTCCCGCGTGATTCCAATATAATGGAACAGTTGAAAGGTTCTTGGAAGTGCATTAGCCCTAGACTCAGAGTCCGTTTCATCAGTCTAGTTTACCTCTTCATAATAGTGTTGTTGGGGAATCGCATAGCACCGACATCGTAATAGTCGTGCTCTTCGTGGGAGAAATGATGGGTGTATAGACGTCCACCGAGTCTCTCTGCACCAGCAGCCTCAAGGATGTCGTAACTGATCTTGAGACCTTTACCCTTGAGTTCTTCATGGTCATTTAGCCAATCGAAGAGCAGGGCAGCGAACAAGCCAGCGACACCCGCGCCGACAATGCCGACGCTGACCCTACCCTGCTCCTCAGGAATATAGCCTGGACCAGTGAACTTCTTGGTCTTCTCTCGGATTGAACCAATATTATCCTTGTCATCAAATTTGGCAGGAACCGACTCCTTCAAGCGTTCGATAACACCTTTGAGATCATAATCCATGCTCGACTTGGCGACATCACGAGCCCACATATGTTTGTAGGACTTTGTGAATTGATGGACTTCCGTGAAGGAACCTTGAAAAGACATGGTGGAGAGTTGGATGTTTGTTTGTGAGTTGAAGATGTGAAGTGATTGCTTTAGAGAATATTGAATTGATTCTCCAGCACAGGATCTGTCCTTTATGAATCCATGGCAGGTCTACCAGCATAGAAGACTTAAGCTTTAGTATCTACGTAGATCGCCCTTTGGTGACTTGTGCAGCTGTACCAAATGCAAGTCTCGTAAGCAGCAAGAAAGTGGACAGCTGAGTCTCACCAACTTCCCAAGAAACCTTCCCCTTTCTGGCAACTGCATTCTTCCATCAGCGAATGAACTGTTGAATATTTTGAAAACAGCGCGAAGGTGGATACCCAAGTCTCATTAAACTTCCAGCAACGCTTCCCATTTAAAACAAATACATTCTTCTATCGAATGAGTTATCACATGTCCTCACGGGCTGGTCACTCGACTAGAAAAGGCTGGCTGACTTGAAACACTGCAGCGCATCTCTATCATGTTCGGAGTCAAATGCGGGGACGGTAGACGGAAGCTGCCTCCTATAGGACACTTTACGTGGGAAGACATATCTCGATGTAAAGAAGGCTGGCTGAACTGAAGGTAGGAATCCTGGCTTCTCTTACGCCACTCACTAAGAATGCAGCATTTATCGTAACTCACATTGCTCTCATGACAATGTCTCAGTTGTTATTGAAACTCTATCCGTATTCGAGGGCAGAAAGTGCAACTGTTTTGCTGATGTGGCTGGCTGAAGAGGATAAGTGCTGCGGATCGTGTCACGTATTCGATTCTCATAAATAATGTCTGGGAATGCGCGTTTAGTAGGCAAGCTCCATGGTTTTCCATTTTGGCCAATCATCTTGTTGATATTTGTGATATATTCACCACTAATGTGTAGCCTGCAGATGTTATCGGAACTGAGCCAATTGATGTCGTTGGCTTTTCGGCGCAGACGTGATGAGTCTCAAAGCTTATTAAAATGGCGTTGAAAGTCAGGGCTGAAATGTCTACTTAAGTAAGGTCTGTCTGTATTGCACAGCCCTACCCCGCAACAGTGCAGAGCTATTGAACTACCATGCAGTGTTTTGGTGATTAGTCCTGCGGCAAAAGAGTCTGGCCCCGGGACGGCCCAGGTGTGATTGGCAATGTCTCACTTCCAGCGGCTAGCAAGGACCCCTCCGGGACAAAGACTCCGAATTTACGAAGCTTTTTAAAGTATTTAGAACTTTGGAGTATTACTTACAGAGACTGTGAAAATGGTATTCAAGACTTGTGCCAGAGAATCTGCAGGCGTTTGCAACTGCGGGGTTCTGAAACATTTCTATCCACCTGCTGAACCCCGTTTGAGCATGTTTTTAATGATTGGTCCGGGAAGAGAGCTGAGCGGTGAATAATTCCCAGATTGGCTTTACACAATGTGTTCAGCTTGCTGCATCGGCCAGCCACAGGTCGTGAGAGCATGTTCTGGACCAAACCTTCGACGAAGAAAGTAAAAGTAAACACTTGGATTCTACATGCCACCGTTGTACAGCAATGCTGGCCTTACTGGAAGTTGGAATGCAGTAATAATCGCTAATAATTAGGGCGGCGACTGTGGCCTACAAGATTAATAAAAAGTGCATCGCGTGTAGAAATATTGAAAGATAAAATGCCAATTAAATCACATATATTTTACTTCTCATCAAGCTTCTATCTCTACCCAAGTTCCACTAATACTTACTTGCTATCTTTTTATCTACAATCATGAGTATATCTCTCGAGGATCTTGCGCCTGCTGTTCCCGTCGTCAGTATCAGGGTCCCGGAAAGCTTCAGCTACGGACCTACTGTTCTTCAGCCAACTCTTCAAGAGTATGATGAAACGTCCAAGAATGGAGGCTACTCAGACGTTACTGATGAAAACGGCAACGGACTCGGGATACCCCCCCCTCTGGATGTCCTAGGCAAGTTCACGCACCTTCAAGGGTTTCGGCTTCAACACTATCTTCAGGCCTTTGAGCCGAAATCCAAAGACTATTACGAAGTTTCCCAAGCCCCCAACCGACTCAAGCACCAGCAACCTCCTGCAACTCAACCTGACTGGTGAAACCCAAGTGTTCAGCGAGGTGCTACTTGAGCATGTACCCAATCGTGGTCTGTTCGATCAGGCCGACATTGACCTCATTGGCCGGCCATACACGCAGTCTATTGTCGATGCCATGCCAAATGAAGATGGGACAGTGAACACAAACCCACCCGTCATTCACTTCGAGCCTGGGCTGTGGATGCGCGTGCCCCAGGTAGAGGACATGCCCGAGCTTCCAGCCTCCTTCTGCCGCATGGGTTCTAGTCCCCATGGCACGACCATCAACGCTCAAGGGTTTCAGCCAGCCCGTACTTCCAAAGGCGCACCCGACATTGACGCCACTGATATCACTCCACTTGTAATCCCGCAACTTGGCATTCCCCCCATCAAGCCTAAGAAAACTGTTACCGAACTGGAGAAGAAACGATTCGATAACCAAGACGCTCATAAAGACACTACTCGTCGTCTTCCCCAAGATCTCTCCAAATTTATTGCCAATGGCACTATCACCCAGGAGATTATCAATGATCCAAACACTATCTTGAGACAGGCCAATGTGGGCAAGGATATCATCGAGAACACTATGTTTATCGTTTCGACTAATGCTCCACCCGGTGTCTTTGGCGGCGGAACTTCGAACATTGGATTCAACATCGGCTCAGATGAGGGAAAAGAGAAAGACGCTTCGCGCGAGAAGAAAAGCGGAAATGCTAACGCTGTCGACGTGACGGCTCAGTACTGGGTCTCCAAGATCCGTGCTGAGATTGAGCTTGATCCTTCCATGAGCGTTGGCCAGACTGTTTCTCCTGCTTCTCAAGGTCCCAGAGATGCTGTGCCGGAGTTCTTCAATGACGAAGACGTGGAGATTCCATCATCCAAGAAGGTTGTCACTGTCGCTTATGACCAGATCCAGTACTCTCAGATGGTGATGCTTGATTTCAATGGACTTAAGTGGCCTCACGTTACCGTTGCGACTCTTGCTCCGATTGTAAGCCTCAAGAAGCCAATACTTTCTTCTGCTATACAATATGTTAAGGATTCGTCCAAATGATGTTATCCTCGGGGAGTGCGCTTCTGGGGAATAACCTCGGGGTTCGGTTCGTATCAGAATAGTACATCGTCATAATTGAAGGTTTCCTTAAGTCGTATGAGATCGTTATTGCCTGTAAAACGTCTGTTACCTCGTCATGGAAGGACTGTCGCTAAGTTGAGCGATAAAGTCTATCTACAGGCGCATCATGGTTTCGGCTATGTGGACATTTGCGGAGTACCGCTAACGAGTTCTCATTTTCGACTTGGAATGTCTTATAGAATATGATAAGCTCGACCTATCAAATTTATGGTATCATCACTGTTACACACTTATCACAAATCTAATAGTTAAATGGATGTTCGGCACCCGTATCGTTATCCTTCGTTATCGCGCCGTTCTGACTCGTTGCTGTGTTGATTGTGGTGGAACAACGTCGCGCTAACGGCTACGACGGCAGATATTCAGGCTCGTGCTCCGTTCTCCGTGGACCTTATCAAATCGGTGACCGGCCCACTCCGCGCACGTAACTCCCTTGCCGCCGCAGATTGCCGACATATATTTCGACCGGAGTCTTCTGAGTTTTGAAATCTGATGCTCTGGCCGGTTTGATGATTGACCTTGTTTTCCAACTGAACCTTGCATCCCTGCGGCCTGACAATACTCGATATATCACTTGCATCATTTGCTAGTGACGGTCACAAAAATGGAAAAATCAGAAAAGACAAATATTGCCGCGGCAGATCCGCCGGTAGATGTATCCGAGGCAGAGTCCCAGGTCCTGAGCCGTTCAACAATATGGCTCGACCGACTGAGAAGATGGGGATTAGAAACGCGAGGAATGCAACCAGTGCCCATTGAGGAGCGAACTGATACTCGCTACATCAACATATTCTTCATGTGGTTCACCATGAACGTCAACATCCTGCCGTGAGTCTGAGCAATGCACTTAATAATGCACAGAGGCTAACCACAGTATTTATTACAGTATCGTCACAGGCATGCTCGGAACTCTGGGCTTCGGTCTGTCACTGAAAGACTGCTCACTTCTCATCTTGTTCTTCAGTATACTATGCTGTGCTTTCCCGGCGTACTGTAGCACATTCGGCGCTCGGACTGGCCTGCGACAGATGCTTATTTCGCGCTTCACCTTCGGGTAAGTAAAGAGTTTCAACAAACGGCAACGAGTCAATCATCTCACAACTGCTACTCTAGATACTATTTGATCGTCATCATGGTCATCCTCAATCTGTGTACAAATGCCGGCTTTGGCATAATCTGTTCTGTTACAGGCGGCTCCACTCTTGCTGCTGTTTCGAGTGGTTCCATCAGCAGCACTGTTGGAATTGTCATCATCTCCATTATTGCGATGGTGGTATCTTTTATTGGATACAAGTTCCTCCATCAGTATGAGCGCTACTCGTGGATTTTTAATCTAATAGCCATTATTATTGCTACTGGTGTTGGTGGAAAGCATCTAAGCAACCAAGTTGAACAGCCAGCTGCATCGGCCTCTACAATTGTTAGCTACGGCGGTGTTATCGCAGGTTTCATTATTCCATTTTCTGTAAGCTATTCCCAATCAGACTCTCCCCCTCCGTTTGATACCAAGTATAACTGACTCTCGATGACAGGCGTTGGCTGCTGATTTTTCCGTTTACTGCCATCCTAAAGTCTCTACGTGGCGCATTTTTGCCTACACCTATGCCGGAATATTCTTCCCTGTCGTGACGCTTATGGTTTTAGGAGCTGCCATTGGCGGCGCAACACCCAACGTTGTGTCCTGGAAAGACGGCTACGATAGATTCACCGTGGGCGGTGTCATGCAGGCGATGCTTCTCCCCGCTGGAGGGTTTGGCCGATTCGTCGCCGTCTTACTGTCTCTGTCCGTTATTGGAAACCTCGCAGCATCTATCTACTGCATCTCACTCAACTTCCAGCTGCTGGCCCCCTTCATGCTGAAGATACCACGAAGCGTTTTCACCATTGTCTACACCGTCGTGGGCATCCCAGTATCTATACAGGCCGCCAAGTCCTTCTTCGACAGTCTAGAGAACCTGATGTATCTCATTTCCTACTGGGCTGCAGGTTATGTGGGCGTCATTGGTACCGAGCATTTTGTCTTCCGAAAAGCTGACTTCTCGCGGTATAACCCAGATCACTGGGACCAGCCTACCAAGTTGCCAACAGGGCTAGCGGCAATTGGTGCTATGGGTATTGCATTTGCTTTGACAATTCCTTGTATGTCGCAAGAATGGTATACAGGTCCTATTGCCAAGACAACTGGGGATATCGGTTTTGAGGTTGAGCTGGTTCTTGCAGCCCTTCTCTACGTTCCCCTGCGATGGGTTGAACTCAAGTTCCGTCCTATTTGAAAGAGATTATGAGAGTATAATTAACTCATTTCTATATTTAACTATTTATTCACTACTTGACTATCATTCAAACAAACCAAAACCAAGTTGAAGCCCTAGGTACAACCTAATGTAATCATCAGAAGGCAAGAGGTAGGTCAGGAAAATTCACCAACTCACTCAGGATCAGTCGCGCAGGAAACTCTCCTCAAATGGGTAATGAGTCAGTAGTTCATAGCCTGTATCAGTCACGAGCAGCTGGTTCTCCAACTTAATCCCGTCCTTGCCGCCGACTTCACCAACATAAGCCTCAACGCACAGCACCATGCCCTCTTGAAGTTCTCCTTCGTAACCATAAGAGTCAAAGTCTTCGGGGTACCGTATACATGGATATTCATCGCACAGCCCTACACCATGGAACATGACGCTATAGCGCTGAGCCCGGCAGCTTTCTGGCAGGCGATGACCATTCCACGTCAGTTCTGTGAACTTCACCCCGGGCTTGACCATTTTGGCATTGGTGGTGATATGTTCGTGGGCGATGCGATAAAGACGTTTCTGTTCTGCTGTAGGCTCAAGGTCGCCGCAAATCCAGGTACGCGATACATCCACGCACATACCGTATACGCCAATAAGGTCAGTGTCGAGAGCCACCAAGTCTCCATCGCGCAGCACCCGTGGACCGCATTCTTGATACCAAGGGTTGGTGCGTGGTCCGGAACTAAGAAGGCGAGTTTCGATCCATTCGCCGCCACGTCGGATATTGCCAGTGTGCAAAGCAGCCCAGACGTCGTTTTCGGTAGCGCCAGCACGCATGGCCTGGCGCATTTCACCGAGGGCAGCTTCACAGGAGGCGATGGCACAGCGCATGGCTCGGATCTCGTCAGGACCCTTGACCATCCGCGCATGCTCGGTAACGGCCTGTCCGTCACATATTTCTATACCCTGGGCTTCGAGGGCACGTAGCCCGGCAACTTCGATGCGGTCCAGGGCTAGCCGGCGATTATCTCCAGCATGCTTTCGAAGCAATTCATCGACTTGGGCGCCGAAATGGAAAGCATGTTCATCAGTACGGGGTCCGGTTTCGAAGTAGAAGAATGAAGCACCAGAGCGTACTTCATTGATCAGAGACAGATGCTCGGAAAGATGCTCGCAGCCGTGAAAGTCCCATAGCACCAGGTAGCCACTTGCCGCGACGAAACAGGCCCGGGCAGGGTTATGTGCTGTCCACAGTTGCATATTGGCAGTGTCGGTGGCATAGCGAATGTTGAGTGGATCGAACAGGAGGATGCCACCGAGGTTGCGGGCAATCAATTGATCGCAAATGCGTTGCAAGCGGTAGGCGCGCATGGTCGGTAGATGGGGCGGCTGTAGACCCAACTGCTCCCACTCACTGAACGCCAGCGGAGTTGGTCCAATGTCAACTCGGTCATTATTGTTCTTGGAGCCATCAGGTTTCAACGTAGCAGTGCGCGGCTTGGTGGGGTCGATATGACGAGAGACCGTGGGCAAACCACAAAGAGGGCTAGATTCGACGAGCTCTTCTTTTTGTTTCATCCTGGATCAGACCCCTAACTGCTTGTGGCTTGCCAGGTCGCTGTTCAATGTGTCAATGAAGCTGTGTATAAAGTAGTCGGAAGTTCCAATGCATATCGATAATTCAAAGTAATGGATAGGATTTCAGTCGAGGCATCGGGGGTCTTCTTCTCATCATCGAAACTCAAGCCCATAGCAACAGGCCGGTATCGGGTTCGATAGCCGAGCTTGTGACAGGTGACCATGTTTGATGAATGAATCATAGACCACAAGTGCGCCACTTCGGTTTGGCTGTCCGATCATAGTGCCAACGGCTGTGACACGGTGAAACGATTGAGGGTTCAGAAGAAGCTTGAGCCCCAACACAAAGGCGAAGAGCCGCTAAAGGCAACGCTGTTAGTAGTGCTGGGCCGGAGTAAGGAGAAGTTATACTGTTGAGTGGATGTATTTGCTTAGGGGATCTTTTGTTGGTTAAGGCATTGAAAGGATGTTGCGAAGCACAATATATTATGTCTTGAATTAGGTCTCGGTGTATAGAAATTAATATTATTAGCTATATTTAAAGTATATGCTAAAACACTATATTAAACCATTCTTGGGTATATATTATTTGAATCTGGTTTTATGTATATATTCCCCTGGTACCTGTTGATTTTGATTGCCAGTGTGCAGTAGTCTCGAACCTTAATGCTTATGCGCGCGGTTATGACATCAGAAGATACGCAGAGAGGGATGAGGCTGACATTCGAAGCGGGGTATCTCGAGTTTTCGCATATCCGCGTACGGATACCGGAAGGGCGGATGGGTTCTTCAGTAGAGAACTCCCCAGCAATTAGAGGATATCGCATCTGACCTTGATAGATGGTTCAGACTTGACTGCAAATACTGGGATCGCTCACTCCGCATGTGAAGCTACATCATGGTCCCTTCCCGAGCTTGTCTACCTTTCCGAACTGCGAAGACTAAAGTGGGAGCCAATGGGTCTGCAGTAAAACATCCCAGCTGACGATCATTATAGTGCGACCTCAAAAGAACGACATGTAGCCTTTGCTCGAGGCGCAAAGTCGTTTGTGGCGGGTATGTGTCCGAGTCTGATTACGTGTTTCGAGATCAAAATGCAACGGCCAAAGTCAATTCCGAGCGAGCCCGTCGTGGTTCAAAACATGCAACAAATACCCTTTCTCTAAATGGAGCAAATCCCGGTCATGATTTGCGTGCATTGAACATTGACGCCCTACAAAGTCGTGAGCCCCCTCCCCTATCTTGCTAAAGCATGGGTACTAGCTAACTGAACAGCTTGGCTGAGTATTCCCAGCCTTGTTCTATACAGGCTCGAGGACAGGGTACTGGATGTATTCTACGCAGAATGGGTCTCGAGACCTTGTGCCCAGCTGAGGAACCCTGTTTACCTAGACTTGCTACCCGAGATGAAAGCAAAGGCTGCTCCAGTCTCTGCGTTGAACCTTGCGGTTGAAGCTTTTGCGTTAGCCAATTCCGGGAATCTCATGAGCTGCAATGGAAACCTGAAGCAGATGGCATTCTCGAGATACGGGGCTGCGCTGGCGTCTGTTAGGAATGCGATTCTGCACCGGACCCTCGTCGCCGATGATGCTACGTTAACGGCCATCATGACGATTAATATGTTTGAGGTGAGTACACTGACAACGGAATAGAACAGGAGATGGGAAGGCTGACGGCCAACTCTAGGTTGTTCTCATAGTGAGAGAAGAGCCTCTCAAACTCCACAACAATGCGATCGAGTATTTGCTGGCAGTCAGAGGAACTGAGCAGATTCAATCCGACGTCGGCCTTGCCCTCTATCGAATGGCAAACCATCGTTTGCAAGTGAGACAACTCGGCCTCCCATACATCAAAAATGTCCTCCGAAACGGTATCATTTGGCCTTGCCACCATTCGCAACGACGATAACAACCTCGAAGCAGCAATTGTTATTGGCCAATGGGTGTATCCGCTAGCATCTCTTGATGAGTCTTTCCACGATCGCACCGTCTTTGGCCTGCTTCAGGATTGGCCTTCAGTGTACTCTTCACTGCAACAGCTTGCGTCGCGTGTTGTCAAGCGAGATGGACAAGTCGGGAGTCATCGAGTTCAACTCAAAGACGCAAAGCTTGATACGCCAATTCGCTACCCAAACAAGCTTCTTGCAGTTGGGGCCAACTATTCAGGTCATCTTAGAGAGATGGGTCTCCCTGCGGAGAAATGGGATCCAATGCCGTTCTTCAGTTGCCCTCCTACTAGCTCCATCGTTGGACCGGGGAAGACAGTTCCTCTTCCGCCGACAACTAAGCAGTTTGACTGGGAGTGCGAGCTGACAGTTGTGATGGGAAAAGGGCTGAGAAACGCGTCTCAAGAGCAGGCTGCAGAGACCATCGCTGGCTATACTATTGGTCTTGATCTCAGCTGTCGCGATCTCTTCCGCTCTCATGGACACAGGTGGCTCGTGAAGGGGGATTTCATCAAAGCTCAGATAGGCGATATGGAGCCTCTGGAGGTTGAGATTTACTGAATGATGGTGCATGGGGTTACTCTCTTTTACCGCTGTTTATCGATTCACACGTTCTTTATAAAGCTATAAACAGTCTCTTTAATTATTCAATTACATAGGCATGTACAAGGATCAATCTCATCATAAACTTTGTAAATGCGGAAATATCAACATGATGCTTTATTATGAGATGGATGTGTTATTTGCATTGAGGTCCGTGGCTGAGACCTTGAATCATCACGCAGGACTTAGCGTCAACCAGACGCCTCCTGATGTCATTTTCGGCGCACTAACATCAAAGTTCGGTACTTCGGTCTCGGGATTCTTAATCGTCGCGAGCGGCAGTTGTTGCTCATGTCGATCTAAGGATATTTCGGAAGCATCGGCTGGGAAGGCATATATAAGCAATGGGTGACCCGTATACAGTCTCCTGATTATCTTAAACAACAACAACCAATTTATATCTTCTTTTAGCCGTCATAATGCCGCAACCACAGCCGAAGAAACCGCAGAAGGGTTGGGATCCTATCACGTGGGGCGTAGGTACTCGGGCGGACCTAGACGAGTGGGGGAAGTGGCTGGATGCTCATGGAGTGAGGAGGAGTAAGATATTCATAGGGATAAAGGGCTGGGTCATGGCTTGTGAGGACCCCGATGGAAGGATTGTGAGATTATATGTGGAGAATGAGGATCACGAGTGGACGGATCATCCTGATCAGGATGAGTACTGGCTTGGAACTATTGCGGCAAATCCTACGCAGGACGAGTAATCCAGAATAAGGTGCATTGAGAGAAGCCGAACAGCTGTTGTCTTTGAGAAAAACATGTATTTACGGGGCAGGCACTTTCAGTCGTGGCGAATCGCGATCTCAATCCTCAGATAATAAGCTTCTAGTCTCTTTAATCTGCAGGATCCTGGATAATCCACGTAGCAAACGGCTAAGCCTAAAATTGCCATGCATCCGGAAAATGCATATAGCCATAAGTATCGGTAGTAATTATAAGTTTCATAAACAAAAGCACTATACTTACCGCACAAGATATTAGCTTTAGACGTCGGTACTGCAATCTACTATAGCACAGATAGTTTAAGTATAAGATTGAAAAGCAGAATAAGGCTGATAATAAATATCTCAACTTATAGTTAGTTTGTCAAACGAGCTTTTTACAAACAGTATATAATATACAACACCTAAATGCCCTTTCATTTTCATACGCTACAGTAGCTTAAGTACAGTATAATGTGTAAAACTAGTCAACTCTCTAAAGAAAGTAACAAATTACCTTATCCTTTGAGAATTTGCTTATTAATCTTCTTTTTTCTTCTTTACTGTATGAATGATCCCGCTGGCTGTTAGATATCGGGTTATCTAAGGCCGAGAAATAAATTACCCTACGTCATCTGACCTCCACTTTTTCACCAGATATATGCATATGTTGTAAAAACACCGCGCCTTACCAGTTTAATATCCCCAGTACAGTTAGTTTTCCGCTCATTACCTCTAAATACCATTCAATTATGGCAACCGTAAGGACGCTCCCCGTCGGCGCTGACTTCATACTCACCCACCACGCTAAATCTTACGACTACATCTCACCTTCGAAATTGGACTTGACTGGTCAGCATGTCCTCATCACTGGTGCAGCACACGAGGACGGAGTGGGATATGCTACTGCTACGGCTTTTGCGCGTGCAGGAGCATCTCGAATAGCATGTTGCGACCTACACGGTATATCTGATGACATCATCACCAAGTTGAAATCAGCCGCGACGCTTGCCAATCGTGACGAGCCTCTAGTACTAGGCTACGAAGTCGACATCTCGAGCCAAGAAAGTGTAAAAGCAATGTATAACTCTATAGCTGAAGAGTTCAGCGGACGGCTGGATATTCTTGTCAACAATGCCGCGCACATGGAACCATACAAGCCCTTTCTTGAGTCTGACCCTGACATCTACTGGCGAACATGGGAAGTAAATATCCGAGGCCTTTTCAACATGGCACGCGCATTCCTCCCGATGCAGCTGTCGAGCTATTCCAAGTCTCGCAGCTCTTGCATTATGATGAACGTATCGTCATCAGGAGCTCTGAGTGTCCATCCCGGTAGCGGAAGTTATCGAAGCTCTAAGCTCGCAGTGCTTCGGTGGACTTAGTCGCTCCAAGTCGAGTACGGAGGCCAGGGGCTTTTAGCTCTCTGCGTGAACCCTGGAGCGATTAAAACAAAGGTCACTGAAGGGGCGCCTGAAGCAGTTAGGAATGCACTTCCTCATCGACCAGATATAGCTGGTGATACGATTGCTTGGCTGGCTTCTGAGCGCAGGCATTGGCTTGGTGGAAGATATGTCAGTTGCCCGTGGGATATGGAGGAGCTTATTGCCAAGAAGGATGAGATTGTTAAAGAAGATAAACTTAAGTTGAGAATGGTAGTGTGAGCTTGCGTTAATAAGACGACTACTTCTCCTATCAGATTATATAACCCTACGGCACTCTTCCCCAATCCAATTTTTACTCAACAACATCTCGAGTAATGACCCACAGCTTCTTTGAAAAAGGGCCCTTTGAGACCCAGGTGATGTGCATGCCCGAAGCCAAGCCAATTGCATCTCCTGCCCTGAAGTCATGTTTCTTTCCACTGAGCGTTTCAGTGACCTCAACCTCGCCCTCAAGCAGAAGAATAGTTTCGTCACCAAGTACCCCAGTATAAGGCGTCGTCATAGTTCCGTCTTCAGTCAGATCAGAAGCCGCAATCCCCTTTCCAGATCTCCAAACTCCACTCAACATGGTTCCAGTTGATCCTCCATTACGAATGAAGTACAACTCGCCTGCCACGAGATCTCCTTCCTTGGGCTCAGTGAAGTTGTAGTCAACCCAGTCAGGATTGTCACTGACGTGGTTGATGAGAAGATCAGTCGGTGGGTTTGCAGCAGCCTTGGTGCCATTCCAGATACACCAGTACTTCTTGAAGAACGGAGCATCAATCTCCCAGTTGACCTCAAGTCCTTTGGGAGAGCTGATGATTGATCCAGGACCAACCTGGTATTTAGCACCAGTCGAAACGACTGTCAAGGTGGCGGACCCGTCAATAACGCACGCGGTCTCATCACCCAAGGGAGAGGAGTAGGTAAGGTTATGCGACCCGTCGCTGTTGGCACCTGGGGACGTGGCACTCGTTCTCCAAAATCCTGAGGTAAGATTCCCAGAAGTGCCAAAGGTTCGGGCAATGGTCACCTCGCCATGGACCTGCTTGCCCAGCTTGGGCTCTTCCCATTCAAAGTTTGTCCAAGTGCTGTTGGGGGAGGCTTGTTTGCCGCCGTGGACAACGTGAGTGGTTGGTTGAGCCATAGTGATAGTAAGATAGATTGGTAGGATTGATGTCTGACTGCTTGTTGATTGATAGTTAAGTAAAGCATTAACTTTCGATGATGGATATCCTCGACCCTATTTGTACTTAATCGTCGCTGTACCTATGCTTCCAATACATGTGATAGCCTGTTGGCTATGGCCAATATTCCACTTAGAACATCAAAGAGGTAGCCTGTCACAGTTGACAATGTGGTCAATGACCATTTAGCGGTATCTTTCGCAAGATTGGTCAGATATCCGGCGCTTCATGCCTTGTCCCCGAGGTCCTGAAATAAGGCTGAGGACAACATGGGGTTGATTGGGATACCCTCTCGGTGAGTCGGTGCGGGGAGCAGAGCTTTGATACTATTGGTTCATTCTCCGACAACCAGAATTTGTGCGATGGGATGTTTTTGTTTGTTTCCAGTAGATCTAACCTGGGCATGTAGATCCTGAATACTCATATTTCCCAAAGTGGAAATTTTAATGTTTGGTTATCAGAATATGCACGCCGTCGGGAATGCAACCAATGGAAACGTGTGGAAAACAAATACCCGGACTAAGCAGCTTGCCAGGCAGCCGATATGTTCAGACCATTCCGTTTCCGGATTCGCTCATCGAGACGACCTTGACCCAGTCTTGACAAGATACATCGAGGTAGTATTTAAAGCAGGTCTTTCTAGACTTTATCCTGACATAAAATTACATATCTGAGCACACTCATCTTTATTTTACCTTCCCATCAGTTTTCGAACAAGAAGAACAAAATGCCCATCTACCTGAGTATGCAACGCGTTCGCTTCTCGAGCCCAGACGCCTATGAGAAATTCAAGGTACATCTTACAGAATACAGTATGGTTCGCCTTGACTAACCAACTAAAGGTGCTGTTCGCTGATACTCGCCGTCACCTCATGACCCTTCCTGGGTTCTTGCATCTGACTTGGTGGGAGCATCCTGATGATCGAAGCTGGTACAACGAGTGTAGCTTCTGGACCAGCCGAGGCGCTCTGTATGATTGGCACAAAAATACCTATCATAAGTATTGCAAGTCTTGGGCCGCGAATGGTGCAATCATGGAAGATATCATTACCAATTTTGAACTTGTCGGCACTCGTCTTATCCGAGTCTGCCCTGTATGCAATAAGGCAGAAGACAAGAAGTACAACCTGGCTGAGGAACAGGCTGTGTTGAAGGAGACATGCCCTCAATGTGGATTCCATTTCCCCATGCTTGAAGAAACGCCTTCTAGCTTTGCTGTTTTTAAGGATGTACCAGGCCTACTGATGAACGATAAGGAGGATAAGCAGAAGGAAGAGGCCAAGGCATGAGGTACAAGAGGCAACCTGAGATTGAGACAATAGCTTAAAATAGAAAAACATTTTTAAAATGAACAGTTGAGTCGCTTTATAAATTCTTGCCAATATGCGTCTTTAATTCAAAATTAGCTTTAATATATTTAATGTACTTGAAATAATTATTTAAATTAATTACAGTACTATCTATATATCTTGCTTGTTTAGACGTCTTTATCAGATATGTCAAATTTGCATAATAATATTATTTTCAAATATATCTATTTCATGGAGTCGGTCAGTAAATACACTGCAAATAGCCACTGGCCCAAACCGCCATACATCGATCTATGTAACTACTGGGACAGTCGGAAAGATAGCCAATTATAGTCAAGGTATATGAATCAACCATGACATCACAGTCAGGCCACCTCCTCGGGCTCACATGACAGACTCGAGATAAGAGACAACTGGATCTTCATATCAGCATCCCTTAGATGGCTAGCTCAAACTCAAAACAGGCAGTCAACTGATAGCCGATAGTAAGAGTGCCCTGAGAAGCCAATCTTCGAACGATGATTCGTAGGTATGTGCAAGGGTCATGCAAGTTAACACCCGTTGCGGGGCTTACCCCGCGCTTTCCAGGGTCTAGACCGTGGTAGGGGGCTAGGGTAGCTAGGGGGTGAGGAAATACAGCAGACAGGCTGCAGTGGGAGATTAACGATTCTTGGTGTAAGCTGTTTAGCTGTTTTTCTTTACCCCAAGGGATGGGTTATCATAGCTGAGGTGCGGGGATGCTGGCTTCGTTGTTCCAGTCCATTAGTACCCATACCGAGAATCCCCCGAGATTAGATAGGTGACAGACGGGCTCATATCCGCACAGCCGGCTGTGCGTATTTGCGTACACATGACAGACTTGAAGCTGACACCTCCGCCGTACATAGCTTTTGTTCCAATTTTGGTCATATTCCTCCTGGCGCATCATGGCAAGATCAAATACGCCGTCGGCTCATGACTCGTTGCATCAGCGACCTGCTCGAGGTAGAGCTGCCCCTCGATCCCGACTGGGGTGCGCAACTTGTAAGAGGCGACACGTAAGGTGCGATGAGGCATTTCCCTCATGTCAACCTTGTTATCGGTTACAGCTCCAATGCTACTATCCCCATCGCTCGAAACGAGCCCCTGGACCGCCAAAACATCGACCATTACTTCCTTCTCCCACTGTATCGGGTCCTTCGCTCATCAATCCATCCCCTGCCTGCATTGCAGGATTTTCTTCACCAAACCGACAAAATTCAATCGTCTGTCTACTGGAAGGGAACGAAGATGTGGCTGAGTCTGATTCATTCTCATGGTCTGATAGTAACATGGCCAGCGACATCATCACCTTCTGCAATAATTGGGAAGGGGAACTCTTTGGTAGCTCCAAGTCCCTGTCGTACAGCGTTAGCCGATCAAATTGTGATCAGGATGTGATGGCTTACTCTTCGGTCCCAATGATATCTGAGCCTTCGGATCTAGGAGCTTCCAATGATGCAGCGAGTCTCTGGAGGGCGGTCATTGGTAGTCCTCCCATTGCCAGTACAATCTCGCCACAGAAAGACGACCAGTTCCAGCTCGGCAGCCTCGCATCTCCTGAAAGCTTAGAAGATAAGCACTCGTTAAAGGTCTTTGGCAAGATAATGCAACCACCTGCAGCCATGTTAATGGGGGGCATCAAGAAGTGGCGACACTTACAACAGTACCTGATGAACTTGGCCTCTCAAAACGATGTCGTAATGAGTGCTTTGTTAGGTCTTGATAAGCTTCTTGAGTGGGATAGTATTCCTGACTCGATCACTACGAGATGCGATATTCAAGACCAGGTACTAAATTCATTCAACACAACAACCTGCGCGATTCAACGCGACCTTTCTCAAGTAGAATGCACCAAGGCCAGCTCCAAGATGGATGATTGGCTAGCGGCTATATTCCTATTGGCCTGGACTCATGTTCTTCGCGATCGTGTTGAATATGATAGCGGGTGTCTATTCCCCACTGACCTTGCCGATGCCATTATTACATGCTCCCATGACTGGAATTGGTACTCAAGACAACTTCTCTCATGGTTCAACTCCCTCGATAGCAAAGCATCTCATTTGAGCGGTCCAACTCTTTTATCATCCACGGCCCTCCAAGTTGTTTCTCGGTATCCCATTCAGATCATCAGTTGCGACTACGAAGAGTCTAAATACAGAAGAGATTCGCTTGGAGAAGACGAAGACTTCCAAGTCCTCTCTCAAAGTCCGTTGTCCGAAGTTTCGGAACATGGCGACAGTGGCATCGTCGTCCCTGCAAGGAGTCCTTGTGACATAAAAGAGATCATACTCCGCGCAATTCTGCAGCCTGCTTCGGAGTGGTACTTGAAAACGCAAGCGTATTGCCGCCAGATCAGCTCCCTTGACAAACATCACTGCAACCGGTTTACTCCAGACGCTGAGATGAGAGTTTCTCTTGAGGGGAAACGAATTCACAGCAAGCTCTGGGACTTGTGGGCGCAGTGTCCTTCCGTCATATCCTTGTCCACAGCTGAACTGTCGATGTCAGTGGCTCCAGATGTGGCCATGAGGGTACGAGAGGTTTCCAACATCTACCTAGCCAGCTTCTGGATCTTATTCGTTTATCTTCATCGCATCTGTTGGTGGCATCTTCCGCATACTGAAGCGGTAACAGGCGCCCTAGAAAAGACATGGGAGCACATGAAGAACTCTTATGGAGAGTCGGACGACAGAATGCAAGAAAAGACAGTCCACCCTGCTCTAATGTGGCCAGTCTTCATTTTTGGAGCAGAATGCAAGGCTTCGGAGCACCGCAGCTGGGCCATCGAACAACTCAAGGCCTTGGGAAAGGCGAGACCAGTACTGAAATCTGAGGCCCGGAGCCTAGAGAATTTGCCGGCATTTCGTATAAGCCACGGAGCCACAAAGAATGCGAAGCGGGCTGCGCTTTTGCTTGAGGCGCTTACTCGGAAACAAGAGGAATCAAACTGCAGAGTCGATGAGAGGGACCTGGCCATGGACATGTTTAATTGTTATTTTTCGATAGTGTAATTCCCAAGTCAACCTATGATGAAACGTCGGAAAGCAATCAAGTGCTCGGCTTCAAGAATTCATTGACGTTCATATATAGCATTGCGAAGAAGTTGTCCCCAACAATTCTTTTAATTCATGATGTTTTTGTAGCTTTACAGCCTGCGAGGCGGGGCCCTATGTGACGATATTGTCGAACCAATGAAACCCACCAGGCCAAATATGAAGTTTCGCTGATATCCGGTCTTTCTATAACTGTGACATATAGAGTACTAGTTCCGCGAACTGCTCCTTCTCAGGAGTCAGCTTCTATTAACGTCGGAGGAGAGCCAGCGAGGTACTCAGCTCGGTTAGGGTCAATGTTATCCCGACTACTTGGCAGTCCTTGTACAACGGCATCGCCCAACTAACCGCAAGATGTGGTGTCTTCCCGAAGTGCTGAATTTGCAGTAGGATTAACCGTAAATACATGAATTACGCCTCCTAAATTATCTTCGCGGCTGATGTCGCCATCTGGGTCTGGTCTAGTAATACCCTTGTGATTCTCGCCCTTGTCAGAACGCCCGGGCCCGGGCAATCAAGGGCATCTTAGCTGACATATGGCTTATCAAGTAGCTCAAACAAAGATATATGTCATGGATATGTAGTATTAAGCTTTTGTATATCGATCTGCGGATTAAGAGTGATCTTCAAGGTGAACATCCTTTGGCAGGGTGCTTGGCAGTGAGCCGACTTAGCCTCGCTGGGTTCCCCCGGACTAACGCCGAGATATTCGTAACCGAGTCCTTCAATTCGTTTCATGCTCCCTAATTTGATACACTCCTTGTTAACTCGCGGAATTAGGTGCGGTAAGCTGTTGAAGTAACGTTTCGCCGTGGCGTTATCGAGGTGTGTTCTGGCCGACTTCGTAGCATCCTACCGTTCTGGCAGTCCCTTCTCTGCAGCTCAAGAGCGTTACATAACAGCAGCCATCGAGCTGCCTAAGACTTATGATTGGATATGTTCCCTGTCGATGCATAGAAGATGACGCGGTGTGGCCATCAGAGTGAGTGACTAAGTTGACTTTCAGCGTGCCGTATCCGAGATATGTTCTTGGCCGTACAAGCGGTATCTTGTAGCTCTGGTAAGTCCCTCTCTGCCAAGTGTGCTACTTAAAAGTGGCATGGAGGTCGTGACTGTAATCGGTCCACCTGAAACCCATAAGTGGGTTTGAACCCTATGGATACATTTTATCTGCGTGGAGACTGACGCGTGGACGCCGCGCGGCTGGCGAAAAAACGGCGCCGTCGTGACTCGTCAAGCTTCTGCCAAGAGTTCGATAGACTGAGACCGCACGTATGTAGTGTTTTGTAGATCATTTCCATAATTATAGTTAAGGGGTTCGTGGTGTAAATCATACTACATTAGACTTATATCCTCCCGTAACTCTATTCAGACAATTCTCATGGACCGACTAGTAGACTCAAGCAAACTGCCAGTTCTTCTCATTGAAAACTTATCAATTGACCAAGATTCACTGCTGCTTTAACCATGTTCTTCTCTCTATTTACCTTCCTGGCTCTGGCACTCCCTCTACCCGCCATGTCATCTAGCAACAGTACATGCACACCGGAGAAAATCCAGACACGTATCGAATGGGCGAATATGGCAAGCGATGGCCAGAAATCCTATCTGAAGGCAGTGAAGTGTCTTATGCAGCTGCCTGCTCAGACAGGAATAAAGGGTACAGTCACAAGGTTTGACGATATGAATGCCATGCATCAGGTGCAGGCGAAAGCGATTCATCTTGTTGTCAGTATTTCCACAACTATATTTCGGGGTCACCAGAAAGGGCTTTGCTGACTGAGCTCTGTATAAATAAAGGCGCAGTTCCTACCCTTTCACCGTCTCTATATACATGTGTATGGGCAGCTCTTGAGAGATGAGTGCGGCTACAAGGGACCAACCCCGTGAGTCCTACCACTATGACTCTGTTTCCTGTTCACGTAACTAACAACATGAGTAGTTGGTGGGACGAAACTCGTGACGCAGGCAATTTCATGGACTCGCCGCTCCTTGATCCCGACACAGGATTCGGCGGCAACGGGACCGGTCTGGAAAACTGTGTTACTGACGGTCCTTTTGCAAATACCACTCTGCACATTGGTCCGGGCCAAACTTTGAGTGATCATTGCTTATCCTGCAAAGTCAACGAGATCAATAGCACCCTCGGAAACGAAACCTATGTGCAGGAATGCCATGATAAAAGCACCTACCTCGATTTCTAGCAGGCAACCGGCTTCACAACCCACGGCGCCGGTCACAGTGGAGTAACAAAACCAAAAGGACCATAGGAAGAATCCAACTAATCGGTATTATAGGTCGGAGGAGTCATGGAGGATATCGATGCGAGCCCTGGTGGTAAGTTTATACTTTCGGGCCCTAGCTCCCCCACTACCACTATTACAAGCTAACCAGCTGAGATCCGCTCTTTTATATCCATCACAGTTTCATCGATCGTCTTTGGTGGAAGTGGCAATCCGAAGACCTCGACAGTCGCTTGTATCAACTGGGAGGCCCTTCCGCGCAGGGAGGAACTGAAGAGTTGACTCTAGACTACGTCATGACCACCTACGGCATTCGCCCCAATGTTACTATTAAGGAGGTCATGAATGTTGAAGGCGGATTTCTCTGCTATAAATATGATTACTAAGGGACGGGACTATGGTTATAGTACTTCTTCCTGTTGCTATTATAAATTTGACTGTGCCTGTACCACTTCTAGGTTAGGTCTCCACTTTGCCCCGTCTGACACAGCGGAAGAAGGAAAGGTGGTCGCCCAACACGATTGAATACAACCAACCTTTTACGCCTAAAAATCTGACATGACCTGACTAATCATTCGATAGACTGCTGCTAACATCAGAAGTTCCATATGCATGATATAACCAAGTAACTTGACAAAAGTAGCTAGACCTAATTTACCCTTGTATTACCCACTCTTGAAAACGAACATGAGCTGCAAAAGACCTAATAAATTTTATGGTCTGATGACAGGTACACAAGACGCTCCTCGTGAATACTACTCTCAAGATCCTGGCGAATTTTGTCGAACTTTTCCTTATACTTCTCCATAGCCTCTTGCCCTTCCTTCCGCATCTCCTTCTGCATTGGAGGAGGAATTACACCTTCTGGTGGATTATACCACTGCTCTTTAGGTACTGTAGTCCCATCGATACCGCGAAAAGACCTCTCTGCTTCCTTATCATAAGGTAAACGATCAAGAAATCCTTTAATTAAAATAGGACGTAGAGGTTCAGCGTGAAGAATATTGCTCTCAGCATCGATCAAGCGAATAACACCATCGCTACCAAGGTGGACATAGGCTGATAAATAAGGATCGCATTCCATGCGACCAAGGATATCACTGACTTCCCTTTGCTCTGGCGAAAGATCTTTGTATTCAATGCCTCCATCGAGCCTGCAATGCGATGGTTCGGTAGGTTTGGTTGTTTCAGGGGATGATTGTGACATGGCTCAGGGCTTAGAATCTTGTGCTTGGGTTTGCTGATGGCAAATACGAGAGGGGACATGATGAAGGGGGTGCCTTTTATCAATCAGTTGGTGGCGCCATGTAACATTAGTGGGCTCTGATCCTTGTTCATGACTGGACCAACAAATCGCTCAGATGACAGCTCGTAACACACAAATTCGCATTCAAGTTTCAGGACATGTGAATGACTAATCTTTTGAATAAGACCCGCTGGCGAGATTTGATGATGGCCAATTTAGTTTGGTCACACGGCCAAATCACTTTCAACTTCTGTTGTGCTGTCATTGTCTTAAGATCTTGGAAGACATAGCATAGCATGCCCTTCATAACATGCCCACTGCCTGAAATCTCAAGCTCAAATACACCAGCCTCGCCTGTAAATAGCTGATCCACGCTTGAGACAATAGTGGCAACCCGTGTAGGTGAGACAAGTGGGATGCTCAAAGCAGCCGGCATGAGAACATCCACTCTTCCGTCTCCGCAGTGCGAAAAGATCCTCGCCTCGCTTTTTCGATGTCTGCGGCTCCTCTTCGGCGTCCACATCCTTCCCTTCCATCTGTTTGAAGAAGGTGTCTAACTTATTGGTCATTTCTTCGCTTGTCGCCAGGACAATCTTGTTGTCCATCTCGACAACGAAGCCGCCATACTTTTCGTCTAGCATCTAGTCAAACTTGGGGGCCTCGGCATGAAATTGTTCCCAGGTGGTAACCCAAACAGCGTCTTCAGGAATCTTGACCGTATACTTGGCATCGGCGAAGGTGCCAGCAAAGGCCGCCGCAAGGAATGAAAGACCTGTGAGTAAGCATTTAGTCATGATTCAGCTCCAAGAGTAACTAGCAAAATGACACATACAAGGCTTCATGTTGGGAACGTTGGAATGTAAAGTACTGGGCTCGGGGCGGGATTATGACTGGCGTAGAAGTGACAATTTGCTTGTTCAGGTGCAGGAAGAAATGACAGAACATGCTTCTTATACCGTTCTTTATACCTAGAGACACGGATTAACGCTGTAGGCCTACAGAAATTTAATGTTAATAGCAACCTGAGCTACGCCTCGTCGCAATTACTTTACAGTATGATAGCGCAATGAAGCCCAGGGGTCGCTATAGAACGGCTGATCTCTACGGTACAAGCCTGCCAGCTTACACACCCCTCGTACAATATCAGATCAGACTCACAAGATGATTCGGCAATCTAAAGCACATCATTTGCACCGTTGGGTGTAGATAAGACCGCTACCATGTTTTCCTTAGCAGATAGGGACACGGACACACACAGGTCTAAAATTAGTTCTGCTCCAGATTTGCCTCCAAACAAATAACTCACAATCTTTAAAGAGAAAATTCAAACCAGGTGGGCTTAATCAATAAGGCCTTGCCATGTAATTATGGGCTCTGATCCTTGTTTATGGTTGGACCAACAAATCACTCAGGCAACAGCTCATAACACATGTAGATTTCTTGGCCTGAGCATCGAGTATCCGGGCTTAGCATCCATTTTCCTAGCAGATCAGATACACACCATGGTTGTCAAGAAGTCAACATCGCACGATGCTTTGCATTCAAGATGGTATCGGGTTTCTGAGAGAGCGTTATTGCAGAGGGGTGCGGGTTTAACATAGAACTCCAGTTCTCAGTTAAAATTCCATGACTCGGCATTTGCTGGCCAATAGCAGAACGCTACATGTCACAAGGAATTGAGAATGGACCACCACCAGCCCTTTGTATCGAAGGTTCTTGGCAAAGTTCTCACTACTCAATCCCAGACGTGAGAGGTAATCACAATCGACGGCATCGGCACTTACCGTGATATTGCATGGTGGAACATGGGCTGATTCTGAAAGTGAGAGGCCAACACTCCAATCAGTAAATCCTCCTAGCAAACCCCGGCCTTGACGAAGCTACAGCACGAAAATGACGCACAATCATGACTCAAATAAGGTAGGTGACTAATTTCAACCCAGTGCCATGCAAAGGTGAGCAGTTACTTGATGTACATTGGCGACTGGCAAATACAACAGCTGACGAATTTCGCCTCGGACAGCTGTCCTTCCAAATTGAGTCAAGGATAATAATAAAAGCCGAGGCATTCGTCATTTGTCTCGTGAAAACCCGCACAAATCAGAGACGTTTGTACACATTTTAGGATTAAAAGTCTTTTGTCAATGCCTGTGTTAGTCGAATTACTGCAGTTCCGTAGGGAATCTCTAAAATAAAGAGAAACCAACAAGCATGCTGTCTAGCGTAAATACCATAAAGAAAAGTCATTGCACTACTTTTTCGGCATCTTACAAGAGCACGTGTAAGGCGCGTAATGTAAGCATCATAACTCAAAATAACACTCTTATCAAATCAGTTCAGGCAGTATACCCGCTGCCCAACACAATTGCCCAAGATAAACTTTATCTTGTGCTGTATTTATACCATGCTGAGAGACCTAAGAGATATAATTCTAGCTTATGTAAATAGCTTCTCTAATGAAATTAGTTATATAAGGTATGTTATACTTTCTTTCTATCATTATCCCGACTCATACACAGGTATCCCTCAAGTGCTGTTAATGGCTGCCTGTTGTTTATCCTCAGAATATTGTCCTCTTCAATTCTCTTCAATCCGTCTGTCTCAATCTCTTTATACTTGGTTTTAGACTCCCTTTCGTCAAGTGTAGGCTGTAACCAAGTCCATTTACCAACAGGAGGCGTTGGGACCTCCATCCTCGACTTGGATGTCTCTTCTCCTGCACCCCTGACTTTACTTTGTTGCATGGTAGCTATGTCTGTAGGTGGTGATATAGGCTTTGATATAGTAGCGTCGAGGGTCAGAACAGGTCCTGCGGGGAAGAATACGTCCATTTTCTCAAGAGCATTCTTAATAGTCCACGACGGTATCTGAAGAGCCTTTGTTGGTAGAAGACCAGCAGTCCTGACGTGGAAGGGAGTGTATGGATTGATTATGGCGGTGAAGATGCTCAAACTGTTAGACGTCGCCTTTCGGAATTCTGAAGACATGCGGTCCAAGGTGTCAGAGTTCAAGGTATTCTCAGGCTCGACGAACACCGATCGTGTGAGTTCCAGTGGATCGGCGTACTGTGGCTGGAGGAATGGGTAGTGCTGGCTTATGATTTCTTTCATTGTGTTTTTTGAGGCTTTTTGCTTTGGTTGAGGGAAATAGGTATAACACGTTGAGAAATCAGGCTTTTTGGTTGTCGCTGAAGAGGGCCCAAAGTACCCCACCATTCCATCTTCTCTGCGTTCCACGTCACCAAAAATGCAAGGGAACTTGTAATGTTGCAGTTCAAGCTGTGGAGGAGCATCGTTGATGGTAGACTGGTTTTCTCTTGGCTTCTGAGCAAGCTCGAGCGAGACACCAAAATCCACAAGAGCAAGGCATCTCCCGGTGATTGAGGCAAGGCTCTCCGAGTATGATGGGTCCATATCTTTGGACAAAGTGAGTGACTCGCCAATCATGTGGATGAATGCCTTCAAGTAGTCTGGGTCTTGACGAAACACGTCCATGAGCTCCTGGAGGCGTCGTACATCTACAGAATCCGCAGAGAACGATGTTAAATCGGCGGGGGGCTCTTCAAAAGGCTGCCATCTCAAGGGTATATCTGTTCCTGTGGATCCGCCGAGCAGAACTTGGCCATAGAACTTGCCGTTGGGGAGGAAGAACTGAACGCCGTGGCTAGCATAGTTGACCAATACCCAACCCCAGACTGGGTTCTCCCATTGTTCGTAAATTGGCCGGTAAGGCTCGTCTGGAGGTAGAGGTTTGCCAAATATGTCCTTATCAGTGACAAAGAATGCATTCAATCTTGCCTCTTGGTTGATGCTCGGAGGAATCTGAAAGAAAGCGCAGCGATTCTCTTGGTCTCCAACGACCGCATTGGCAATCTTGGTCGGCTTTCCGTGAGGGTCAACGAGGTTGCTGCACGCGTAAGTATCACTGACTTCAGGATAAATCTTGCGATCCAGGAAGTTGTCACTTGGAGCCTTATCAAAGTCAAAAGCAGAGACAACTTGACCAAACTCATCTACGAGATTTAGTTTTGTCAAGACCATCTGACCATGAAGAACCGGCTTGAAAGGAGAAGGCATATTGCCAGCATCTTCATCTGTGGCTCCAATGTCAACTGTACCGGCGTACGGCGTCTCCCGTGTCTGGTTTCCAATGAGCTCTATATCGTCCTCGGTAAACACAGATTCTACCACAGCCCCCTTCACAACCCCAGACAGTGTTGCGTTGGGGGTCAGATGAGTGCCGCCAACATAACGAGTGGAAAGATGCTCATTCATCCCGTTCAGCGAGAACGAGCTCGACGGAAAGCAGAGTCTGTCCAACAGCAGATCCTGGAACTCCTCTGAGAAATACTCAATATTTTCTGCCGCCACCTGTAACTCGGCCTTGACCTGCGGAAGAAGTAGGTCTCTGCCGCTGATGGTTCTCACATCATGTGTATGTCCCGATCCCACATACTCTTTCAAGTCCCACCGTAGACCTGTGGCTTCATCTGGCAGCAAAGACCATTTGTCAAAAGGAATGTGGAAATAAACCGCCTCCCATTCAACAAACACGGCGTTGAACTCTTGCTTCTTGTTGAAGTTTGGGACATTTCCAAGTTGCTCATCATCCTCGAGTGTCCTCGATTCGTATGGCGGGCTGACGATGGATGGCTTTGTTGTGCGCTTTGGAGCATGTGGATCGTCCTTTGGCCCGAGACGAACCCACTCGCGAACCAGCTCTTGCATGGTGGTGAATACAACGGCGTTCATTTTTGGACGATGGAATTCCATGGCGTTATACAAACTGTCTTGTAGATTATCTGTTGCATTGGCCTCTGCGGTGAAGGCTGCTTTGGTTTCTTGGTCCTCCCCCTGCGGATGCACCTGCGATGTTATCCGTACCCGGGTGGGTTTAGTATCCCTGATGTTCCATGCTGATACTGCTCTGGCTACCGTCACAGTTGGTTCTCGTCTCTGGTGAAATGGCTCACTTGGGGTCTTTTCGGCCTGGGGACATTTTTCTGCAACCTTATTCGTGTCCAGCTCACGATCTAGCTCGTTGCAAATCGATATCAATCTTCGAATGTCTCTCACGATGGGTCTGACGGCATCTGATGACGAGGATCGAAGAACATTCAGGTCAACTTCAGCCATACTTTGCTCACTAGTCTTGACTTTCCACCACTCGGCAAACAAGTCCCATCTGAGCTGTTTCAGCTTAGATTCGCAAGCATCTCGGAAGCTCTGTAACTTGCCGAGTCCGGCAAGAGCCAGCTTTTGGGTATCGGAGGGAATGAGTGATGTTTTAACCTCTGGTTGAGGATTCGGTGAGTTGGCTTGGTCACCCTTGTCAATAAGTTTCCAGACATATCCGAGTGACGAGACCGTAAATGCTTGTAAAAGGGCTCTATCTCGTTGAGCAAGGTAATTGTCGGGGTTCCCAGGAGATGTCTTGGTAAAGGTTTGCACCTCGTAAATAAGATCGCTCAAGGACTTTGGGGTGCCGGTCAGAGACGAATCAAGCTTTGCACCGTTGAGCTGCTCGAATGATTCCGGTGCCTCTCTTGCGAATGCCCCAAGGGAATCGAGTGGTGAGTAGCCCACTAAAACCGGCATCTGTTCTGTAAAACAGTTTGCAAGCTCATGGGCTTTGTTCTCCGGGGCTATTTCCTTTCTCCATGTCGCTCCGTATATGGAGGCATGGCACATGGCTCTGGTGATATCGTTGTTTTTATCACACGATTTGAGCCAGTCCTGTGCGTTTGCAGCCTCGCCGTCTGCGAGCTCAAGACCCAGCTCTTTCAGGATCTCACCATGAGGTTTGCTCTTTGCGGAAAAAATATCCAGCTTCGCGTCATGAACCCAGCCGAGAACACAATAGTCTGCATTTGCTTCTGTGAGTGTCCTGGTCTCGCTTTTTCCATTGCCGAGATCATGCTGATAGGAGAAAGTATCGACCATCGAGAAGACGTTGGAGTTGTGTGGTTGAAAGTCGGCAAATAATGGGTTCGAACTGTTGAAGATTGATAGAGGGACGGATTTCTTTTCGCCTTCCTCTGCGTTGGGCGGCTGGGCTCCGTCTGCATAAACTGAGATCTTGTTACCCAAGAACATGCTGCCAGTGAGTTAGCCAAGTCTGCTGCATGCCCGGACACCAATGCATACGTACTCTTCTTGACCTTCTGGTGGTTTCTCAGCATCCACAAATGGTGAGACATCAACCTCTATGTCAATCTCGGGTCCCAGTTCGGATATGTTTCGACACAAGTTACTCTCGATTATGAAAAGTTCAAACTTCTTGATCTTGTCAAGAGCCTCTTTCGGCTGAATTGAGTCCTCATGAATCCTTCGCCAGACAAGCCAGCGATTCGGTACAGCTCTGTACAAAGAGCTTGACTCACCAGTCGTGGCTTTGCTTGCATTGGCATTCCATTTGGCACCACCTTCTGCCTCGGAGAGCTTCTCAAGACTGAGGAAGCCATTTGTGAAGCAGTCGTTCTTGAACTCATCCGCTCCAGCGCTGACCTCGGCGGTAGCTCGATACAGTTGCGGTAGCTTCCAGTGGAGGTACAGGCCCTGACGATTTTGTCGAACCTCCTTGTCGAAAGCGTCAAAAAGTCTCGGGTTGAGTGACTCGAGGCGGTGTCGATTCAACATGTCAGCGTGTTGCTGGACGTCATTCTCATATCGAAGAAGGCGATCATAATTTGGCTGCGATAACGGGCCAACGCACCAATTGGGCACGTCTTTGCCCGAGTTAGCGACGGCCGCATTCAGCGTAAAGGTCGAAACCTGGATTGGAATGCAAACTGCCGAACTCATGATCGATCAAAGAGCTTGTAATCAGTATCAGTCTTGTCATTCGTTAGAGTGGCTATATATCGGCCTTCCTTTTGCTATCCTCAAGCGTATACTTTGGAAATCATACAAAACGACCAGATGATCTGTTACAGAGTACGGAGTAAACGATACGGATTCGCATTTGGTTGGAGACCTGGAGCTTCAGGAACTTTTGCCAACAAAGGAAGCTAGTGTCAATAGTTTGTGGGCTAGTGCTGCAATGCTCAGGTCATATGCACTACCTATGGAGTAGAAAACACCGCAATCAAGGCCCAGGCGCTACAAGTACAGTACATCTGGAGTGTTAATCTCAGTTCGTCTCTGAGAGCCCCGCATTGACAAGGTATCCCTACAACCTGGTCAGTTGACTCAGTTCTCACTTCAGGTATTGTCTTGGCGGAACGCACAGGGAATTAATTGTTCCCGACATGCACTCAGAGTTAAGGGACCTCAGCCTCTTGTATGAAGAGAAACTTATCGATTCCAGATTTTAAATTCCCTGGCCAATAACTTTGACTCGTGGCAAATCGTTGCTTTCTCATGACCCTGCTACCCTGAACATGACTCCCAGAGCGAGGCAAAAAGCAGCCCTTGAGGCGAGACATCGATTACAAGAGCTAGATGGAGGTGCCCAGGGACAAATACTCCAGCTCCAATCTTATAATGTTCCTTCTCTTCCAGCTGGAGACTACACTATCTCAATCAAGCAGGAGATAGAAATAAAAGGCCAAGGAAAACATGAGGTCAAAAATCAGTCCACGCCAAACAGGGAGTTTACCGTTGACGGCCCTCGATTTCTCATTCCCGAGCAAGATGTTTTGTCAGTCTACCCAACACCTGGCAGCATCGAGGCAAACAATGTTCTACCTCACATTACTCTACGAGAACCATCACTGCCATGGGAACGATATGTTCAGAAGGAAGAACGCAAGCCTGCTAAGCAAGACGACGGCATTGTACCATGGGTGGCGCTGTTTGCATTTGAGCAAGGAGAGCTGCTTGGCGACTCAAACTTGATTCCGGGGTCATCCAGAGATCCGACCACTGGAGTTTTTAACGTGAAGCTCGCTGACCTCATCTTGCACGGCGACGGGTCTGTCAAGTTCCCACTTCAAGAGTCGCCAAAAGGCACCAGCAACGACACCATCAAACATGATGACAAGCCCCTTATCTCTACCGAGGAGATGGATAGAGTAAGTCTCGACGTCATCTTGGTTAGGCCAGAAGTCTTCAAACCACTCGTTCACGACAAGTACAATGAGGACGGCAAACTCGAACTTCCTGAGGGGGCCACTGGAGACATATCTCGTTACAAATATCTTACCCATCTCCGGAAGGACTTTGGAGACTCGGACGGGTTAGATGCAAAGAGTCATTCAGTTGTCATATCTCACCGAACACCACCAGCAGATACCGCCACTCGCACAACAATTGTCGTGCATTTGCTATCCCTTGAAGGCTGGGAGGACCTTGCCACCCGCATCGATCATCAGACAGAGGCTGTCGCCTTGATTTCGCTGTACTCATGGACATATGATGTCCCGCCCTCGTCGCCTATTACCTTCAACCAAGTGTTTAGAGGACTGGCCAAGGGTCCTACCACTAAGACTGGCACCTCAGTTCCTGATGAGGCATTGGGGCTGCAGTGGCAAGATGACTTTCGCATGCTTCGCGCTCCTCAAGAGATGATCGCTAAGCTTGACCAAAACAATGTCTTGTTTGCCAAATCGACGCAGATCATGAAGAACAGACTAGTTGACGGTTACTCAGTGGTCAGGCATGTTTTGCAAACGGGCGAGATTGCCCCAGCTTTCTCTCGTGGTCCCCTCACGCCTGTTCCTGTGGCAGACAATATTCTCCTGGACGACTTCCAGCAGCAGATGCAGAGGGTCTTGAAGCTGGAGAGATCCGAAACTTCCCAGACCCCGGAGCGAAAAGGTTACGCACAGTCTCTGCACGGAAAAGACTTTGAGATTATGGACCGGGATCTGGGAATTGTCGATATATCCTACTCCAGTGCCTGGCAACTTGGCCGTCTGTTAAGTCTAAGCAACCAAGAGTTTAGCAGTGCCGTTACCAAGCTTCGGCGTGAGGTTGTGGATGGAGCTATCGTTGAAAGCTTGTTCAACAATCATTTCGATGGTGAGGCGAGCTTCAAGGACTTACACTCGTTTATGGAGTCCTCGCGCACAGCATCCTTCTATGGGAATACTGCAACAAACCCGGCACTGAGCTCGCAGCCGCCAGAGCTCCCCAGAGCTTTCAGATCTGCTGCTATGCCTGGCCTCACCACGAAACACAAGTTCAAGTCTAATGCGGAGGCCACCATGAAAGTTATTGATTCAATGTCTACACGAGTGGAACAGGCCGCCTCATCTCAAGACCTAACCTCAGCAACGGGTGAAGCACAAATCTTCAACGAGCTCAACACTCCAAACTCTAGCACCTTTCCAGTCATTCTCAAGCAACTGTTGGACTTCAAATACCTCGACTGCATCCCGATCCACTACCTAATCACAGATCCTTCACATCTTCCTGAAGAATCGATGCGCTTCTTCTATGTGGACCCGAATTGGATCAATGCCATGATTGACGGGGCCTTGAGTGTAGGGAATACACTCGAGATTGGGGGCCAGGATGTCTTCAAGCTAATGATCAAAAACGCGGTAAACGAGTACGAAAAGAGGGAATTGAGCATTGAGAAGGCAGCCCACAAACCGCAGATACCGAAGTTTGGCCTCTTTATTCGAAGTTCGACTGTCATGTCTTGGAAAGATCTCAACATATCAGCACCTTTCCCCAAGGGCTGGAAGGGAGATAAGCTGGAGATATTGTCAACCAGGCGTGTTGCCAAGGACACCATCATGATACTGCTGGATCGATGTCCGGAAGATGTCGTGACAGTAGAAGACATCCCGATCAAGACAAGCCCCGAAGAGAAGGAGGAAATGGCGAAACAAGTGGAAAACGCCAACGCTGACCCAATTTACCTCTTAGACTCGATCACAATTGCGCAGCCACCTCATCAGCAATGTTTTGCTTTGGGAACATCGCTCCGTGCCACTACGCTAGAGATATCTGGATTCTGGGACATCGACCCTGACCATGTTGGTGCAGATGCAAAATGGGGGGCTCTTCAAGCCCCGACTAGCCAGTTTCAGAGGGGCAGAGGGGGGTCACAGATTTACGACTGGGACAACAAAATCATCCGCGTCGTTGATCTGATGAAAATGATCATGACCACAATGAAAGACAAGTCTAAAGTTAACAGGATCGAAACACCGGGCCCAGTTCTTTTTGCTTTGAATATGGGATCCAGTGTTCTCAAGATGTCTATCGCTAAGCTACGTCAGGGAGAGTCTCTTCCTAAATGGCCTGTCGTGCCAGACGCCTTGCAGACTTTGTCGATGAGCCAAGCAGATGAGGAACAAGTTATGAGTAGCGCCAATTCACTCTTGGGGCTTTGGTCCAGACCATATCCAGTGATTAAAGAGAGTGGCAGCCTCATGGTCGTCAAGAGGCATCCAGATGAGCAGCACGGATATACCATCCACGCTGTCGCGAGTTTTGAGGCTCTACGACAAGCACAGCTGAAGTCGGCAGAAGAGTATATCGTCGCTGTGCCGAGTCCCCCACACAAGGCTGTTCCTCTGGTGCTCCACAAGCAAACCACAGGTCCAGTTTCTGATGAGGTTGAAGAAGACCCCAATCTCGCTTACACCATGTCGTACGTGGTCAGTGTTACAAAACATGACTCGGTTGACATTATAAACAAGTCCAAAATTGACGGCACAAAGCTTGATCTGGGAATCAAAATACGGTGGTTTAGGAGCCGAAAGGCTGCGATATCAGCGATATCGGAGGTGGCTATAGAGATTCAAGAAGCTGGGGACAGAATTACCCGCTACTCGGGATCTGGGGTAAAGCTACTTAATCGAGCACGATGGCGGGCGGGGATTCAAGTGCAGCAGAACCAGAAGCTGCGCGTGTCTGTACAGCCTCGCGGCAAAGCAGATGCTTGGACAGTAGGCGACATCAACGGTATGTGTGTCTTGATCCCAGGACTATCGGGTAAAAGGAACCCGGAAGATCCCCCAGATTCCGCGCTCGAAGTCATCTTCGAAGTCAAGGTCACAGTCAAAGTCACAGAAAATGGCTTTGCTGGCAAGGTTATTTTGCCAGTGGGAGGGGAGCGAAGTAGCTAGTCACAGGCTCACAGACGTGGTATCGAGTGGGGAGTAGATAACAAACAACCATTTGACTCAGGCCTCGACTATTCCATACTTGAATCGCTTACGCGTTATCGTGGTCTCACCGTTGTTCTAGACCCCGCATGTCACTGTCATTGGCTCGCTACGCTATGACCCTCTGAATAGTTCCGCTGTGGAGACTCTCATCGCGGAAGAAAACAAACGCTGAAAATGTGATAATATATGATATTTTTTAGTATTACTATTTTAATTACTAGCTAAACTTAATACATATACCCCTTTTTATATATATCTTATATATTTTTTTAAATTAAATACTACTTAAATAAATTAAATACCCTTTAAGTAAATAATTTTAATTCTACTATAGTGTAAATGAAGTAAAAATAGTAAAAGAAGTTAGTAATTACTATAGTAATACTAACAAATTTACAACCATGATGTGATTGCTCCAGGCAGCTGCACAGGAACAGACTATTGATTTCCCGTGCAGATGACGGCCACTTCGGCTCGTCTGGGAGCCAATAGGTTGAGTCCACGTCTGTAAAATGAGACCCAATTGGACGTCCAAATTTCCAAGGCTTGCTAGCTTGGTAGTCGGACGGATGTACAGTACATGTCAACGATGGTCGAGAGTGGGTGTGCATTGGAGACGATGGTGTTTCTCTGGGTGACCCTCTTCTGTCAGCTCAAGTCGTTGTGTTGTCTAGCGAACCTCAACACATCCGCAGTTCATCACCGTCAACCAAGATCAAAACTCTGACTGTGTACGCATTTTTACCCAACACAATGACTTGGCGCGTCGACTCGTGGCACCTTAACGTTGATGCCGGCGATTCAGCTATTCATGTTCTTGTAGAAATCGTCAATGACCAACTACTTCCAACAAAAGTTGTCCTTGTTGACGCCGGGTTTCAAAACTACGGTGGTATTTGGATTAACAAAGCTCGCGGCAAACTCAAAGCTCATTATGGGCTGCCAGAGGACATCAAGTTCGACGGTCTTGTCGTTACGCATTTTGACGCGGATCATTATGGAGGTATATTGGACCTTTTTGACGACGACATTCAAAATCAGTGGAAGAGAAAACTGGAAGACAAGGACGAGAATGAGTCCTCCCACCAAGAACTTAACAACAAGTGGGAAGAGTTAATGGGATCGTATTCACCAAGCTTTTTGAACACGGGAGCCCATATTTATATGCCATACTGGGATCAATGTCACACAGAAACGGAGCTGAGAAATGCGACTGGTAACGTCAATCTTCGTCCCGCATCGTGGACCAGGATTGCCAATGGATTTTGCATCAAAATGGCGGGAAAATGGCCGACGGCAGTTGAAGTGCAAAGTCCTGCCATTGCTACAATACATGCCGATTCCACCACATTACTCGGTTTCGACTTCTTCTATGGCCAACAGGCTTGTACCGAACCAGCTAAGAATCTGACAGACCCCAAGATGGTCTCCAAGTCTCTGAAAGAATATCGTCCTTCGATGTTCTGCGTTATGGCGGATATGTATATCTGTGGTAACTACACATATAAGGGCCTTGAAGAGTGGAAATGGGACAAGAAAAACTTTGGAAGCCCGTTCGTCATAGCAAAGGGCGATATGAAGGAAGAAGAAGCCAAAGAGGCTGAAATAAGCCAAGACTCGGACACAAATTTGGAACCACAACGCGACGGTCCCGTTGGATTCATTCCAAAAACAGATACAAAGAACAACAACTCATCGATAGCCTGCATGATCATCTGGAAGAACACAGAGAAGGCACAGGTATCGCACTACTTTGCAGGCGATCTCAGCGAGGTCACAGAGCAGATGGTGCTGAAGTGGTCGACTGTACCAAGTGCTGATGATCCTAAGAAGAGGCTTCCAACAAAAGTCAAGATCATGAAGATGTCCCACCACGGTGCGCGACAGTCCACTCCATTCGAGATGCTTTATTCCTTTGATCCCGAGTACATTTTCGTCTCCAACGCCGTGAGGGACGATTGGCGCCATCCAAGTGAGTATATCAATGCTGCAACCTGATTGGAGACGAGATTGACATTCTCTAGAACCCGAGGTTCTGCTGGCCATAGACGCCTGGAAGGAATGGAAAGCTGCTGAAGCGATACAACCCGAAGGCCAAAAGCCGCTGGACTTTCTGGTAGCTAATTACCCTCCATGGCTGTCCATGGCTGATGACAAGCCTTTTATGGATCCTGGAGGTATAACTGACATGAGGAGGATTGCCTTTGTTCAAGAAATTCAGCGGCTGTGCCAGAAATCAACAAACAATTTCTTTGACCAAACGAAGGGCATGACAACAGAGCAATTCAAGAACTATTTGGTTAGCTATTTGATGCCCCGTTGGTATCAATTGAGCACCTTGCATCCTTCTGATTATGCAGATTGCACCAGCACGGTGGCCAAATACTTCACGATTTCATCAAGCCAGAAGATACGTTCTATCTACTTTGCCCAGACAGGCGATGACCAGACACACGACGACGAGGTCAGCATGGTCAAAACGACCTTACAGGACATGGACGCAATTATTGCGACTGAAATTCCGCCACCAGTGAAGAACAATCGGACAGTAAAAGCCCCGACGGTGGAAAAGAGAAGATCCCAGAGACTCAAAGACAAAATGACACCAGAAGTATCTGACGATATTAAGGCCAGGCCGTCTGCTATTGCGAAGATGGCTGTAAAGAACAAACCGAAGAACAAGAAGGAGCGGAGGGGCTTTCAGGACGAGGACGAGGACGAGGTGGAATTCTCCAGCTCTCACACAGAGCCCCAACGCGAGCACTCCGAACATGAGACAGACGTCGCAGCAAAAGAAGCCACCCCCGATGATTGCTTCTTCTTCGTGCCCCCAGAGGCTTTTATCAACCTCGACTCACAGACATCAGTCGAGGTGCAAGATCCGAACCTCTGTCGCTTCCTACGTTCTCTCGCATTTCCCGCCTTAATCCTCTCTCGAGTGCCCGCTTCTGATGAGCTTGCTGACTATGAGCTTGACGCCTGTGATGAGATATCGAGGTGGTTCGGCGGCCTATTTCGAGCTGGCCAAGCAATGCGTTTTGGTGCTCGAGCTTCGGCAAAGGATATTACGCAACTCAGTTTTGAAACAAATCTCGTCGCCATTGAACCCAAGCTAGCTTCCATTAGCAATCCAGGGTCGAATGCCTTCTCTCAGATGCTTCAGTTTCGCACTGATCTGGGCAGCCGGTCTCTTGGAGTTCCATCTACCGGCACAGGAGTAGCCATTGAGAATATGCTCGTGTTTGGTCTTGATCCCGAAGCGGCAAAGGAATGGAAGATTACTCTGAAAGATATGTTCAACTTCTTACAGTGGGATCCACTGAACGTTGTCTTATCCGGGGTACTGAATGAAGGTTTTGTTCTAGATTCTGGGTCTCATGGTGCCAGTCGGAATGCAGTCTGGTTTATACCGAGCGGCAGCACACATCGCACTGTTCTTCGACTTCAGTTCTCTCATGTTCAACAGTCAGGCGAGAAGCCAACGTGGCTAAACAAAGTGTTTGCCAAATTCGGAAGATTCGTTGATCTGTCTGTGGACTCCCCAATACAAGCCATCTTGCGTAAGACCTACAGCATGGAGACCAATCTCCATGACAATTATCTTGCCGCTGTTGAATGGGAGCTTACAGTCAGAGCCAAAGTTACAATCGCAAACAAATCAACTGACTCTCTCAAGTTCTGGGCTTCCATAATTATCACACCACAAAAGACACAGATGGTGTTAATGTTCTTGGCTCCCGAAACACACGGAGTGGCGGAAAATAGCGGAACCGACATTGGCTCACTCTGCGACTTTATATCGGGCTTTCTCCCCTCAGATTTGCCGGTTCCCTCTGTGAAGCAATACATGCCATCTGCTTCTGGCATCATGCTTCGAAAGATTGTGTTCACTCGCGGCGGAGGACGAAAGGACTCTGTTGATATCGATTTCCAGGTCAATCTCGCATCAGCCCCTTTCTTGGTCACAGTTCGTCTGGGACACGAGCCGCAATTCAGCGGTAATTTGTTTCCATGTTTGGGATTCCTCAAGGAACCCAACATGGCCTTCTACCCTGTGTATGAGGACCATCTCCTTATGCTACCCATCGGATTCCAGGAGGACAAGGGCATCCGCTTGAATGATCTCTACTACACTCTCTCTGGCAAACAGCTCGAGGGTAATTCCCCTTGCGGTTTAGACTTTGTCACCTTATCATTCACACTGGATGCATCAGCAATCACGTTCGAGGGCGTCCTTGCGAAAGTCCGTGCTCAAGAACCCAAGTTCAAACCAAGTGACATGCCAGGACTTCCGGATATACAACTCGACACTGGAATGGCACTTTTCGAGTATAACTTTTCTAAGAAGAGGTTCCATTTCGTCACGAGCTTCAGCTTTAGACTTGTTCCACGAAGTAGGGACCAGTATCCGACTCGAATGGCCATGTCTATTCAATATAATGATCAAGGGTGGCTCCTGGCAGGCTCTGTTAACCATCTCAGCTTCAGCCATCTTTATGAATTCTTTGATAATGACACTGATGAAGAGATCCTCGATATCATGGAGAAGATCGAAATTAACTATCTGTCACTCTCTTACCTCTACAAACTGGGTGGCCAGAGAAATTCTATTGAGTTTGAGGGTGACTTCAAACTTGGAAACTTGGGATTGGACTTTCATTACCGTAGTGAGGGCGACGGGAACTGGAACTTAAATGCAACCCTCAAGAGGAATACGCCACAGACAACGAGCCTCGCCAGCATCATCTTGGAGTTTTGCGAAAAGGAACTACTGGATAATCTTCCAACCTGCCTCACAGACATTCCATTTGGTCATGGTGGAACTGGACTTGCGACCAAAAGTGGTGCCATGGTAGACCTCAGAATCGGCCAAGTTGGTGGCTGTGTCATCTTGGTTTGCGAGATCAACATCACTAGCGACTTGACCATCATCTTTGCCCATTTGAAGCCGAAGAGATCCAAAGTTTCGGACACCAACCCTTACCCTACCAAGCGAGTCCTCTTCTTCAGGCTGGCGGATATCAATCTGACTGGGAAGGCCTCTGCTTTCGTCTCGGCTCTGGTCCAGCCATTCGATGAGCTGCACTTTGTATGGGTCGACGGAGGCAAAGCCGAGCAGAGAAAGGCAGCTGGGCTTACCCGATCCGACGTTGATGTACTGAACAAATTCCTTGCTGGGAAGCATTCTCTACAGTTCAAAGATACAGCTGCCCATCCATCTGAGAGAAGTCTTTTGCGGGATGCTCCAGCTTCAAGTGGTGTCATTCTCAAGCCTGGCTGTCATTTCCTTGTTGTTGACGATTCAAAGGTCATTCTCGACTACTCTTTTCAAGGTAAGGGAAAAGGCTCAGGTGGCAAAAAGACTGCAGACAGCGATGGTGAGAGCGAGCATTCAGGAGATGCTGCACCCCTGAAGAAGCAAGTAGGGCCAGTGAGCATCTCGGGTATCAGCCTCGGCTTCAGCAGGAACAGGTTGAGCATCATCCTTACAGCTACGGCTCAGCTTGGGACCTTCAGTGTGAGTCTGGTAGGCCTCACTATTTACGCAGACTTTGCCAAAGCAGGCCATCTACTTGACTTTGAGAATGCCCAGGTTGGGATCAGCCTATCCGGACTAGCCCTTGGGCTTGACTCATCTCCATTACGCATGGCTGGAACTTTGATCAAGGAGAGCAGCCAAGACCAACAAAAGGATGTATTCTCTGGTGGTGCTACAGTCGGATTCAAGAAGTACTCCATACTTGGACTTGGCAAGTACTCCGAGACAAAGAGCACGGGTGCAGTCAGTTTCTTTGCTTATGTACAGCTGAATGGGCCTCTTGCAAAAATCGGAGCAGTTGAGATTTCTGGCGTCAAGGCTGGTGTTGGGTACAACACTGCCATTCGTACCCCTGATTTGAATCACATTGCAGCCTTTCCCTTTTGTGCCCAAACACCAAGATCATTGCAAGAGATTGGCACCGCTTCAAAAGATCCTCTGCAGATTCTGGACGGTTTCCTCAGCCAGGGATGGTTCTATGATTCACCGGGAAACACGTGGATAGCGATGGGTATGGAGGTGAGATAAACATTGGAGTCTTCTTCTACTTGTATGACGCTCTAGCTAATTCCTGTATTACAGGCTGTTATTTGCGAGACTGCAAACATCTCGGCAGCCGTGATAGCTACAATCACCCCCAAGGTATTACTCGACATATATGGTCAGGGCAAGGTTCAGATGCCTCCCAGTGGTGAGGCGAAGAAGGCATATCTGAACGTTGACATTGGTCTCAAGAGCTCCGTCGACTTTAACACGGGCTCTATGGTCATCGAGTCTAGTCTTGGCCCCCAGTCCTTCATTCTGGACCCGGCCTGTCACCTCTCGGGCGGCTTTGCCATTGCCACTTGGTGGGATCCGTCAAAGGCTGCCGGCGACTGGGTATTTACCGTTGGCGGGTACCATCCGCGGTTCAACCCGCCGCAGTACTATCCAAAGCCCGAAAGACTTCAAGTCTGGTGGAATGTCGGAGGTGGGGTCAGTATTTCTGGCGGTGCATACTTTTCCATAACGCCGGATGTCATCATGGCCGGCGCAAATATGACTGCTAGTTATACGACTAGAATCATCCAAGCTTCTTTCAACGCGTGGGCCGACTTCTTGATCAAAATTGCACCATTCTACTTCTCGGCCGATGTCGCGGTGTCAGTTTATGCCCAAGTCAAAATTGGGTATGGCTGGCTGGCTTGGACATTCCGCGCTAGTCTGGGTGCCATGCTTTATCTTGAAGGACCTCCAGTTCATGGGACAGTGCGGGTTGAGGCTTGTTCACACAACATCACCGTTTCGTTTGGTTCTTACCCCGTAAACAAGAACACAGGACCACTAGGTTTCGATGCGATGTGTCAGTTGCTCCTCAAAGAGGCTAAGAAGAGTGACAAGACATATCATCTTCTGAATCTGATATCAGGTGGTTTGCCAACAGTTCCTGAGTCAGTCGAGTCCTCCCATGATACGCCATGGGTTGTCAGACCTGCGATATTCTCATTCCACGTTCAGTCCATTATCCCTGTATCTAAGGCTGCAATCAACCCACCAGCAATTATCAAGGACCCCAAAGCCCTTCAAGCACTCGGAATCAACGGGGACGTTACCAAAATACCTCATGTGTCGGTAACAAGCAAAGCCAAGGTTCCCATCTACTCAAAGCCCATGCAGTTAAGTGGTAGCAACGACATGAAGAGTGAGCTATTTGTCACAATTGCTATGGGCAAGAGCCCGCACCCCTCAGCCGCATTCATGATACAAGGGGTCTATGATAACGTTAGCAGTACGCTCTGGGGAGAATGTAAGGACCAGTTGCAATGAAATCACTTGTGACATAAACTGACCTAGACCAGACAAGCAATCTGAAGATCCACTTCGAAGCGGAAACAACATCACGGCTCTCCTCAACCCCCCAGCTGCCGGTTCACGTACCAAGCTCATGACTGGCATTACTGTATCTTCGGTTGGCCCAACCGTTTCGACTGATACTCTCGGTAGATTCGACGTGTCTCTCATCTCTGAAGCTGAACTGTTCGACTCAAAGAGCCAGCCCATCTTACCCTCCCAAGCCTCACAAACATATGGCCTTCCAATGAAGCGAACACTCGATATGACCCCGAAGGAAAACAGCCTACAGTTTAGTGCCCGATGGGGTCTTGGGCGGCCAAGAAGACGAGCCGTGAACACTTCACGAGTCAAGGAATCGGCATCGAAGACCAATAAACAGCCAAAGGATCTTTGGGATGAGGTAGCCGAGTACTGGAGTGACAACAACAAAAGCGATATCCGTCGCGGCGTCGCACAGGCTGCAACAGCCATTTTTGGGTGGGAGGAAGATGCCTTTGCAGATATCTCCATAAAACCCAAGCTCCTACTCGCCCAATTTGAGGACATCTATTTGGCACCGCCACACATCTCTGCCCCAGTCACTCCCTCGAATGACACGGCGCATCAGCATATAGAGAGTCATTTTATTCTTGGTGCTGAGAACAACTGGACTCCTACTATTCCCTGTAAAATTGATGTCCATGTTCGCTTTGAAAGGGCATTTGACTTCCCACCTGTGATCCTTTCTGGCATCACAGCTTTCGATTTCGCTGGCCCAAACTCTCCAAGGATGTTAATCCAGTCCGACGAAATCACTCGACAAGGCTTTCTGATGAGTATATCAAGTTGGGACTACACAACGTACGCTTTTGATACTAACTGGATGGCGTTGTATCATCCGGACATTCATTTTGAACATGGCAATGTTGACTCAATGGATGTCTTTGGTAGGAAGCAATTTCAGGATGCCGTTTGCCATGTCACTTTCTCCACACCATACATCTCGGAGCCGCAGGTTGTTTGTTGGTTCACCTGGATAACGCCTCTTAGGCACTGTGAGTTGGAGTGCAAGGTCATTAGAGTGACCAAGTATGGGTGCACCATCAGGATCGGGTCCTGGGGTGATCAACCTTCTCCGTACTACAGAGCAAAAGTTTCGTGGTTGGCATTCAATAGCGATGCTCAAGGTGTTCAGGCAGGAGTCCGCGAATTTAGCGACAATAAAGGTTGGACTGCAGAAACACACTTGAATAACTTCCACCACCCCCCAAAGGTATTCTTTGGGATTAGCCATTTAAACCACAAGCGCGACAACTTACACAAAGGTACAAGGATAAGGACACAGGTCAATTCTGTTACTGCGGAAAAGATGCTCTGGGAGGCAAAAGCAATTAATGAGCCTGCTATGGATGGAGTCCATGTAACTTATGTAGTAGTAGAACCATAGTACTAATCTGAACATCTGGTTAAAAGTCAGCTATATGAAATGCACATTCCATTCCAGATTGTGCTGTGCCAGTGTGCCACGCCAAGCTTGCATTGTCTCCGTGCTAGGGTGCATAATTGAGGCCGTGTCTCCACAAAACTCCAAGTGAGGCTTTCTCTTGCGTTCCCAAGTGAAGCAGTCACGAGTGACAAACCCTATGCTCATTGGCGCATATCCTTGATAGGCTAGGTACATTTCCTCAATTTTGGGCATTTGGCTGGCAGCTCTCGCAACAGCGAGAGCAAATTGATCAAAATGTACTGGGTTAAATATGGGGTTGAATCGCCTTCCATGTTCCTCGCCGGGTACTTCACTTTCCAATCTCTTGTCTTTATCTGTATCTTCAGCGAGTTCGTCGTCCGAGTCCTCAGGGTCTTGTATCTCAACCTACTCACTAGACAGCAATACGTTATTTATTTCGATTTAGAGAAGCTCTAAGGTCGGCCAGGTTAATTTGCACTCCATGTCCCCATTCTGTTAAAGTTAAAGTGTATTTTCTAACCTTGTAATTAACTTATAAACTTAACCCCTAGTTTAAACTACTGCTTTTTTACTAATATTACTTTATCTATTCTTAAATATAAGGTTAGTTAGTTACGTGCTTTAGTATATATATTTAATTAATAAAGCTAGTTATTATTAACTTTAAGTTAATTTAACTTTTACTAACTAACTTATATAAAAGTTAACCTAATTTCTTTAGTATATTTTAACTTTAATAAAACCTTTAGTCTAACCCTGCTATTACCCTGTATTTATCTAACTCTATTTACAGATATACTATCCTTATATTAATAGTAAGACCCTCTTTATATTATAAACCCTTTTAGCTATATTATAAAGCTACTTTTTATATATATTTAAGTTACCCCTTAAGGCAGTAAGGAAGGCTACTTAGTTTAATTAAAAGGGATAACCTTCCCTTAAGACTTTTTTTAGGTTTAAAAGGCTTTATAGCTTATTATTAACTTAGTTTAAATTAATCTAGCTAAAAAGGC